GGCGAAACGCCATTTTTCTTGATTCATGGTTGGGACCCGAGATCTACGTTGGAAGCTACGTTACCATTAGGAAGTACTAGGCGTCGAGATCGCGATCCACGTAGGTGGCGATATCATATGCAGCGGCATTATCAGCGGGCGAGAGAAGCAGTAAATGAGAGACTCAGGACTGCGATCCAAACACGTGCTGATCGCCACAATGAAGATCTCAAGCCTCACGAAATTGAGCCGGGGGCGCAAGTCTGGTTATATTTGGATCGTGTGAAAGAAGGGTACGCTCGAAAGCTAGCACATATGTGGCATGGACCTTTTCGAGTAAAAGAAATGTGTGGAGATCACGCTGTCCGACTGGAGATTGCTGGTACGCCATATCGATTATTTCCCGTCGTACATATATCCAAGTTGAAGAAAGTGAAGACGTTCCCTGATCGTCCAAAAAATTTGCTGACGATCGAAGAAGAATATCGATTCGATTTTGATGAAGCGCTTTTGCCAGAAGACAGTTTTGAAGGTAATCTGGGAGACGATGAATTCGAAGTGGAAAAGATTGTGGATGTACGATCTGATAGAAAGACACGTTTTGGACGAGTACATAGACAGTTTAAAGTCTACTGGAAAGGTCATGCTAAACCATCCTGGGTGGATGAAGCCGACTTAAATTGTGGTGCCTTATTGCGAGATTTTGAACGTGGCAAGATTAGCCGGAATCGTTTTGAAGTGATGCAATCACATGAAGAGGGATCTGGTGGCTAACGAAGATCGAGTGTTGGGGATGGTATAATATGCAAGAAGGTTGCATAGGATGGTGGAAAGGAAATTTGTGTGTAATGAGTATGGCGATCGAAGGTCTGGAAGACGAGATCGCGGCTAAAGAAGCCCAACAAAAGAAGACAATTTTAACGAAAAGGAGGAACAAAATGGAATTGTATTGAACGATCAAGAAGTGTTATCAGATCCCGACTGCTGTTTGGGAAAGAATTTACTGGATAAACGGGCGAGGGATGAACCGGGGTGATCCGCGATTGAGGACCGATATTGGTTCCGCCAAGGCTCCGCAGAATCCAATAACGACAGTGCAGTAATCAGGTTGGGAATGTTTTTCTGCTTGCAATCCAAACCAGGATACCATGGTCGCACTTCTGCGTACACTGGAAAGTGGAGGAAGTATGGATCTAACAAAATATCCAGATCACAGTGTCCTTCGATCATCCCTTGGAGAATAACGCGAAGAATAGTCTTCCAGCGGGGTCCAGATCTCGACCGACGCTGCTTGCGTTGCTGACAAAATTGCGCCAGCTCTGGATACTCCTTCCGAAGTTCGCGGGAGATATACAGGAAGTGGGTTGCCTCCCACAAGGCTTGCCTATGGCGATCTTCATATTCCAGGTAAATGTCCGCCAGATCTTTGAACCAACCGGTCAGCGGGAAAGAGATGGGAGCAATCGGCCGACGAGTGACGTTCCACGGTTTCTGATCGTAAAGCGCAGTAACTTGTGCCGGGGTGATCAGTCGGGGAATCCACTCAGAATCAAGAAGAGATTTGGGATTGGCTTGAGGGGTGAAGATATACCCTCTCGGTCGGGACAAGTGTCGATAGAAGAACTCCACTCCCAATTCGGCAACACTGGTCAGACTGACCCGTCGGGCGGACCATGGAGCGACCTGAGTTGACGATCGGGGCTTTCGCTCACGATATCCTGGGATCCACACATCACGTGATTTTTGGAGATCAGGCAGGTCGGCGTATTGAGCGGGAGTGAGCAACTGGTTTATATCTTCACGGATGTCACTGGAAACGCTAATCTTCCCGTCCGAGTCGCTAGAAGGTTCGCCAAAAAGGTCGACCTTAGAAATCTTGGTCGTAAGGCTAGGGGGCGTAGCAGGACTCGAGACTGGTGATTTTTTGGAGGGTGGGCTACCATTGTGAATTATGATAGGGGACTGAGACGATCCGGTGTTGCCAGAGAGTTTCGTCGTGGTGTTGCGACGCCTCGTGGTGGAACGCGATCCGGATAGAGCAGCAAGTGTAGCGTCCTCGGGATCGGAAGACCAGCCGTCATACTCAGAGTCAGGCGAAGGCGAGGGACACGTTTTGCGTTTCTTTTTAGCTTTCGACGAAACATTGGGTCGCGTTGTAATAACGGATCGCACCGACTTGGCAGACCGTTCTGAGTTACCAGATCGCGTTAAATTACCAGATCGCGGCGGAGTACCAGATCGCGGGGAAATACTAGATCGCGCTGAAGTGCCAGATCGCGTTAAATTACCAGATCGCGGCGGAGTACCAGATCGCGGGGAAATACTAGATCGCGCTGAAGTGCCAGATCGCGCTGAAGTACCAGATCGCGCCGGAGTGCCAGATCGCGTTAAGTTACCAGATCGCGGTGGAGTACCAGATCGCGCCGAAGTACCAGATCGCGCCAAAGTATTAGACTGTGCCGAAGTACCGGATTGCGCCGGAATTTCAGATCGCGTCGAAGTCCCAGATCGCGCTGGAATGCCAGATCCCTCCGAGGTCGCAGATTGAGCAGAAGTACCGAAAGCGCTGCGGGGACGTTTACAGGGGACGTCCAGAGTCGGTGAAGATGACGCACGTTTGCGATTGGGTGACGAGGGATTGGAAAGCGCGAGAAGGCTAGTCGGAGAAGGAAGTAAGCCCGTAGCCAATTCTGCCAGATGCGAACGAAGTAAATCTCGATCCTGGATGGCCAGATCGCGCTCTGCCTCTCGATCTGCAACTTCGGTACGAAGTCGATCCAAAGCTGCGTCGTTCCGAATACTCGTACTCAGGAGGCGATCATGATCAAGCTCGAGCGCGCTCAGTGTCTCTTGCAGTTGTTTCGCGGCTTGCTGGGCCTGAGAACGAGCTTTCTTGTACTTGGATGCCTTGCTTTTCATGCGTCGAAAGTCAGCGGCCAAAGCACTGTCTGCTGTATTACGCTGTGCGAGGATGGAGTCCAGTTGCTGTTGGAGGGACGCGATCTGCTGCCGGAATTTTCCTTCCAGAGTTCGCTGAAGATTGGCCGCCTCACGGCGGAATTTATCCTGCAGGCGATGTTTCTCTGCATTGGCTCGAAACAAGGCATTCTTCAGATCGGCGATCTCCTGAGACTGATCCGTTAGCTGGTTCAGTTCTTCGTCGAGACCTTCGGCCATGTGGAGAGCGGCATCAAGTTGTTGACGCAACTCTTCATCTCGACGCAAGACGAATGTGCACAGTCGAGGCACCAACTCGTGATACGAGTTGAGTTCCGTCTCCAGCTGATTTCCACGAAATTCCTGCTCCTGCAAGGCATTTTCCATGGAGTGATAGCTTTCCACGATGGTATCCTGGGCTTCCAGGCGGTCATACAATGAAGAAACCAACGAGATCGCGTTCTGACGATCTGCAACGGGAGGAAGGATTATCCGGGTAGACGGGAGCAAGATACGCGATCCGGTAGAGGAACCCATCGTTGGATCGCGCGTAACGAGCACACCAGTTTGGGGGTGGCGATCGTTTTCGGGTGTAGATCTGGCCATAAGGGACGAAGTGACGAGAAGAGTGAAGCGAGACAGTGCACAGTTAGGCCAACACTGTATGTGGGCTATCGGTGCAGGGGACGATTGTGGCGAAGTGAAAGAGTGAATTTCGCCAAGTGTGATCGCATATTTTCGGTTAAGTCCGAAATGGCCAATATTAATGAGTCGCGATCTCGTGGCCAATATTGATGAGTCGCGATCTCGCAGAAAGGTTTCAAGACGATGTCAAATAGGATGGAAAACAGTGAATGGAGTAGTTTGCACTTCTATGTGGGGTCAAATATGGCCTAGAAACTACGCTATTGCGATCTCCAGTATTTCCGATGGCGATCCGCGTGAACGCGGTCGCTAAGGAGGAAGATGGGTACATCCAAGCATGTGGAGGACGGTCTGGTGTGGATCACGTCGCTATGGAGGACTGGAATGGTGGATATGAAATGTCACATTGATGAACTATCTCACATGACCTGAGAAACGGTGAAGAAGACAAGTCGTGATCCGGCGGATCGCGATCCGATATTAATTATTTAGTACCGCGATCTGGTATTAATTATTTAGTACCGCGATCTGGTACTAATTATTTAGTACCGCGATCTGGTACTAATTATTTAGTACCGCATCTTACTAATTATTTAGTACCGCGATCTGGTACTAATTATTTAGTACCGCGATCTGGTACTAATTATTTAGTACCGCGATCTGGTACTAAAATGGTATTATATCCGAGTGAGGTAGCGATCCAGATCGCGGCTATATTGGAGTGGACCACATTCCGAGATCTGATTTTTTCCGAAAGGGCGATACGTGGCAACAGATCCTGAGCTACAGATAGTCAAGATCATAGGTTTTGGTATTTGATTGGTTAACATTAACAGAGTTCAATTTGCTTCTAAGTACACGTGTCGACTTCTCTTCCGGGCTGGATTCTTTGGCCTCCCGACGTCTCAAGGAAGTCTACCTACTACGCAAGTCATATCCCTGGATTGTTTGGCCAGGGATTGCAAGAATTCTCAACAAAACAAATCAAGCTGCGATTGGACGCAGAGGACTAAGAAGTCCAGATACAAGATCGCGAGACGGCTCAAGTGGTCAGAAGGCAAGCGGATCAAGTATCTACATTTTTGGACAAGGCGATCTCAAGGGAGATCAGGGCGACTCAAATAGAGCACCCCAAGAACAACTGCGATCGTGTGAGGAATTCCACGCGATCGCCCCCCCCACCTATCCCTAACACAATCAAGTTCAACATCGACTCAAGTCTACCGAGAAGAGAGCAACCCGCCCTACCGACGGGTACACAAGGTGAGGAAGGCTATACACACGGAATCGGGGTACCCCCTCCGTTAGTCGGTCGTCCGGGCGCCAGTGGAGAGTTGGGATCGCATCAGCAATTTTGCGAATCCCACTCCACCACAGTTGTGAAAGAGCTGAAACCCAAGGTTCAACAGTCCACTCGCGGGGCCGATGCCTCCAAGCAGATGGACAGCTTAGTGAATGAAACACTGATGTTGCAGCAGGTGCCGCAAGCTAATGCAGCTATTACTGCGGAGCCGAAGAATGAGGTGACGATTACTTCATGTACAAATGCGACAAAGACGAAGCAAACAAGCGCGAATGCAGACTCTTGTCCATCGCCAGCTTCTTTTGATGATAAAACTGCCACCTCAAGACCCTCGACCAGAGATCCAGCAATATCTTCAGCTGCTGCAAGTCTGAGCACTGTTCACGGAAAGCCAGTGCTTCAAGAGCCAATGCCAAGTGGGGCAACCAGCCCCTCAACTGATGTTGCCAAGGCATCTCCTGCTTTGGTTGCCAGTGCTGTTTCACCGCAACTAACAAGTGCACGGCTCGTAACAACACCGATAGCGAGATCTAAGGTCACTGGTGGTCGTCATAAGCGGCGGCGGTCTATTGGTCAGGCGCCTGCTAACTCCATTACTGATTCGTTGCAGCCACCCACAAAACGAAGTGCAGGTTCAAGCAAAGACGCTACTTTTCAATCAAAAACAAATGGGCCTAATGAGGAACAATCGTCCGCTGATGGGGTACGTGCTCCTTTCGACCAATTACCGAACTCGCCGAGACATCACGCAGTACCAGAATCAGCAAATAATCCCGTCACTGTCCAGAAAATCCATGAGTCTGCCATAATGGTTGTTGGGGAACAGGCAACACCTACAGTAGAAGTGGCCGCACCTTTATCCCAATCTAAGGCAGAAAAACTTGAGAAAACAGAACCTGTGAGCGTACGCTGTTGTGCGACGCAACCCACCCAGTTATTACTCCAAATGAGCCAGCTCCTGACCTTGGAACCTCTTCGGTGCAATCCCAAGGAAGGCAAAGTAATGACTTTCTACCATCAGCCACACGACTCGAATCGGCAGATAAGGTAGACGATACTGCTTCTGCCACAGCTCGAAGGCAGGGGGAAGGAGTTGGTCCTCAATCTATTGCGGCGTCGTTCGAAAGCGCTGTGACAAAAAAAGTTGGTATCGTCATGGATAGCCGCATATACGTGCAGAAAATGATGAGTACTGACACGAGAACGAGTAGCCACGGCGATTCCGGCTTCACACAGTCCGTGCAGTCAATGACAAATTTACCTCCGCGTCCCCAAAATGCTTGGGGTGCATCATTTGGCCTGGTTCCTCCACCTCCTGATGCGTCCCCAGTATCACGGACGTTATCAACTACACCATTGAGTTCCTGGTTTCTTTCGAAGGGTTGTGCAAATTTCGTGAAACAAGTTCAATTCTCGGATGATGATGATGATGCTGGCGACAACAACAGTAGTGAAGAGGATGTCACCTTAACTCGACAATCATCCACCTTGCATGGAGCCGACAAAGCGCCAATCAAAAGGAGAGCCTCAGCTGTAAAGAAGAATGCATTTTTGGAGTCACTTACAGCTCAGTCGTATTGGCGCACATGGTATGGTACCATTGACTTGCACAATCTGATAGATCCGCCGCTGGCATATGTTCCTGGCAAACTACGAACCCACGAAATAACCCCGCTCTCGCTTCCGGGGCGAAGAAGTGAAAGCGATAGCAACACATCAGTGAAGAAAAGTGATCTCGAAAGGTTGGAAGCTGACATCAGGTATGTTTGATATTGCTGTAGTGTTCATGAGTTTGTTGGGGAACTTATCAATCTGTGTGTGTTTGTATAAACTGCTGATGTAAAGACAAGAAAAGCAACGAGGCTCAGCGTTTAGCGAGCAGCTACTTATGATGCTACAAGGCAAGACCGTGTCTGGCAAATCGCTCGAGGAGGAATACAAACCGCTATTGCGTCAATAAAAGTGCCGATACTAAAATACAAGGGAGATGTAATATTGGCATTTTATCCTGCAAGGCCTTATGCATTGTTTCATTTGTCGCTCGCTACAAGAAGAACCATCAGATTATAATCTCGCTTTGTGCCCCTTGAGATACAGTAAAAGAGGCACTTAAAAGCCATGAATGTACCCAGTTAAGAACACCTGTTCTTGTCACACGGTGCATCGCTACATCGCGCGTATGACATATATGAGGTTATGATATATACGAGGACACGACACAATGTGGCGTAGATTTGTACCGCTTTTCGCATGTTATAAAATGCACTGGACTATAATTTGGTGGGCACTTAATTTTGTAAATTCAATAACGAATAAGATTGGGCAAAGATATGAGATTTTATCTCATACAAACGCTTTTATCGTTGATGGATAGATGGTTTTTCTACTCATACTTTCTATTCTGTCTTGGCTCTGATTGGTCAAATTTTACAGAAGGTCTGTCAATACGTACGCGGGACATGTCCTCAGTTTCAATCTCTCTCTATTTCGCTTACAATATCTCCCCATAATCAGTCGCATAACTCGATTAACATGATGAATAAAAACACTCTCGAGCCCACGAATTCATTAGTTGGTCCAATGCTTACTGACCTCTACCAGATCACCATGTACATGAATCTCTTTTGCTCTAGATTTTTTCTTTTTTCTACGATGGTCTCGTCTCACGTAATAAATTGTATCATTTTTTGTATAGGGTTTACGCTTATTGGAAAGTAGGACGTCATAATGATCACGCAGTATTTGATCTTTTTTTCCGTAAAAATCCTTTTCATGGAGAATACACGGTGTTTGCTGGTCTAGAAGAGGCACTTGGTATGATTAATACCTTCAAGTTTACAGTCAGCGACATTGTGTACCTACGGGAGGTGCTTCCTCATGCTGAAGATGGTTTTTTTGACTGGCTCTCAACGCTCGACTGCTCTAGTGTCAAGGTGTATGCTTTGAAGGAAGGGTCGATTGTCTTTCCTCGGATCCCATTGCTGCGCATTGAAGGCAGTTTGGCAGTAGGACAGCTGTTGGAGACGCCACTACTGAACCTGTTGAACTTTGCCAGTCTCATCACGACCAATGCCACACGGTTCAAAAAGGCAGCAGGACCTGATAAGAAACTACTGGAATTTGGTCTGCGTCGTGCACAAGGTCCAGATGGTGGACTTAGTGCCTCGAGATACGCGTACATGGCTGGATTTGGAGGCACGAGCAACGTGCTGGCTGGCAAGCTTCATAATATTCCTATTATGGGCACTCACGCACATGCCTTTGTACAAGCGCACACAACGCTGGATGATGTTAAAGTGACGATGCTGAGCGGCAAAAACTTTCTTGATGTTGTGCTAAAGTATCGCAATGAGCTTGGCCACACACAGACGAACGATGTATGTCTAGTACGACGACGGTAGAGGTCTAGTGGTGGATCTGACCATTTTTTATAATATGTTTTTGCTGCACAGGGGGAGCTTGCCGCCTTCATCGCGTATGCAATTGCCTTTCCCGATGCGTTCTTGGCTCTGGTGGACACTTACGACACGCTATCGGTGCGTCGCATCTTGTCCAACGATGGCTTCTGTTTAACCTTTTTTTGTCTTGACATGGTTTTTTGTATTTTGCAGTCTGGTGTGCCGAATTTCATCTGCGTCGCGCTAGCGTTGCACGAGCTGGGCCACCGTCCCGTCGGCATTCGTCTGGATAGCGGTGATTTGTCTTACTTGTCGAAGCGCTGTCGTGAAGCGTTCATTATTGCTGGCGAGCGCTACAGCATCGACTATTTCAAGGAGCTGAACATTACCGCTAGCAACGATATTAACGAGGCGGTGCTCAACTCTTTGAACGAGCAGCGCCACGAGATTAACTCCTACGGCATCGGCACGCATCTGGTGACATGCCAGGCCCAGCCAGCGCTTGGAATGGTGTACAAGCTCGTGGAAATTAACAATCAACCGCGTATTAAGCTTTCCCAAGACGTTAGCAAGGTGACAATTCCTGGCCGTAAGGAAGCCTACCGCTTAATCGGCACGAATGGTAAGCCGCTACTGGATGTGATGACTGGCGTCAACGAGAATGCGCCTGAAGTCGGCAAAAAAATGTTGTGTCGGAATCCATTTGACGAGCTTCGACGTGCATACGTGACGCCGTCCCAGGTCATCCCCTTGCACAGCCTGTTCTGGGATGGACCGAATGGAGGTATCGTGGGCGAGCTGCCCACTCTGGAAGACCGGCGTCAGTACGTCACGGAGCAGTTTGAGCTAATCCGCGAGGACGTGATACGGTCGCTCAATCCGACGCCGTACAAGGTTTCAGTGTCGAACGAGCTGTACGAGTTCATCCACGACCTGTGGATGAGAGATTTCCCTGTACAGGAGCTCGACTAAGTCACAAACTCGAGCTCTTAAGCACCAATCACAGTGTAAATCTCTTTTCAAAAAAGCATTTTGCACCATTTTCATGATATTTCTCTACTTGTCCTTCTTGGATTGGAGCTGCTGTAGATATTCTGTTCTCTTAACAACTACCACCATGTCCACCATATGCTTCATGTTCAGTATCTACAATACACGACAAGAATAACATCAGACAAGCTTTTTACAGGTATTTTTGACAATACGACATAGTTTTTGACAATTTTGACAGACCAATTGGAAAAAGCCTGCAGCAAGCAATGGTCCAGCGTAGAAGATGCCCATGAAGACGCCATTCGCGTCAAAATACTGCTGGGTGGCAAAGAGACGCCAGTTTTTTCTTCCCCACGTATTTAGCGCCTCAGTGCTTACTAATAACGTGATGACAAGCACAAAGAGTGCAAACTGCGGGTACAGACGCTTGCGTGTCAGCCAGAGCGTGGCGAGAAGTACGACGTGAAATAAAAGCAATCCCACAATGAAAGGCTCTGTCCAATCTACAGCCTCGTACCATTTAATCATCACTTGGCTGTACTTGGAGCGTAGATCGTGCGCCATCTGCGATGCTATGCCGTCCATGCTACTTGTCGAAAATGAAAGGATAATAAAATATTTTTTAAATCGACAGTGCAAGTGAAATAATTGTCAAAAATACAAGTAAGATTGCTATTAAAAGTAACAATAAACATAAGTAAAATTAACATTAGTGCAAGTACCGTAACTACAGTAATTTACAACGACTCAATCACAACCTTGCGTCTTTTTCGAGATAAATATGTACGTCGAAACCGCAATCAAGTGGCGCACTAGCAAGAGGGTGCTGCCGGACCAGACATCCCAGTCGCACGTGGTGCCTTTCTCGCTGACGCGTCGACGCAACGCCATATGCCAAACTGGACGAAGTATACCCCGACCGAGTGACCACCGCCTGCCGCCGTAGTCCCGAAGACGCCTGAAGAAGGTGACTACCCGACGGACCGGGATTACGGGAAGGCGGTTCACCTACGCTCCCGGGTCATGAAGCAGTGGAAGAAGAACTTTGGGCTGGCGCAGCGCGCGATGACGCTGCCGCCGGACACAGCAGGCATCGGCACGCGGGAAGAGTCAGCAGCACGGCGAAAATGCGGAAAGGATGGTCAAGAAGACGACGGAAGGGGAGAGTCAGAAGGTTGCCCTACGTGGTGGCCGGGAAGATCATCCACCCGAGTATGGTGGTGTCCAGCACCCAACGAAGGAAGGAAGAGAGCGGCGCAGCGCGATGATGAAGAAGAAATCAGGGAGGAGATCGACCTGACGCAAGCGGATAGCGACGACAAGGAACCAGCCAACGGAACGCGGGACTGGATACTGCAGAAATACAAAGTGGGGCATCAGGTACCGTGGCTGACGGACGTCCGGCGTATCACTATGATGCAGAACCCCTACAAGATCTCCTTTAACATACCTGGCGCACGAGAGGAGAAATGCGGATGTGAAGGACGATGAGAGATCGCGACGTGTCCGAACGCGGCGGAGAAGCAGGTATGTGAGACTGTTACGTGCACGCCAGGCGCGAAAGCGTGCGACAACCAGTTCTGACAGCGACTCCTGGAGTTGAAGATGACACGCACGGGAATCGGTGTGGTGGCGATGCGGCCCACACCAGCAGGAGGTGTGGTCTGCCAATATTAGGGCCAGTACGTATTGGACCCCCCCACGTGAGGCGGCGTATACGGTAGAATTGCGCCAACGGGACACGAAAGCACACCGCGTGTACGTCAGCGCGGAAGAGTGCGGCTCGGTGGCGCGGTTCGTAGAGCATTCTTGTACCCCGAACACCCACTTCCATAAGGTGCGGGGGAGGCGACGAGTGGTCGTGTCGCTGGTGGCGCAATCCGATATTGTCTCTGGGACAGAGGTCATTGTCGATTATACCGGCCAAACGAACAGCGCCCTCTGGTTCCATTTCCAGTGCGCCTTGCACCAGAACGAAAACCGAGACGCCTTGCGCGCGACCGCAATGAAGAAGGAAGTCGAGCCAGCAACTACTGTACATCAATTGTAACCTTGCGTATATTTCGAGATAAATATCTGCGTCGAAACCGCAATCGAGTGGCGCACTTGTAAAAGCGCTCTGCCGAACCGGACATCCCGGTCGCACGTGGTGCCTTTCTCGCTGACGCGTCGACGCAACGCCATATGCCAAACTGGACGAAGTGTACCCCGACCGAGTGGCCACCGCCTGCCGCCGTAGTCCCGAAGACGCCTGAAGAAGGTGACTACCCGATGCACCGGGATTACGGGAAGGCGGTTCACCTACGCTCCCGGGTCATGAAGCAGTGGAAGAAGAACTTTGGGCTGGCGCAGCGCGCGATGACGCTGCCGCCGGACACAGCAGGCATCGGCACGCGGGAAGAGTCAGCAGCACGGCGAAAATGCGGAAAGGATGGTCAAGAAGACGACGGAAGGGGAGAGTCAGAAGGTTGCCCTACGTGGTGGCCGGGAAGATCATCCACCCGAGTATGGTGGTGTCCAGCACCCAACGAAGGAAGGAAGAGAGCGGCGCAGCGCGATGATGAAGAAGAAATCAGGGAGGAGATCGACCTGACGCAAGCGGATAGCGACGACAAGGAACCAGCCAACGGAACGCGGGACTGGATACTGCAGAAATACAAAGTGGGGCATCAGGTACCGTGGCTGACGGACGTCCGGCGTGTCACTATGATGCAGAACCCCTACAAGATCTCCTTTAACATACCTGGCGCACGAGAGGAGAAATGCGGATGTGAAGGACGATGAGAGATCGCGACGTGTCCGAACGCGGCGGAGAAGCAGGTATGTGAGACTGTTACGTGCACGCCAGGCGCGAAAGCGTGCGACAACCAGTTCTGACAGCGACTCCTGGAGTTGAAGATGACACGCACGGGAATCGGTGTGGTGGCGACGCGGCCCATACCAGCAGGAGATGTGGTCTGCCAATATTAGGGCCAGTACGTATTGGACCCCCCACGCGAGGCGGCGTATACGGTAGAATTGCGCCAACGGGACACGAAAGCACACCGCGTGTACGTCAGCGCGGAAGAGTGCGGCTCGGTGGCGCGGTTCGTAGAGCATTCTTGTACCCCGAACACCCACTTCCATAAGGTGCGGGGGAGGCGACGAGTGGTCGTGTCGCTGGTGGCGCAATCCGATATTGTCTCTGGGACAGAGGTCATTGTCGATTATACCGGCCAAACGAACAGCGCCCTCTGGTTCCATTGCCAGTGCGCCTTGCACCAGAACGAAAACCGAGACGCCTTGCGCGCGACCGCAATGAAGAAGGAAGTCGAGCCAGCAACTACTGTACATCAATTGTAACCTTGCGTATATTTCGAGATAAATATCTGCGTCGAAACCGCAATCGAGTGGCGCACTTGTAAAAGCGCTCTGCCGAACCGGACATCCCGGTCGCACGTGGTGCCTTTCTCGCTGACGCGTCGACGCAACGCCATATGCCAAACTGGACGAAGTGTACCCCGACCGAGTGGCCACCGCCTGCCGCCGTAGTCCCGAAGACGCCTGAAGAAGGTGACTACCCGATGCACCGGGATTACGGGAAGGCGGTTCACCTACGCTCCCGGGTCATGAAGCAGTGGAAGAAGAACTTTGGGCTGGCGCAGCGCGCGATGACGCTGCCGCCGGACACAGCAGGCATCGGCACGCGGGAAGAGTCAGCAGCACGGCGAAAATGCGGAAAGGATGGTCAAGAAGACGACGGAAGGGGAGAGTCAGAAGGTTGCCCTACGTGGTGGCCGGGAAGATCATCCACCCGAGTATGGTGGTGTCCAGCACCCAACGAAGGAAGGAAGAGAGCGGCGCAGCGCGATGATGAAGAAGAAATCAGGGAGGAGATCGACCTGACGCAAGCGGATAGCGACGACAAGGAACCAGCCAACGGAACGCGGGACTGGATACTGCAGAAATACAAAGTGGGGCATCAGGTACCGTGGCTGACGGACGTCCGGCGTATCACTATGATGCAGAACCCCTACAAGATCTCCTTTAACATACCTGGCGCACGAGAGGAGAAATGCGGATGTGAAGGACGATGAGAGATCGCGACGTGTCCGAACGCGGCGGAGAAGCAGGTATGTGAGACTGTTACGTGCACGCCAGGCGCGAAAGCGTGCGACAACCAGTTCTGACAGCGACTCCTGGAGTTGAAGATGACACGCACGGGAATCGGTGTGGTGGCGATGCGGCCCACACCAGCAGGAGGTGTGGTCTGCCAATATTAGGGCCAGTACGTATTGGACCCCCCCACGTGAGGCGGCGTATACGGTAGAATTGCGCCAACGGGACACGAAAGCACACCGCGTGTACGTCAGCGCGGAAGAGTGCGGCTCGGTGGCGCGGTTCGTAGAGCATTCTTGTACCCCGAACACCCACTTCCATAAGGTGCGGGGGAGGCGACGAGTGGTCGTGTCGCTGGTGGCGCAATCCGATATTGTCTCTGGGACAGAGGTCATTGTCGATTATACCGGCCAAACGAACAGCGCCCTCTGGTTCCATTGCCAGTGCGCCTTGCACCAGAACGAAAACCGAGACGCCTTGCGCGCGACCGCAATGAAGAAGGAAGTCGAGCCAGCAACTACTGTACATCAATTGTAACCTTGCGTATATTTCGAGATAAATATCTGCGTCGAAACCGCAATCGAGTGGCGCACTTGTAAAAGCGCTCTGCCGAACCGGACATCCCGGTCGCACGTGGTGCCTTTCTCGCTGACGCGTCGACGCAACGCCATATGCCAAACTGGACGAAGTGTACCCCGACCGAGTGGCCACCGCCTGCCGCCGTAGTCCCGAAGACGCCTGAAGAAGGTGACTACCCGATGCACCGGGATTACGGGAAGGCGGTTCACCTACGCTCCCGGGTCATGAAGCAGTGGAAGAAGAACTTTGGGCTGGCGCAGCGCGCGATGACGCTGCCGCCGGACACAGCAGGCATCGGCACGCGGGAAGAGTCAGCAGCACGGCGAAAATGCGGAAAGGATGGTCAAGAAGACGACGGAAGGGGAGAGTCAGAAGGTTGCCCTACGTGGTGGCCGGGAAGATCATCCACCCGAGTATGGTGGTGTCCAGCACCCAACGAAGGAAGGAAGAGAGCGGCGCAGCGCGATGATGAAGAAGAAATCAGGGAGGAGATCGACCTGACGCAAGCGGATAGCGACGACAAGGAACCAGCCAACGGAACGCGGGACTGGATACTGCAGAAATACAAAGTGGGGCATCAGGTACCGTGGCTGACGGACGTCCGGCGTGTCACTATGATGCAGAACCCCTACAAGATCTCCTTTAACATACCTGGCGCACGAGAGGAGAAATGCGGATGTGAAGGACGATGAGAGATCGCGACGTGTCCGAACGCGGCGGAGAAGCAGGTATGTGAGACTGTTACGTGCACGCCAGGCGCGAAAGCGTGCGACAACCAGTTCTGACAGCGACTCCTGGAGTTGAAGATGACACGCACGGGAATCGGTGTGGTGGCGACGCGGCCCATACCAGCAGGAGATGTGGTCTGCCAATATTAGGGCCAGTACGTATTGGACCCCCCACGCGAGGCGGCGTATACGGTAGAATTGCGCCAACGGGACACGAAAGCACACCGCGTGTACGTCAGCGCGGAAGAGTGCGGCTCGGTGGCGCGGTTCGTAGAGCATTCTTGTACCCCGAACACCCACTTCCATAAGGTGCGGGGGAGGCGACGAGTGGTCGTGTCGCTGGTGGCGCAATCCGATATTGTCTCTGGGACAGAGGTCATTGTCGATTATACCGGCCAAACGAACAGCGCCCTCTGGTTCCATTGCCAGTGCGCCTTGCACCAGAACGAAAACCGAGACGCCTTGCGCGCGACCGCAATGAAGAAGGAAGTCGAGCCAGCAACTACTGTACATCAATTGTAACCTTGCGTATATTTCGAGATAAATATCTGCGTCGAAACCGCAATCGAGTGGCGCACTTGTAAAAGCGCTCTGCCGAACCGGACATCCCGGTCGCACGTGGTGCCTTTCTCGCTGACGCGTCGACGCAACGCCATATGCCAAACTGGACGAAGTGTACCCCGACCGAGTGGCCACCGCCTGCCGCCGTAGTCCCGAAGACGCCTGAAGAAGGTGACTACCCGATGCACCGGGATTACGGGAAGGCGGTTCACCTACGCTCCCGGGTCATGAAGCAGTGGAAGAAGAACTTTGGGCTGGCGCAGCGCGCGATGACGCTGCCGCCGGACACAGCAGGCATCGGCACGCGGGAAGAGTCAGCAGCACGGCGAAAATGCGGAAAGGATGGTCAAGAAGACGACGGAAGGGGAGAGTCAGAAGGTTGCCCTACGTGGTGGCCGGGAAGATCATCCACCCGAGTATGGTGGTGTCCAGCACCCAACGAAGGAAGGAAGAGAGCGGCGCAGCGCGATGATGAAGAAGAAATCAGGGAGGAGATCGACCTGACGCAAGCGGATAGCGACGACAAGGAACCAGCCAACGGAACGCGGGACTGGATACTGCAGAAATACAAAGTGGGGCATCAGGTACCGTGGCTGACGGACGTCCGGCGTGTCACTATGATGCAGAACCCCTACAAGATCTCCTTTAACATACCTGGCGCACGAGAGGAGAAATGCGGATGTGAAGGACGATGAGAGATCGCGACGTGTCCGAACGCGGCGGAGAAGCAGGTATGTGAGACTGTTACGTGCACGCCAGGCGCGAAAGCGTGCGACAACCAGTTCTGACAGCGACTCCTGGAGTTGAAGATGACACGCACGGGAATCGGTGTGGTGGCGACGCGGCCCATACCAGCAGGAGATGTGGTCTGCCAATATTAGGGCCAGTACGTATTGGACCCCCCACGTGAGGCGGCGTATACGGTAGAATTGCGCCAACGGGACACGAAAGCACACCGCGTGTACGTCAGCGCGGAAGAGTGCGGCTCGGTGGCGCGGTTCGTAGAGCATTCTTGTACCCCGAACACCCACTTCCATAAGGTGCGGGGGAGGCGACGAGTGGTCGTGTCGCTGGTGGCGCAATCCGATATTGTCTCTGGGACAGAGGTCATTGTCGATTATACCGGCCAAACGAACAGCGCCCTCTGGTTCCATTGCCAGTGCGCCTTGCACCAGAACGAAAACCGAGACGCCTTGCGCGCGACCGCAATGAAGAAGGAAGTCGAGCCAGCAACTACTGTACATCAATTGTAACCTTGCGTATATTTCGAGATAAATATGTACGTCGAAACCGCAATCAAGTGGCGCACTAGCAAGAGGGTGCTGCCGGACCAGACATCCCAGTCGCACGTGGTGCCTTTCTCGCTGACGCGTCGACGCAACGCCATATGCCAAACTGGACGAAGTATACCCCGACCGAGTGACCACCGCCTGCCGCTGTAGTCCCGAAGACGCCTGAAGAAGGTGACTACCCGATGCACCGGGATTACGGGAAGGCGGTTCACCTACGCTCCCGGGTCATGAAGCAGTGGAAGAAGAACTTTGGGCTGGCGCAGCGCGCGATGACGCTGCCGCCGGACACAGCAGGCATCGGCACGCGGGAAGAGTCAGCAGCACGGCGAAAATGCGGGAAGGATGGTCAAGAAGACGACGGAAGGGGAGAGTCAGAAGGTTGCCCTACGTGGTGGCCGGGAAGATCATCCACCCGAGTATGGTGGTGTCCAGCACCCAACGAAGGAAGGAAGAGAGCGGCGCAGCGCGATGATGAAGAAGAAATCAGGGAGGAGATCGACCTGACGCAAGCGGATAGCGACAAGGAACCAGCCAACGGAACGCGGGACTGGATACTGCAGAAATACAAAGTGGGGCATCAGGTACCGTGGCTGACGGACGTCCGGCGTGTCACTATGATGCAGAACCCCTACAAGATCTCCTTTAACATACCTGGCGCACGAGAGGAGAAATGCGGATGTGAAGGACGATGAGAGATCGCGACGTGTCCGAACGCGGCGGAGAAGCAGGTATGTGAGACTGTTACGTGCACGCCAGGCGCGAAAGCGTGCGACAACCAGTTCTGACAGCGACTCCTGGAGTTGAAGATGACACGCACGGGAATCGGTGTGGTGGCGACGCGGCCCATACCAGCAGGAGATGTGGTCTGCCAATATTAGGGCCAGTACGTATTGGACCCCCCACGTGAGGCGGCGTATACGGTAGAATTGCGCCAACGGGACACGAAAGCACACCGCGTGTACGTCAGCGCGGAAGAGTGCGGCTCGGTGGCGCGGTTCGTAGAGCATTCTTGTACCCCGAACACCCACTTCCATAAGGTGCGGGGGGGGCGACGAGTGGTCGTGTCGCTGGTGGCGCAATCCGATATTGTCTCTGGGACAGAGGTCATTGTCGATTATACCGGCCAAACGAACAGCGCCCTCTGGTTCCATTGCCAGTGCGCCTTGCACCAGAACGAAAACCGAGACGCCTTGCGCGCGACCGCAATGAAGAAGGAAGTCGAGCCAGCAACTACTGTACATCAATTGTAACCTTGCGTATATTTCGAGATAAATATCTGCGTCGAAACCGCAATCGAGTGGCGCACTTGTAAAAGCGCTCTGCCGAACCGGACATCCCGGTCGCACGTGGTGCCTTTCTCGCTGACGCGTCGACGCAACGCCATATGCCAAACTGGACGAAGTGTACCCCGACCGAGTGGCCACCGCCTGCCGCCGTAGTCCCGAAGACGCCTGAAGAAGGTGACTACCCGACGGACCAGGATTACGGGAAGGCGTTTCACCTACGCTCCCGGGTCATGAAGCAGTGGAAGAAGAACTTTGGGCTGGCGCAGCGCGCGATGACGCTGCCGCCGGACACAGCAGGCATCGACACGCGGGAAGAGTTAGAAGCAGGGCGAAAATGCGGAAAGGATGGTCAAGAAGACGACGGAAGGGGAGAGTCAGAAGGTTGCCCTACGTGGTGGCCGGGAAGATCATCCACCCGAGTATGGTGGTGTCCAGCACCCAACGAAGGAAGGAAGAGAGCGGCGCAGCGCGATGATGAAGAAGAAATCAGGGAGGAGATCGACCTGACGCAAGCGGATAGCGACGACAAGGAACCAGCCAACGGAACGCGGGACTGGATACTGCAGAAATACAAAGTGGGGCATCAGGTACCGTGGCTGACGGACGTCCGGCGTGTCACTATGATGCAGAACCCCTACAAGATCTCCTTTAACATACCTGGCGCACGAGAGGAGAAATGCGGATGTGAAGGACGATGAGAGATCGCGACGTGTCCGAACGCGGCGGAGAAGCAGGTATGTGAGACTGTTACGTGCACACCAGGCGCGAAAGCGTGCGACAACCAGTTCTGACAGCAACTCCTGGAGTTGAAGATGACACGCACGGGAATCGGCGTGATGGCGATGCGGCCCACACCAGCAGGAGGTGTGGTCTGCCAATATTAGGGCCAGTACGTATTGGACCCCCCACGTGAGGCGGCGTATACGGTAGAATTGCGCCAACGGGACACGAAAGCACACCGCGTGTACGTCAGCGCGGAAGAGTGCGGCTCGGTGGCGCGGTTCGTAGAGCATTCTTGTACCCCGAACACCCACTTCCATAAGGTGCGGGGGAGGCGACGAGTGGTCGTGTCGCTGGTGGCGCAATCCGATATTGTCTCTGGGACAGAGGTCATTGTCGATTATACCGGCCAAACGAACAGCGCCCTCTGGTTCCATTGCCAGTGCGCCTTGCACCAGAACGAAAACCGAGACGCCTTGCGCGCGACCGCAATGAAGAAGGAAGTCGAGCCAGCAACTACTGTACATCAATTGTAACCTTGCGTATATTTCGAGATAAATATCTGCGTCGAAACCGCAATCGAGTGGCGCACTTGTAAAAGCGCTCTGCCGAACCGGGCATCCCGGTCGCACGTGGTGCCTTTCTCGCTGACGCGTCGACGCAACGCCATATGCCAAACTGGACGAAGTGTACCCCGACCGAGTGGCCACCGCCTGCCGCCGTAGTCCCGAAGACGCCTGAAGAAGGTGACTACCCGACGGACCGGGATTACGGGAAGGCGGTTCACCTACGCTCCCGGGTCATGAAGCAGTGGAAGAAGAACTTTGGGCTGGCGCAGCGCGCGATGACGCTGCCGCCGGACACAGCAGGCATCGACACGCGGGAAGAGTTAGCAGCACGGCGAAAATGCGGAAAGGATGGTCAAGAAGACGACGGAAGGGGAGAGTCAGAAGGTTGCCCTACGTGGTGGCCGGGAAGATCATCCACCCGAGTATGGTGGTGTCCAGCACCCAACGAAGGAAGGAAGAGAGCGGCGCAGCGCGATGATGAAGAAGAAATCAGGGAGGAGATCGACCTGACGCAAGCGGATAGCGACGACAAGGAACCAGCCAACGGAACGCGGGACTGGATACTGCAGAAATACAAAGTGGGGCATCAGGTACCGTGGCTGACGGACGTCCGGCGTGTCACTATGATGCAGAACCCCTACAAGATCTCCTTTAACATACCTGGCGCACGAGAGGAGAAATGCGGATGTGAAGGACGATGAGAGATCGCGACGTGTCCGAACGCGGCGGAGAAGCAGGTATGTGAGACTGTTACGTGCACGCCAGGCGCGAAAGCGTGCGACAACCAGTTCTGACAGCGACTCCTGGAGTTGAAGATGACACGCACGAGAATCGGCGTGATGGCGACGCGGCCCACACCAGCAGGAGGTGTGGTCTGTCAATATTAGGGCCAGTACGTATTGGACTCCCCACGTGAGGCGGCGTATACGGTAGAATTGCGCCAACGGGACACGAAAGCACACCGCGTGTACGTCAGCGCGGAAGAGTGCGGCTCGGTGGCGCTGTTCGTAGAGCATTCTTGTACCCCGAACACCCACTTCCATAAGGTGCGAGGGAGGCGACGAGTGGTCGTGTCGCTGGTGGCGCAATCCGATATTGTCTCTGGGACAGAGGTCATTGTCGATTATACCGGCCAAACGAACAGCGCCCTCTGGTTCCATTGCCAGTGCGGGATCTCTAACCAATGGCGTTAGTCTTTCGATTCAGTTTACAGGGTCATGTGATGCCATAAGTTCCACTGGGACTTAGTTGTCGCATTGTCAATGAAGTGAAAGAGAGCAACACAGTTTCAACGGCGTTTCCTTCTTAACTTTACGGATCGCGCACTGAGATGTAGATGAAGCCTAAGCTATAAATGCGCCATTGCGCAGTTCTTCGACTCCAACTTCCTCCACGTTCTCGTAGGTCACTGAGTATGTCACGGCCGTCCCGTCCTTCAAAGCACTCAGTTGGTCGACCACAATGCGAAAGTCTCTCGAGTTGTTTGTCCACAATTAAAAGAGGTATTCAAGAAAGATTCACCGATCATTACACTTGGTGCATGATGTTCCTATGGAAGTAGTCACATCAGATTGTGGATGGCCTTGGAAAAATGACCGGCTTTCAAAAGTCAGTCTTCTCTCGGAGATGGCTCGTCCAGGTCGTCTTCCGGCAATCGCGGCTCATTCAAGTCGATTTTTTGCCGTTTCTGCGTTGGAAGCTCATTTAAGTCAATATTATGTCGTTTCGGCACCAATTCTTCATTCAGAGTTTTTTGCAGTGTTTCAGCGACGGCTTTCATCCTCTCGACCTTTGCTCCCTCAGCTAGAATTCTGCCCACATCCTCCTTGTAAACACTTCTCAGAGTCGAGATCATCGCATTCGTTGCTTGTAGCTCATCCGGAAATCTCGAACTGACGTAAGTGAACCACTTAGAAAAAAGTAGGCTAGCGAAAAGGTTGTCAGTTGTCTGATCGTGGAGTTCCAAAAGGTTGAAAACGCTTGTCACATCTTTCTTCTCTCTTACCCACACGTCAATCTGGCTGTTTAGGCGTTGTTCAGCTAACAATTTTGTACTGTCGCTCTTTATCGCTGCAACTAAAACCTTGGCCAGATCGTCGCCCGTGCAATAATCTTCCAAGAAGGTGAACTTCTTTATCTCGGCCTCTTTCGGGGAGTTGTATCGTAAGTTAACGAAACTTACCCAAACGAAAAATAGCGGTCTTTCAAGTAGGTCGCCACTTTGCTGGTGGATCTGCAAGAGCTCGAATACCTCTTTCTCAGATAACTTTTCAAAAGCCCACCCTCTGACCTGATACTTTAGCATACTTGCAGCAATTTGTGCCACTTTAGCAACCTTTGTTCCCGCAACGAAAACCCTGGTCAAATCTTCCGTCTGGTACTGGCCTGCCAAGAAACTAAACATTTCGTCTTCGTAAAACTTTTTGTCGAATCTGGACTTCAGGTAATCGACCCACCCAGGAAATAGTGGGCTTGCAAAAAGTTTGTCTCCGGTCTGTTCGAGCTCCAAAAGCTTGAAAAACCTTTCCGGGCTTTCGATCTTGGCATCTCCCCATAAACGGAGCTGGTGGTCTACCAGTCGTTCAGCAATGGTTTTGACACCATCTGTCTTCGTTCCCGCAACTAGAGTACTGCACAGCGCAGCAACGTCCTTTTCAAAATGTATAGCCAAGACGGACAATACTTGGTCTGCCATTTCCGTCATCTCGGGGAACCTTGACCGCACGAATGCGGTCCACTTGAGAAAAAGTGGGTTTGTAATAGGATTGCCACCCGTCTGTTGGAATTGCAACAGCTCGAAAACCTTTGCAGGATCTTTCTCCAATTCTACCCACTTCTTGATCTGAAGATCTATCATTTTTGCCACGATGCCCTTCACACCATTGATCTTTGCTCCCTCAACTAGAACACTGGCGAGATCATCGCCCGGAAAACGAGATGCCAACATCATGAACATCACCTCCCATACAACTTTTGTATCCTGGTATTGTTCCGTGACGAATTTTTTCCAGTCGGAAATGTCTGCCTTCAAAAATGTTGCGATTCTCCGTGGCGCGTGTAAGATCAGAAAACTTTTCATTCACAGCTCTTATCCGAGGAGCTAAGTTAGCGACCTTGGCTTTTTGTTCCTCCTCAGGTAGGTCGCTGAAGCTGAATAGATGCCATTTCCCCAAGACAGAATCAAATTCCTCCGGCACCGTGATCATCCTCTCCTCAGCATTGTCGGTATAGATACTCACGTTTGCGTTGGAGATCGCAATTGGAGTGTGAACCGCATCCAATGGACTGGAGTCGTTTCCGCTGGACATGATATCCTTAGGCATCGCGGAGGCTACGCTTGCGGCTGATCATGCGACCAGCGCGATCAGAGTCAGCATCTTTTGCGTTGGAAAAGAGGGACGTAACAGTGCCGGGTCTGGTTAGCAAGATGCGAAGTGGAAAGGCTATATGACCTCGGGAACCTTGAATTGGCTAGACGATACAAACAATTTCCTCTCCACTGTGGTATCCGCTGGATTCAGCACATCGCAACCGTAAATAAAAAAAGGCAGAGCAATGTAATGGTATCGACAGCATATTTGTCGAGGAATGAGGCTGGTATTGGCGGTGCAATTGGATGACAGAACATTGAGAAATGGACTGGTGTCGGTCGGATGATGTTTTTAATTGATTAGCAAGCTATTGGGAGCAAGTCCGAATTGGCAGCGCGTAATTGCCGTCTCTAAGGAGGCGATACAAATATGACGACAAGTGCATAAATTCCTATTTACTATGGCTGTAGTCATATAGGGAAGTAATCATTCTTAGGTTCCGATTACATATAAAGTACCATTGTTATTTTTTGTAAATTATAATTGATACGCTTTCGATCAAATTGGTTTTAAACAGGGCGTCTAAATTACGAAAGTTTCTTTAAATAAATTTGAATTTTCAAAATACAATATCCAAAAAGAAATGACAATGGACGATAAAAAGTGTACGCACGTAAATACTGACGCATTGCAGGCGGCAGTGGATGCCCGTCAACAGCAACGAGCAGACGATAAGACGAGTAAAGTGCACGAAGACGAAGGAGATGAACCAACACCCATGATTATAACGCTCTCGAGCTGTGTAGATTACAATGATATCCAAGAGAATGAACTCTACTACGTGGGTACAGCAGGAGTGAAGGTCACCGAAATAGACCGAGTAGAAATGCTGCAATCATTACAGAAACTTCACGTACGCTCCAATTTACTTGATTCAATGGCAAATGTGGCGTCTCTAGTAAACTTGGAGCACTTGGAGCTTTATGATAATCAGATTCAGGCCATTGACGGCGTGCAGGAGCTGATAAACCTTAAAGTGCTGGATTTATCCTTTAATGAGATTCGTGCAATTCCAGACTTGAGTCATCTTGATCAACTAGAGGAACTCTATGTGGCCAATAACAAATTAAAGAAAATCTCGGGCATTGAAAACCTCTCGAAGTTGAGAAAATTAGATCTTGGAGCCAATCGACTTCGAACTATTGAAGGTCTGAATGGACTTTTGGAATTAAAGGAGTTATGGCTGGGAAAAAACAAAATCACGACGATTCAGGGACTGGAGAAGCTTACGAAATTGAAGATTATCAGTGTACAGAGCAATCGCGTGGTCACGATTACGGGATTTGCAAACAATGTGGACTTGGAGGAGCTTTATCTGAGTCACAACGGTATTGAGAAGATTGAGAATATCGAGCACTTGGTAGGCTTTTGTCTTGTGCTGTGAAGTGGGTTTGTGATGTCATTGAAACACGCTTATGGTTGATATTTGTGTTGTTGCCTTTTCCTTGTGTAGACGAACTTGACAACCATGGATTTTGCTGGAAACCGTATTACGAACATCCCGACAAACTTGGCTCCACTCTTGCAGCTGGAAGATTTGTGGCTGAATGACAATCTGGTCGCACATTATGAGGATGTGGAGAACCTAGTGCCTCTAACAAAGCTACGCACGCTGTACCTAGAGCGAAACCCACTCGCTCAAGACTTTGAGTACCGAAAAAAGCTGGAGGAATTGTTGCCGCAGCTTAACCAAATTGACGCAACACCGACGACAAAGGCGAGACAAGGGCGTATATAGTCGCGAGTGTGGTCGTCTATCACTGCGACTGGAAATATTGCATACAGACCAAGTAACTAGGAAAACTGAATTTTAAGTACATTTTTCGTGGTTCATTTGCTAAATTTAAAGCTTTAGTCGCAAAATACCATATCGACCTTACCGGTATATATCTGTAAATGTACAGATTTTATCTAGGTCTAATTCATCGGATAACATTTTAATTATAGCGAAAAATTACGTGCTTTAACGCCACAAAACTGTAACAGCCCGAGCATTGCAATTATGGAGGGGATGCTCAACTACTTCGTTCCGGAGGATGGAGATTCGTCTGACCACCTAAATGTGGTACCATTGCCACGTGTAGACTTGTTACGACTGCAACATATAAAAAAAGTACGTGCATCTTGCTAAATGTATATATAAAAGGGTTTTTATTAAACTTTATGCTCTTATTTCGTATTTAACGTCTTTAGAGCTTCCCGTTACCTGGCAATTTCCACTTTCGCTTTAAAACGGCCTTTGAAGGAACATATGGTGCGATTAGTTGGAGAGATATTTTTACATTTAAAGAGCAAAACTATGAAAAAGCTGACTAGGATTCCCTTCTAGTGTGGCTGGACGTGGTCAATGACACGGATCCAGTGCCGGACTTTGACGGACTCATTATCTGTAAAATTTCACGCGTCCAAAGCAAAAACTCCATGCGCCCAGCAGAGCAAACAGAGACTCTTCCGAAGGCTCAAGTGGAGGCACCCGATCTCATTCAGACATCGGAAAATCCATTGTCACCTGGTGCGTCATGAAAAGTGACGTGATATTGTTGTTGTATAAGTGATATAGATTTATGGAACTTCTTTTTGTGTACAGATCAGCGACAAGAGGAATCTCCAATTGTGCAAAAGACTTTTAACGACGATTTGGTTGGACTGGTAAGTTTTGGTGCGATAGAAAAGTGATTGTTGTTATAGACAGAAAGTGATATGTGGATGGGTGGTGGTTTTGCTAGCTGTCGGATCCAGTGCCTTCATCAACATCACAAGCTGCTTCGACCACTTCTCCAGTTCCTCCAGTACGAAAAGTCACTGTGATAATGTTACATTGCTGGTGCTCATCGCAACTAACGTGTAATGTTTATTTCGCTGTTATTGGAACAGACAAGTTCTCCTCCTCCTTCTCAGGTATCTCATGATCCATTTGATGTCTTCGCTGGTAATAGTGCGGCTCCTATGCGGCCGACACCTATCTCCGCTACGATGGCAAGCAACGGACCTCGTGGCTTATCGCCGACAACTACAGGAAACCATGGCGGACCATATGGAACTAAAGGAGGGTTCAATGCTATGGGTGTTGGAGGTCCGTCACCAATGGTTCCTCGAGGTCCTAGCGGCATGAATATCAGTCAGATGCATCTAGGCATGAGTCCAGGTATGCAGCAGCAGCAACAACAGCAGAATAGCTTTCAAGGTTTGCAGTGGCAAGGCATGGGACAACAGCATCAGTCGCAACAGCAACAGCAACGGAACCTCAATACGAGGCAATGGTAACGTCCTTATATTCCGAACGAGCACATGCTCTGAACATCGAAAGCAGTACTGTAAAGTCGAAATATATGAACAAGAGTATAGCCCAAGTTGAAGTCGTTGTGCTGTCCATCTGTCGATTATTAGTGGGCTACCACAACTACTCAACTCAAACATCTCTTCTTTTGTCAAGATATCTTGAAACGTTTTTCTCAACAGTCACCTTCCTACATCATAATCGATCAAAGTCAAGAGAGAAAAAAAGCTCTTCTTCCTTCATCATGTCAATTGAACCATCTCGTTATGGTCCAAAGTTTCATCGTGTCACAATATCTCGAGATGTCTTTGAAGTTCGTTCGCATTACGTTAATTTACGTCCTGTAGGTGGTGGATCCTACGGTATTGTTTGTTCTGCTGAAGATACGGTATCTCTCCATTCTACTTTTTTTCTCTTTAAACCGTCTAAAGTCTTGTCCCTGCAACGATCTTTTTCAATTGAAAGCTTCGGTTCTTATACAATTGTTGCAATACTATTGTTCATGTAGTTACGAGGTCGTAAAGTCGCCATCAAGAAAATCACGGACGTATTCGACGATCTCACGGACGCGAAACGGATTTTACGTGAAATGAAGCTACTTCGACACCTCGGAGTGCATGAAAACATCATCAATGTAAGACTTGAAGCGGCTAATTGTTAGTCATTGTTGTTGCTGATGAGGATGCAATCGGTTCGTTTTGTTGGTTGGTTGGTGCAGATTCTTGAGGTGATTCTAGTCCCACCCAATGTCATGGACTTTCAAGATATTTACATTGTCACGGACCTTATGGAGAGCGACTTGGAACGTATCATCAGCTCGTCCCAGCCTCTCTCGGATGCTCACTTTCAGTACTTTTTGTACCAGATTCTACGTGGCATGAAGTTTGTGCATTCTGGAAATGTGCTGCATCGTGACCTAAAGCCATCTAATTTGCTCGTTAACTCGAACTGTGACTTGTCCATTTGTGACTTTGGACTGGCACGAGGAGTGGAAACGGCATTTAACGAAGACTTGACAGAGTATGTCGTCACACGCTGGTACCGAGCACCGGAACTCCTTACAGATTGTCAGAATTACAACGACGCAGTGGACGTTTGGGCCATTGGATGCATTTTTGCTGAAATGCTCCGTCGTCGACCATTCTTTACCGGAAGAGACCCGTCCGACCAATTGCATATGATTATTCGTGTACTTGGCTCGCCTACGGAAGAAGAAATGGCCTTCGTGCCGCATGAAGCTGCCAAGCGAGCGATCTTGCAGCATGGATTTTATCCAAAGGTACGTCGAGCTTGTTATCCATTGATGCATGTCAGTTGATTATTTGACATGTACTGCATGTACACAGCGTCCGTTGATGGAGTTTTTTCCCGATGCCAACCCACTAGCGGTCGATTTGCTCTCTCAGATGCTCAAGTTCAATCCTGCCGAGCGCATTTCCGTCGTCCAGGCATTGGCACATCCGTACCTGGCACAACTTCAGAACCCCGTACGTACTTCAAAGTGTCTTGTCACACGATAACTTAACTAAATGCTATCGTTGCACGATAGACCGACGAGCCCGTTTGTGCCGAGGCTTTTAACTTCGACTTCGAGCGCGAGTCCTTAGATTTGGGTGTGGAGATGCCTAAGGAGGAGCTACAACGGCTGGTCTTCCAGGAGTGCATGTCAATCCACGAGATCGAAGCACACCAATAGCAATAAGTGCAAATGGATCAGTGAACTTTCGTGCTGCCGATCGAAGGTTCAGTAACGAAGCGATCTACTGGCCACCTACACGCTCATCCCGCAATAATGCATTGTACAAACTCATGGATTCATTAAGCTACCGACTGTGCTTTCCTACGTCAACTAACATACTAACGGTCAATGGTTCCATATCGGGCAAATCCAGCTAAGTCCACTATCACGTCAAATGTCTGTCGAAACGTCTGACGTTGGCTGATGTATCCAAGCAAACAGTACAACGAGTAGCAAGATCTTCTTCAATCACCACCATAGACACTGCTACGATGTCGTTGTCCATTGGACGATGTCTGATGGTTCCACTTACGCATCGATAAGATAGGGTTGGTCTTGGATCCTGGCGGCATTTTCCTCCCGCTGCAATGAGATGGAAAGTCTTCTTAGAATTTTCATGACAACGGTTGTTTGTACGAGGTAGATGACCACGCAAGACAAGTAAGGCTAGTCAAGATGCTGTTGGAAACCGCTTGAAGAAAAAGAGGTATCGACTCTACTTTCCAGAATCACCAAAGCACATGTACGCATAAGCCTCTTCTGACTGGACTCGAAACTCGCACGACATGGATCATCGGATCGGATAAAACGATGGGGGTCGTCCATACATGCTCAATCTTGTGTTGGGCGGCTTGACAATGATTGTTTTCCTGTAGTTCTTTGTTGCCTGGCGGTGCAGCTCTGTTGATCATGGAAAAGTTTGGCGCTAGATTGAAAAAACAGCAGCGTGGTCGAGTATGATACGCTCAAGAAGAGAAGGCTCGTACGCATGGCTGTTTAAACACACTTTTGTTGATCGCCTATATGTACACTTGGGTTTAATGTCAACAGGAGGGCTCTGCTAGAAACTTGAACCACTGCGTGGAGTCTGCTTGATACCTCTTCTCTCTAACCTTCCTCGTTCTCAACTCGAGCCCGACGTACCATAGAGTGAGTTAGCATGCGATCGGCACAGACCTTTCTTCTTCACGTGCTTGGTGCAGTCAGCTACACGACACTTGCGCTTACCGCCATGAGCAGTGCACAGATCTTGTCGCACCACACCCTTCTGACAGCCCTTGACGCTACAGCGTCTGCCTCCGCCGTGGCGGATACAAAGTCCCATGCTGCGCTGGATATTGGAGCACCCCGTGGCACGGCAGATGCGGCCGCCACCGTGAGCCACACACAGCCCCTTGCTCTGTGCACCACGCGTGCACCCCTTTCGTTGACATCGACGGCCTCCACCGTGGCTAATGCACAGTCCTCGGGTCACAGCGTTGCTAGCACACTGAGGAAAAGCACAGAGCTTTTTCTCGCGCTTGGCCTCGTTCGCCTCCACAGTGTCGGACCGAGGGGAGTCCGAGATGCGCATAGAGCGACCGGCTTGCTCGAGTTGGTTCATCGAGTCGACCGGATCGGCTAGTGAGCTTAAAGAGCTCCGAACCGGTCGGTCCAGCCACTGCGTCAGGTCAATAGACTCGGCAGCCGTCCGCTTGAGATGGCGCACCAGCGTGGGTGCATCCATAGAAGTGCTGCGCTCCAACCGATGGCGCTGGAAGCCGTCATCTCGTGACGAGGTTTCACGATGGGGTAGACTTCCACGCAGTGTGACGACGTCATTGCTACCGGATTGTGTCCGCACGTAGGTCTGTGGGTCAATGGTCAGTTTCCAGCTATGCTCAGCGGCAGGTAAGACCACCTTCTCCAATGGCCTAGTGGAGTTAGGTCCTGCTGCTACGCCCGGGTTTGTATCGGAGGGACATGATGACGAGCGCATATAGCGGAAGGGTTGACACAGATCAGCGATAGACATGATACTCGTTTCCTGTGTGTACTGCCGCTTGAGTGGCGGGATGGGTGACGGACAGATCTCGGAGAAGCTGCCGGACCGTTGAAGGACGCTACTGCTTTGTCCAAAAGCTGGTAGACTTGGCCGTGTTTCTTCAGTCGTCCGGGTGTCCTCCTTGTTGGAATGCGGCGACGTACTTGCCCACTTTTGTGGAGATAATGGAGGTGTAAGACTTGGTAAACGAAAGGATGGCGAGGTACCGCCATTACCATGTGAATTGTCTAAATTGAAGACACCTCCTTCTCTTAGCATACCACCGTAGACGGCACTGGGTGGTGACGTCGTGCGCTCGGGGCTACGCTCAGGGCTACGTACACTGAGTTTGGGAATGTAGCCGAGTGTTTGCTTGGCCATGAACCGCGTCAGTTGATTGTGGTGATTGAGTGGTGCCAGCACCGCGGGTACATTTGATGAAGACGAAGGCGAACGTTGCCGAAGACCGTCGAGTGTCGGCAGAGCCTGCGGCGTCCGTGAATCGTCGTCGGTGGCGCAACTCACGTCCACGTCGTCGGGTTTACCGTCCGTGGGTGGCTCATGATCGGGCTCCCATTGATGCCAGTTCTGGGCATTGTTGCTCACGTTCTCACTCATGTAGTCTGCAAGACCCATTTTGTCGTCGGGCCGATCTTGGTTGTAAAGTGGCGTGCGGTCTCGACGGTGCTGAAGCGAGAATGGAAAAACTCAAGCACGCTGCGTCGCGACTTTTGACACGACGTGAACGATATCCTGCAAGAGGGAGAATGAAATACCGTTTGGGCACGACCAAGGACAAAATATGGAAGAGCTGCTGGACGCCCGCCTGGCGTGGCCGCCGGCTCATCTGCTGCGACCGCAAGCGAGAATGGAGACTAAGTGACGATAGCCGCAGCTCGAACTTCATCGTCGAACTGCAAGTCGACAGTCATCATTCATGTTTGCAAATCCGTGCATGCCATGAATGGATCTACGAAACTAGAATTAATGCACCAAGGAGGAAAGAGGGGGGGGGGATTGCACAAAGCTTTTGCAGTATCTAGTGTGGTGAACGGTACTTGAAAGAGCAGCAATCCGGAAGCATCATCTGGTAACGATTTCTTACGCCGCGCCTGTCGATTTTGAGGGTACCACTAGCAATGATGGCGTGCTTTGACGTGCTGATTTCTCACGGCCGTTTCAGTGTGGCGTTTGCAGCGAGGTCACCCTAAAAAACGAAGGGGTGGTTACAGTATACAACCGGCGAGTTCAACGGATGCCAAAAGGTCGGCAATGGAGGCACGTTACGATTTGAAGTCAGTTGCTTCGTCTTTGAGAAAGATACTGTTCCATTGACAAGCGTTTTTTGCTTGGCTAAGTGAATAATCAATGTGAAAGCGATTTGCCATGTCACCTCTGCGGAGTCAGACGTGATAATTTGCGCCACGGTGACAGTAGAGAGACATCAGATAAGTGTTTCTCCGTATGATGTTGCAAGAATCCTCATTCGAAATCGAGTTGTACCACACTGTCGCAATCTGTTTTCGAGTCACGCTTAGCGGGATACCGTGTCGACACATGAATTATGTCCAACATGTTGAAGTCTCACATTATGGACGATCCCACACTCTTTGAGCATAAGGTTCACGACACTCCTTGTGATCTGTTTGGGTTGCCCATAACTCGAACAAAGAGCCGCTATAGTAATCGAACGCCAAGCAGCAACGGGTAGAATAAGAGTTCGACAGTTGAAGATTCAAACAAATCCAACGTACGACAGACATAAAAACAATGCTCCGAATCGCAGCTGGGCGTGTGTGTGTGGGTAATTGACTCGGCAATTTCGACAGCGTTACTCAACCTTCAGCTTCGTATCCAAGGATCAGACGCGCGGGTGAGAAGAGCTGTTCAAAGTAATGCCTGTAGTATATTATCTTGACGGAATTCCGTTTCATGGAAACGGACGTTTTGTCACACTGTAAAAAGGTGACCAGGGTATCCATGAATTCCGAACGCTAAGCGACTAACAGTTGATCAACATGATCCATTCACACGGCATTGCATACACTACAGACAAGCGCTTTATCCAGTATGTGCAGCTCTATGATGCTGACTTTCTCAATGGTCCACGACACATGTTTCATTCAGAGATAGCTGAAGTCATCTGCTCCTTAGGGTCGGCTGGGGTATGATCAGAATGCACGATCAACAGCCAGCACACAATGTACCTCGCCAAGCAAATAGCTTTCACCATCGACCAGATACGTAAAACCAGCAGCAGCCTTTTCCTTTCACAATACTGATGCGACTGCCGGTTGGGGTCCTACTTGGCGAAATAAGCTCGGATATGAATATACATAGAGCACGCAGAGGCCAATGTTGCTTGTTTCAATGGCCAAGTGACAAGGTCAGCTTAGATCGGTAGAGATGGTGTATTCCGGCGAACGTAACGTATTGCGAGTTCCGCTAACAGGACATCTCGTACACAAAATGGAAGGGCAATTGCAACGAGATTGCGATTGCGCGCAGCTCTAAGCGGAGGTTTACTCATGTAGCTTGGTGATGTGTTCGCGTACTATCGGATCGAGCGAAATCAAGCATGGTTCGGGAATGTTCAGCGGTCATACGTCATACGTTATCAGGTACTGTAAGCAGAAAGACAGCCGACCTACCTCTTCCAGCAGTATCCATGGCGATCGAGAATGTCGCTTCGACATGATTGGTTTCTAGGTTTTGAGATATCTGATCCAGGTCTCCGCGTCCGAAAAGATTCAAGATGCATCGATTGAATAACGCATAGGACGCTCTGAAATGAGCATTTTGCAGAAACACAACTTGAAGTTGAAAGTAGAAGGCAGCAGTGGCCTTAGGTCGAGTACGTGTTCTGTCGCTGTGCTAAGATTTTCAGCGACATAACCATCATAGCCCTCGACGATTTTGAGAGCGCAGCTGACGTTTGATCAAAGCGCTTCCGCAAAAACGTGCAGCATCATACGGGCAATTTACATGAGCGTGGTCCAACAATGACGACGTTTGCTAGCTCGGTCACCGCTTCGGTTGTGTCACGAACGCTGATGTAAACATTCAAGCAAATAGAGCCTCCAAGTACCTCGCCGTCAGAATGCACCATAACTAGGCTACGTATACCAATCTCGCACCTGAGTAATGCTTCCGAGACTAGTACTTACTAGCTTGATCTGAGATCATCGCTATTGCAAGATTAGAAAGAGCTGTCACGCAACACAGAGGGTGGTTAGGATCTCAATCAAACTGAGCACCATAATGTCTTGTTGTGAGCTAGACATATATGGCATTCTTGTCGACGTAGTAGGCGTTTCCAAAACACAGCGTATCGCATACCCACTACGATTTCCGTGCTGGAATCACATCGTAGGGTGTCCGAGCGCCAAGTGTCGGCATGGAAGATAGACAGTAAGCACGGGATGATCGTTGCCGGTTTCGTCCCAAGCGACGACTGAGAATTAGCTCGTGCGTTTCGAGCAGTTTTTCGTCGCAATGGCTTTAAGCAAATTTCCACAATGAGCAGATGTGATTTGTCTCGCTACAGGAATTAAGGGTATTCAACGCATAGACTGGATCATGTACGTTGGTCGTCTAGCTGCTTAACGATGAAACCACCGCCTAAATTCTTTCGAGTCGATCCCGACGAGAACTCAGTGATGTAGAGGCGATTGCGAGTGCGACTTACTCGCGTATAAGCGCTTATTATGCAACCTTAGTCGTACCGTGATCAGGAGAGTTGCCGCGCGCTTACTCCGGGCACCCGCTGCGTTTCTTACATCGATGTAGTTAGTAGTGTCTTGCGAAGACAGACGTCGACGAAAGTCGGCAAGAGGCCAAATATTGTCAGCCGAATAGTGATGCTATGGCTTTGGCTTAAGGTACGAAAAAAGAAGTGCTTGATCTACGTGGGGCAGTTAGTGAGCTCGTACTAGGAACGTACCCATTATCACGGTCAGCTGAAGCACTGCTTCATTGGACCATTCAAAATCCTAAGTGGGCACGGACGATCGACTTTCCAAAGTCGACTGGCAACTATCCTTACACTTTATGGACGTCTTCAGAGCGGCAACACGACCCACAGGGCCAGGCTGTTCCGCAGAAAACAGAGAGGTGAGCCGTGACCAGGGGACAAAGCTCCGCAAAACGAGAATGAATTAATCAATCTAAAGATCTTGCAGCGAGAGGTGCCGCAGCCTGTTGAGCAAAACCCACTAATTGTCAACAGATTGGTCGGACTGCTTTCCGACTAGCCTACAAGCGACTCAAGTAGAAACAAGTCATCGTGAACACGATAATCTTTGCTCATTCTCCAACCGATAACATGCTGGTATACGATATTGTACGGAAACAGCCTCACTACCAACAAGAAGAAGGAGCCGATAAAATGGCTCGAGATATAGACATCATTAGTACATGATGCTGCGGGAATGTCACGGAGAAGTAGATACAATCACATCAGTTAGCGTTATACGTCGAAACGACAATGACATGGTGCCAAGCTCAGACACTGAGCCCATGATCGGTTAGTAACGTGCACGAGGGAGAGATCGAAAAAGTTGTGATGCGATTACTTGGTGCAAAAAGGATTGCAATCGTCGAACAACAAAAACGTTAGCCCTTTGCTGTGTCGTTGTAATGGTCACTTGATCCGACACACGATATTACTTACGTTTCATATTGTTGTTTACCGCTAACAACATCACGCACGCCATGCACATCCCAGCCATACCTTCCCCGAATCGCTCTCTGCTGTTCCAGATGCTTGTTACCAAGAGTCAGTTGGCTCGGTCTATTGCAAATACATGTGTGATTGATCCCCTTTAGTCACTCCGTCGTGGTGCTTTGTATACGTAGCAAACACTTTTTGTTTTGCAATAACAAAACTCGTCAAAATGAACCTCGAAGCCGGTGAAGTCAAGCTGTTGCGTCACAATGAGGAACCTCGTTGCGGTGGTCGATTTGGAGTTGTGTGGAGACTTGTCGTAGTTGTCATGGTTAGCGCTTTTTTCGTGGTAACTCAATGTACCAACTACACCCACCACTTTCACGCCCACATTGCCAAGCACCGTATTCTTCGCAACTTGCAAGAACAGCCAGCACTTCGATTCACTTTTGAACTTAAACGCAAGGCCATGTATGTCCATGGTGCCTCAACATTTGACGTTGTTGCGATTCCTGCACCAAAACGTTCAGCTGATGACAAAAGTATGGAGTACAACGGGATAGCGTCGTTTGAGAAGGATGGACATTTGCACGTGTATTCTCTCGTGAATGGCACGGCGTACTACACACGGTATCAGAATAACGAAATAGTATCGGACACGGAAACAGGATGTCTTCCTTCAGGCATCGTTCCGCCTATTGGGAGTGTCCTGAATGCCATTGAGACCGCTACTACTGCAACCAAGTCTCGTGTCTCGAACGATAAGTGTCCAAATGGATCCGTAATGGTGTTTCAGTTTGCTGGTGAGGACTTTGTCCTGTGCTCGCGTCAATCGAGCTGGTCATGGCTTCAAGACGACGGCTTTCAGATTTTTGGCAAAGACCTGAACATTGGTGTCAAGTCTGAGCAGTCCGCACCGATCATTGTGCCTCTACCCGTGTCGACAGATAACTTGAAAACATGCGGAAAAGTTCCGTTTGGTGATCATATCCCTCCATCACTGACGTCAATGCTAACTCGGTCGTTTTTTGAGTGGAGCCACCGTTCTCTTCGCGCTGCGAAAGCCGAATTTGATCTCTTTGGCAAAGCTTGGGACTTTATCACCAATGACGCTTTCGACTTTGTTTCAGATGAAGCTTGTGGCTGCAAAGGTATCAAGCGACCGTGTGTGTTCATTGTTGGTTTGACTTCGCACAAGGACCATGGTCTGACCAATGACGACAAGTATAAATACTTTGGAGATGAACTTGATGAGCACACACCGTGCTGCTCGCGCAGGCAGTACATTTCGCTGAATGCGAAGGAGCATCATTGGAATTCAACCTGGTTCCAGCAAAGCTTGGTCGATATGATATTACAAGTGAGTAGTACGAGCGATAAAGGTAAAAGAACCGTCAAGGACACGATTATTATCGCTCACTCAATGGCTAACCTCATCCTGAGCGGAGCCATTGCTAACAAAAAGGTTATCCTTGACCCATCCACATCTTGGGTGGCTTCGAGCGCCCCTATGACGGGCAGCATGGGTGCGAACTATATTCAGGACAAGTGTAGCAGTGGACGTGGCATTGTTAGCAAAATCATTGACTTGCTGGGCAAATGCCCAGTAAACGCTGGCCAGAAGTCGCTCTTTTACAAGCATTCGGATCACTCGTGCAAGCAGTTGGATGATTCATACATTGCCGCGCAAGCTGCATACAAAGCCCATGTGACGGGTGTCATTTGCAGCAGGAGTTTTACGGGCTTGGTTAGTACGAGGTTGGCACTCTATGCTCTTGCAGGCGAGATTTTACCACACCACTCTCGTGAAAACGACGGCATTGTCGAATATGAAAGTTGCGCAGGTGGTCTCCCGTTTGACACTTTCCAGTCGACATACAAAAGTTCGCGCTATATAAGTGAGCTTAATCACGTGGATACGTCGTTCCGGAATGGCGATGGCTTGTTCGGTGATTCGAAAAAACCCTTGAAGTGGCTGGAATGTCTTTTGTAAGCAGCTTGTTGATACAGTGTATGGACGTAAATGACGCCGAGTCCTTGTTGTGCTATTTATACTTGCTGACAACTATGGACGATGAATTTTATAGCTTCTGATCGTTTTAGATGTCAAACCTCATCAACATTGTCTTAGCAGATCGAAAGAGTCTTGTTAGTTGATTGTGCAGTAACTAATTGACCATACGCGGGAGTATATTGGAGCTCGTGCACCTGCACCTGTCATCAGGTCATACACGAACAAGGGAAACAGACCTTGAGAAGCCAATGTCTCCTTTTTTGGTATGAGCTGAATAGGCTCGTGGTAGAATCCAATTTCCAGAGTTGACTAGTCTGATGTCTGTCGCCAGTAGAGGTGGTGCTGACCCAGTGTCATTATTGCACAAACGTCTCGTTGAGCGTTGACATTGGAGACGGCGACTTGTCGACGTGAGGGCTTTGATAATGTCGGTGTTGCAAGCTTGGTGCATTTGCGAGTAAGTTCCAGAGCTGCATTGAAATGTTGGATTCGGCCACCGATCTTGTATATTCCCATAACGGCGATGATCTGTCTTGCAGTAGTGGACTGAGCATATAAAAAGCACAATGCATTGTTCAGTACAAACGATACAAATGGAAGCTAAAGAGGAATATCAATTTCGTTCATGATATCTCTTTTGCTTGAACTCGAAAGTTATCTGCTGCTAAATCTAATATGGCAGATGAATGATAGCACTTTTGAGAACATTGTCGACAAGCTTGACATGCTTGTCCTTGGTGATCAACTCCATTTCTACCTGGTTGAATGCAGGGACATAATTGTACTTGACATACCCCAGCCTTTGTTTTGAAATGACACATAACAACCAAATGACCAGCCGATTATTGTAACGCAAACAGAAATGCAACTTACTTCTCAAAGAGCTGAAGCGATGCGCTGTTCGTCTCGATAATCTTGCAGAAGAACCGATTGACTTTAAGTTTCGACGTAGCTGCAGGACCGCAAACCTCAATCAAAATCAATACTTTAATCACCTTACAGCACATATAGCGTTACCCATACCGTAAGCCATCATGAGCTTCACTGCCTCTTCCGCAAAGCCACTGCGACGGTATTTCTCTTCTGCAATCATGATTTCCACCTCACACGCATGGGGATCGTCATGGTCATTAAAGAACAAGTTGACGTCTCCAGCCATACCTGCCACAACTCTCTACTAAGTTCACCACAATCACTTCTAATATCACAGTATCAGACAACTCACGATCCAGAGCGTTCTCGTTGATATATGAAGCCTCCGGACTGCCATCACCCTCAGCATTTGCTAGCACAATAAAAGTGCATTCTACAGCATCCAAAAAGTACACCAACAGTGAGACCTCTTTACTAGAAAACTCCAACTTTTCAGTAGTTTTTACAGCAATTTTTCCTGTATCTCGTACTCTTGTCGTCTTCTCTCCACGACTTTTGCATCTCGAGCTCATCCTCGATCGACAGTGGCTCCGATGCCGTCATCTCTGGACACAAAAAATAGTACGTATTGTTTATAGTTCAGAGTGCAATAGTTGACAAATATAGTCCAGTCAATAAGCCATTGTAAGTATTTCTCTTCTTGCCTTGAAGCCACGGGTTTTTCATCCAATTATGATACTTGGGCACGTGTTCCTTCTCGTACGGCACGAGCGTCACTCGTTGTCCAGTCTATAGCGTCAATCATACAAATATCAACATAAATTGTAAATACATAGAGGCATTAGCAATTCATAGCGATACAAGAAGAGAATTATAAAATAAATTACAATGACAATGCCTGCATTTGCCTTCATAATGTTGCTCGAGTAGAAAAGTGATGTGGCGCACAGGAGGTCGTTTTTTTCATACTAAACAAACGTTTGATGCATCAAGTGTGTGGTCCACATGACTTTATCTTTGCATCTTGTTTGACACGCCAGAAACATGAGCACGTTATGTGCGACACTTGATGCGCAGTTTGTGAAGATTCTGCAAGTTCTCATCGATCATAAGTGGGTTCAGGTGATACTTCATCATCTCCTCTTTCAATTGATATCTTTTTATAAGAATATTGACGTCAGTATGATACGAAAACTTGCAGATAGACACCGTCGAAGCCGTCGCTGCCGTTAACAAGACGTTGCAGTCGCTAATAAAGCGTCTAAAACTACAACGATTGGCTGTTCTACTAAATGGTTATCCTATATCATTACGCATCCGGTATTTGATCCCGCAATTAAGTGAAATGATTTCTTAGAGTTGATATTTATATGCTGCGTTATTACTTATGAAAGGTATTGGCTACGGGCTGGAGACGTCAAGACGATGATGCAAGAATTGTTGATCGACAAAACGAGAAGTCGAGAACTGTTTCTTAAGGTGGAGAGAGGGGTTTTCATATCATGGTATGGAGGTTTTTAAAGAGTTAAAGCTGATAAAGTGGCTGGTAGGTCGCTGGTATTGAGAGTTTGGAGGATCAAGCGACGCTGGAGATGACAGGGGTTGAAGGAGAAATCGGTCGAGATGTTGAACGCACTTTTCCTACTAACCCCTTTTTTTCGGAAAAAGGTTTGTGAGTTGTGGGTGACTAACTAGATGAGGAGGAAAATACAGTTTTTATTATTGATGGAAATGTTGATGACTTTTTGATGTGGTAGATGATGGAAGACGTCTGCTTGGAAATGTACTTAAGGCGATCGCTGTTTATGCGGATGATATTGGATATTGCCAGGTGCCTTGGATGTGCTGAGTTGATGCTAATGGGTATAACTAATTACTATTTCTGGTATATTACTTTTGGTATTGTTATAAAGGGGATGAATTATGTTGTCGCTGTACTTCTACTCGTGATGAAAGAGGCACAAGAGGTTACGGACTTGGATCTTGGTGGGCTTTCAGTGCAAGAAGCTGCATTTTGGGTAACGGTAGCAATGATTCGACGCAACGGCATGGCCGATTTGTGGAAAGACAAAATGCCAGGGTTTGTTATATTTATCTTGGAGCAACGCTGTAAAATCGTCGCTGATATATATCGTGTACAGGCTGTCGCGGTGCATTTACCTTTTTCAGCAGCTTATCCGACTTCACTTTTACGATTTGTCGACGCACTTTCGGCATATCGGAATGCATTCCAGTATCTTAGTCACTCAGGTACTATTGCTGAGCGTCAAACATCAACTTTTTACTTAAAAATGGTGTTGACAAGACTGTCGTATTTGCTTCTTGTGTGCGAAGTGGTTTGTGACAATTTTTGCTCGTGTGCTAACCACCGACGTGCTTATACGGTTTTGGGACCTCTTTCTAATGGATGGATGGAAAGCTGTTTATCGAGTCGCTCTCGCCATCATCAAAGAGTTGCGACCAAAGCTTTTAAGAATGGTAAGAGGAGAGTGCATGTTTGTAAAACCGGCGTCTTTTTGTATAATTATTGAGGGTAACCTTACTACATGTGTAAATCGCAGGATCTGGAGCAGTGCAGCGAGTATTTCCGCAAGAACCCCAGTCTTGGCCTGGAAAAAGCGTTTAGTCCTGAGCAATTGCTGCAGTGCGCTTTGAAATTTAAAGTAACGCGCTTGAGCCTGAAAAAACTGGAAGAAGAGCGGCATTTCGAGGTAAGTTTGCAGCCAAACACCTGCTGAGATTGGTGAAAAAAATCACCTATCTCAAACGACTAACATTAGCGCGAATTGCGCCGTGAAAACTGTGATTAGTATCTCCGCCTTCGACTGCAGCAAACACCGCTATCAGAAGAGCATCGCATGTTATTTCCTACACTTGAGCATGAGGGCGATGTCGATGCACAGCGACAGTCTTTCAAGTTGATCCGTTCAAAGTTGCAGCACTTTGACACAGACGTAGCAAACGACACGGTATTTCTTCAAAACAAAATCGAGGTAGCTGAGAAAGCGCAGGCGCAGGCGATGTCGGTTCAATATGCCATTGCGTACGAGTTGTCCGAAACTGCAATTGAACTAAACGAGCGCATCGAGATAAAGACTCGATTACGATCGAAGTTTTGCAAGCTATTGGCAACCGCAATTACAGAAGCTACTACATCATCAACAAGTTCTACGGGGTCACGCTTCACAACTTTGATGAACCCGTTCAGATTTATTAACAAACAAATGGTTAGTTGCCTTGAGCATCTGCCTCTGCTTTCAAGGTACGAAGATAAGGGGGGCGTGCTTCGTGAGGACGACAAAGACACAGACGACGAAGAGGATGAGGAAGTACGGCAGAACTTGAAGCACCTTGATATCCTGGTTCCGCGGTTAGCAGCAGAACTGCGTTTGATACAGCGATCATTGGCTTACAACCAGCGCTTTCTGCGTCCAGTGCTGCAGCGAACCCGAAGGCTTCAGCGTGACGCTCAGCTTGCTCGTATTGAAGTGGAGGAAGCGCAATTGTTCAAGGACCGGTTGGCTGACCAGTTGCTGCAAATTATGTTGAACAGCGAGAAGCTGAAGAACAAACAAATGCAGCAGCTTTTTGCTGAAGTTGACGAACAGCACGATGAGTACTTATAACTCTGGAAGTATATACTGTATTACTACCTGATGTGGAAGCAGGCACGCGCTATAGTAAAGAGAAAGATACGTCACACGCATTTCCTTGGGGGCATCGATCGAGCGTCTCTTTCCCTTCGAGCGCGCTTGGTTCGTTCTGCTTTGGTTGTCCGAAGGTTGTCACTCTCGAGCTAGACCCTCTCCTAAGAGGAAGAGGCTTATTCGTCCTCCGTTACGACGTCGGTATCAGCATCAGCAACTTCAGTCGCCACAGCAACGTCGGCATCAGCATCAGCAACTTCAATCGCCACAGCGACGTCGGCATCAGCAAACTCAGCCGCCACGGTGATCTCATCAGCAACGGGAGGTGCCATGCCCGGACCCCACGACGGCAGCTCGACAGCGAGACCACCCAGCGACGGAAAGGCGTCCTTGTCACTGGCGTTAAACTTCTTGTTATGATTGCTCTTCTTCTTGGGGGAGGCAGCAACCTTGGGTGGGGCAGCAGACTCAACACCAGCCTCTGTAGGCGTTTCTGCGATCGACGTCTGCTCGTTGAACCAGACCTTCTTGGCCTTCACGGCAGCCAGCGAGTCTGGGACGGCATCCGCAGCAGACGGCGGAAGCAGACCGACAGTGCTAAAAGCCTCCAGCTGCGCTAGCGGCAGAGCCAGCTTGGCGGCTTTCTTGGCCTTTTTGCTTGGACGTCCCTTCTTGCCTTTCTTACCTCCACCAAGTATCATAAAGTCCTCTTCTTTCCGCTGCAGAGGCTTCATACCATCCAGCTCAACAGTGACAGACGAGACTTCAGCAACCGTACCATCCACGTCCTTCAGTTCCTTGGCGTAGTTGTTTTCCAGAAAAGTCACAAGTGCATCACAGAGATCCATCTCATGCTGATACGGATGAATCTTGGCCATTTCCGTTTCATAATCAGCAAGTTTCGCTTCATACTCGGCTTTGCGACTTTCCTCTTCTTTCTGACGCTCCAATTCTTTCTTCTTACGGACAAGACGAATGTTATTGTAGTATTTATCATTTGCGTCCCGAAATTCCTTCCGAAGTGCTTTCAAAGCTGTAAACTTTTCATCCAATTGTTCTTTAATCTCTTTCCGTTCTTTGGCAAGAACAGGAAATTGATCCTTTTTATTCTCTTCATCATTCAGACGATAGAGTTCATCCAGTGCTTCTTTTTGAGCATTAAGTTTCGCATGGACCACATCAATTTCGTCATTCTTTTTCGATTGCAGAGCTTGCATCTCTTTAATGTTGTTAGTTTGTTTCTCAATCACTCCTTTATCACTTGAGAGAGCACTCACTTGAAGCTTTTGAGTCTGCAAGAGTTCAATTTCTTTAATCATCTTCTTTTCTTCCATCAATGACATTGAAATAGTCTCTTGTTTATGCTTTAAATCAGCAATGGCCGTTTCAAATTCTTCCTTGGTTCCAAATTTGAAATTCGACCGCAAACTGCGTTGTTGTTTCACCGTCGAGTCCTTTTCATTGCGTGTGTGACGCAAACGGGCCGTAATCGTGTTTCGTTGGAGGATCAATGTCTCTTTTTCAGCACGTAAGGAGGCAAATTTTGCCTTTGCTTCTTGAATTTGACCGCCATAAGTACTACGATTCGTCTTGAGCGCCTCCATTTCCGAGCGAAGGACATTGGAACGAGCTTGAAGCTTTTTAATTGCAGTATCAAGTACAGCAATTTGTTTCTCATGTTCTGCTTTATCAGGTTTTGACAAACGTTCAATTACGTCGGGGATCTCGAGCTCCTCAGTAACGGGGGACGGAGGAGTGCTCATTGTATACGAAATGGCTCAATGGACGAGAGAGGATGGTTTGACTGGTGTGCCACGTGGTTGATACGTACTGACAGCTGATTGAGATAAGATAATTAGATAGTTATGCGATTTGACAGGTAATCATGTTGAGAGGGACGATAGAAGGTAATAAGACATAAAAGTGATATACACAATTGCAGGGTAATTAGAGGTAGATATTGCTAACACGTTTTACAAGAGCACACTACTTCTACTTATATAGGTCGTTTTTATAAAAATACCCATAATTTGTTCCCTATTACTCAATTTCAAAAAATCTGGATATTTTGTCGATCACTTTCACCAATGGCCAAAGACGACACTTTACGTAAATCGCGTCGTTCTAATGGCTTCTCCCGTCGACGTCGACGCACCAACAGCGATGAAAATGTATCGTCTACATCAAAAAACACTGACGATCAGTCTCATACTGAAATTATCCCGGATTTTCGCTCCAAACGCACGTTAAAAGCTGCTTCAGACGAGAGCAAACTCACACCGGAAGAACGCGAACGATTACGTGATCGTGAAGAACGGGACGCTTTTGCTGAACGATTACGTCAACGTGATGAGAATCGCACGAAGCACAAGCGAAAGGCAGAGGACATTGAAGCCTCACAAGTTGCAGGAGGTCTCACAAGCGACGAGATCAAGCAATTGGCCAAAAGAGGGACAATTGAAGACGAACAGAGTGTTCTAAGTGATAAGCTCAAGAGATTAAGGGAGCTCAGTCGACAGGAATATCTTAAAAAGAGAGAAGAGAAGGAACTGGAGCTACTGGAGTTCCAGCTAAAAGATGAGGATGTCCTATTTGAAGAGTCCCAGAAGTCTAAAAAAGAACAGGAACAACTGGAACTTAATAAAAGGATATTAGAGACAGCTAAAGCCAGATCGAAAAAGGACGAAGTCGAGGGGTATCAGATTCCTGATTCTTATGACGAAGTAGACGATGAAGGCAATCGAATCCGCAAGAAAGAAGAGTTATTGACAGATCGATATGAAGAAGAAGAGGTGTTTCATACTGAGCAGGAAGTGTGGGAAAAATCATTGCTGAAGATGGCGACTAGTAGATTTGGAGCCAAAGACAAACACAAGAAAAAAAAGAGGAAGAGGACGAATTTGTGTTTGATGACCAGATTGACTTTATTTCGCATCAAATGCTGTCGGGACATCATGTGAGCGAGGAAGATGTAAGGGATGCGAGGAAAAAGATGGAAGCGGCCAAGCATTTGAGTATGCAGGACGGTAGGAAACAGTTGCCAGTGTTTCCGTATCGCGAATCGCTGCTCGAGGCGATTCGTAATTATCCTGTGGTTATCATAGAAGGAGAGACCGGGTCGGGTAAAACGACGCAGATCCCACAATATCTGCACGAAGTGGGATACTCAGAGCTGGGTATTATTGGCTGTACGCAACCTCGACGCGTTGCTGCAATGAGCGTGGCAGCGCGTGTGGCGCAGGAGATGGACGTTAAGCTGGGTAACGAAGTGGGTTACTCGATCCGTTTTGAAGACTGCACTAGTGATATGACGGTGATTAAGTATATGACGGATGGTATGCTGCTGCGCGAATTCTTGACCGAGCCCGATCTTAAGTCGTACAGTGTCATGATTATCGATGAGGCACACGAGCGCACTCTAAGTACGGATATCTTGTTCGGTCTCATCAAGGATATTGCGCGCTTCCGAGATGATATCAAGATCATTGTGGCTAGTGCGACGCTGGATGCGACCAAGTTCAGCGCGTACTTTGATGATGCACCGATCTTTAAGATTCCTGGACGTATGTATCCTGTGGATATTCTGTACACGAAGGCCCCCGAGGCTGACTACCTGGATGCTGCCATCGTGACCGTGCTGCAGATTCATATTACCCAGCCACTTGGAGACATCCTTGTATTCTTTACAGGTCAAGAGGAGATCGAAGCAGCTGAAGAAATCTTACTTCAGCGCACTCGGGGTCTTGGCTCTCGAATACGAGAGTTGTTAATTCGGCCGATTTATGCAACGTTACCCTCTGAACGCCAGGCAGAAGTGTTCGAGCCTACACCAGAGGGTGCTCGCAAAGTGGTGCTGAGTACAAATATTGCGGAGACGTCGCTCACTATCGCTGGTATCTGCTACGTGATCGATACAGGCTTTTGCAAACAGACCAACTACAATGCACAGACCGGTATGGAGTCCTTGCTGGTGGCTCCCGTCTCTCAAGCCATGGCTAATCAACGTGCTGGTCGAGCAGGCCGTACAGCTCCAGGCAAATGCTTCCGTTTGTACACTGCGTGGTCGTACACGAACGAACTGGATGCGAATACCGTGCCTGAAATTCAGCGCACGAACCTTGCAAGTGTAGTTCTGCTCATGAAATCGCTTGGCATCAACGATCTACTTCACTTCGACTTTATGGACCCACCGCCCGAGAAGGCTCTAATTCGCTCACTGGAACAGCTTTATGCACTTGGCGCTTTGAATGGCTTGGGTGAATTAACAAAACTGGGGCGTCGCATGGCCGAGTTCCCATTAGATCCTATGATGTCTAAAGCGCTGCTTGCGTCAGAGAAGTTTGGCTGCGTCGAAGAAGTAATGACGGTCTGCGCCATGCTGAGTGTAAACAACTCGATCTTTTACCGGCCAAAGGACAAGGCAGTACATGCTGACAACGCTCGACTCAACTTTACGCGAGGTGGCGGTGGTGACCACATCACGCTGATGAATGTGTATAACCAATGGGTTGAGACAAACTATTCCACTCAGTGGACGTACGAAAACTTTGTCATCATGCGCTCACTGAAGACTGCTCGTGACGTACGAGAGCAGCTAGAAGGTCTTTGTGACCGCGTGGAACTCGAGCGTACAAGCAACCGTAGTGACCACGAACCGATCCGTAAAGCCATATGCGCAGGCTATTTCTACAACACAGCGAAGCTGGACAACTCGGGACACTACAAGACGGTAAAGAAGGCACAGTCCGTGTACATCCATCCAAGCTCATGCCTCATCAAGCTCGAAGAAGTTCCGCGTTGGGTCGTATATCACGAACTGGCCTTCACGACGAAAGAGTACATGCGCAGTGTGATTCCGATCAAGTCCGAGTGGCTAGTAGAACTTGCGCCGCATTATTATAAAACCAAAGAAGTTGAAGACGCACGTACCAAGAAGATGCCCAAGGCTGTTGGTCGAGCAGGTTAAACGATGAAATAGATACAAGAAAGCTAAAGCGAGACTCTCCTTAATAATAAAGAGTTGGTGGTATGTCTTTGCGTCCTATAGTTCAGAAGATGCATGTCTTCTATCAAAAGCAATTTCAGAAACGTGTTTCCATTTGACTACACAACCCTTGATTCAAGCAATGGCTTATCAATTCTACAGCAATGAGATAGCATTGTCGATTTCGTGGTAGACAAATCTTCGGAACGGAACGAAAACAAAGAGCTGAACCATTTAGCTTACGCACATTTTCGTTCAATGTATGTGATTTATGCCGCAAAATGGCGCTGGAGATCGGGGTACCATGACAATATCCTCATAAAGGTCTTTGGCCGGATAAAACAAGAAAATCGTAGCAACAGGGCGTTGACGCAATGAAATCATCTTCACAGCAGATGTAACGGGCGAATAGTTACACGAGTCCGTTAAGTATATGATACTAACTGGGGAGATCTAAAATGGGTATGTGGCACCTTAGACTTGCCACTTGGGTGAGGCACATCAATGTGACCCACCCTCGTGAATGTAATATCCATGGATGGACTCACATTAAACGAGGATGACGCCACTTGGGACTAGGCATCATGGTGACGCTTCAGACAGACGTCATCAGCGAGCTTCAATATATTTTAAGCTCGCACGTAAGGATACGCTTCTAAAGAGACGCGTATCCGATCTTTACATTTGACCAATCAGTAGTTAGATTCATATTCAATTATCTTCTATTCAATATTAATCAGTCTTAAATTTACTAAACATAGTTTACTCGCACAAGAAGACTGGAAACAGCTTCCGTGACGCAGGTAGGTGCTTAAATACAGGTTCGTTGCGCGGTTCGCTTAAAGCGACCGGCAACGGTTGGTACAGCGCTTCAAGCGCCGACCAACACCACCACCACCGCACACGGAGGTAAGATGGTCTAACCGCTTCCTCGCGCTGCTCGAAGGTGTGTGCTCGTAGCACGAGGCAACTCCGTAGAAGTGCCTGTCTACACTTGGTAGCACTAGTAGTCCTTCCCACGACCCGTCTCTCTGAGCGTGCGTGTGGTTAAGATGGTCCTTAACATGGACTGGAGTGAATTTCCTCACCTCTCCCAACACCATAGGGAGTTGGCAGAGCATATGGCGCAGGGACTTGGTGAACAAGCCCTGTTCAACCTCTTGCATTGTCCTCCTGAGTAACATGTTGCTCAGTTGGAGCAATTTGAGGCGTTTGTGCTTGGACAGCGTAGAAACGCGTCCGAGGCAAACAGCCAAGCCACGGCTGAGTCCATCAGTAAGACTCAGGATGAGCTTTTGCGTGAGCAAGCTCGGAATGAGGCACTCAACAGAACTATCGAGACGCCCTCGGCTCGGTCTAATCAGCCAAGGCCCATTCGGATGGACCCTCCGAGGTTTGATGGGACTGCCCCACATACGATTGTTCACTGGCTTTCAGCCGTGGAGCAATACGGTATGGCGCAGCTAATCGAAGACGACACCAGGATGGTGGCGTATGCCATGTCAAATTTGCGTGGCAAAGCGTGAGAGTGGGCTACTCTGCGCTTATGGCAAACGCTGATGCGTTTTTATCATGGACGATCTTTATATCAAAGATTCGTGCCATCTACTAGCCGCCTAACATCAAAAAAATTATTTCAGGCGCGCTTCTTTGGAGCACTACACTCTCCGCAAGAGTATGTGCAGGAGATGCATTCGCTGTATGCGTCCATTAATGGGGAACCGATTCCGGAACATATTAAGGTGCCTTCGTTCATGAATGGACTTAGGCACGGCCCGTCGCGTCAGGCCCTTTAGGAAAACATGCCGATGACGATAGAAGAGGCAATTGGAATTGCCATGGTTGAGGAGCAATCCTATCACATTGCCTCGGCGACAGCTTTTATAAGACGTCGGCCGAGAAGTCGGATGCCACTCCGATGAAGTTAGGCAATACAGACGTGGTCTGCTACAAGTGCGACAAGCGCGGCCGTATGATGGCTCGCTGCTACACCAAAGTAGCTGCTGGTGCTAAAGCAACCAGCAAGAAGGCTCCCTACCCGAAGGGAGGTGAGAAAAACTAGCGTGCACGACGCACAGATTCAGCACCTGCCCAAGATGGGTCGGGAAATGTGGGAGCGCAGTAGGGGCGGGATGCCCTACTGTCGCGGACTCTGAAGCTACCCCTAAGTTTAGAGTGATCGAACAAATGGGTAGCATAGTCCTTGAGGTTCCGAAAGGTCGGACCTCAACCTTTTTGGTCTATAGCGCTCGAGTACGAGGCTATGAACAAGTGATGACCCTTCTCGTTGATTCGGGTGCATCAAAAACCTTTGTGAAACTCGCGGCTCTGAAACAGAGTCCGGCGAGTTATGAGTCGCTTTTCCGGGAGACCGTTCGTTTAGCGAACGGCGCGCTCGTCAAATCGGAGGGAGTTCAAGTTGAACTCGCCTTCAGTTTCAGTGACTTCTCTTGTAAAGAGAAGTTTACAGTGCTAGGTATGGAGAGTCCGTATGACCTCATCCTAGGCATGCCTTGGTTGGCTAAACATCTACCATGGATAGACTGGCGTACACGCACAGTCGCTAGCTCTACGCAAGACACCGGAAAGGATGTGCTCTTGCGAGAGGCTTACGTGATTGATGCTGTGTACAACACAGTCGAGGGTGCGATGACGGTATGTCAATAGACACCAGGAACTACCCAGCTCGAAAGGAGTGGTGTAGTTGTGAGTGCACTGGCGAAAAGCCAGGTGACACATATTCTTACCTAGGTCGAAAAGACTGGTGTAGTGAATGGGACGATGACAGGTAGTCATGCGTCCAATAGTCCTGCACATAGCCGAGAGCCTGTGGCAGTTGATGGTGGGCTGATAGGAAGTCAAGCGCCACAAGAACCGGCACAGAGCCAAGAGCCTGGTGCGGTTGGAAGGAGTGCGTTAGCTGAGATAGCAACGACACCTTCTTCCAGGTCAAAGGTCGTGGTGACTCGAAGAACGAGCACCAGACGTATTAAGACGACCAAGGGCACGTCGAAACGAGTGACCCTTGGATCAGTCTCGGCCCAAGAGGACGGACCTACGAACGAGTTGTTCGAGGCCGTCGAAGACAAAATGCCGAAGGGATCCTCAGTTGAGGTGCTCCAACTTGTCTTGGCATCTGCCGAGGATATAGTAAATCTCTCGGAGATGACGCGGGATCTGTTCCTGTCCGAACTAAAGGAAGTAAAGATCCACGAGATAGTCGCACCAGTTCCAGAAGAGAACGTGTTGGACTGTTGCTCTTCATCCACAATGGATGAGAGCGTCTTAGAAACCGACAAGAAGAAACGCTGCTCAAGGCTGGGATGCCTTGAAGGACAGCCCGTTCTATGATGTTCTGTGGAAACACCGTGATGCGTTTCCAGCAGAAGTGCCGAGCCGCCTACCGGCCGATAGTGCATCAGGCACGAGATTGACCTGGAGCCTGGCATCAAGTATTGTGTGACCAGGCAATGACCGTTGCCGAAGGAACAAGTCACTTACATCGATGAATTCATCGACAAGCAAGCCAAGGCGGGACATGTACGTGAGAGGAAGTCGCCTCACTGCAGCCCGACCTTTTGTGTGCGTAAAGCAACATGTGGATGGCGCGTGGTTCACGCTTATAATAAGCTAAACACGGCCACCATTCCAGCTCAAACGCCGATCCCGCGGAAAGGTGTTTTGTTGAATTCCATGGGAAAGTCAACTATCTTTTCCGCGTTGGATCTGAAAGATGGCTACTATCAAGTTCTCATGAGAGACACTGATGTAGCCAAAACGGCAGTAAGCACCCCAAGCGGTAGTGGCTTGTGATGCCACAAGGACTGAAAAATGCTCCAACAACATTCAACCGAGTGGTGGCTCACGTGATGCGTCAGCACCGTGCCTACGCGCCCCATTACTTTGACGATGTATTCGTGCATAGTAGAGCGGAGGACGGTCTGAGCGCAAGAGAGTCGCACAAGCGTCATTTAGACGCTGTGTTACAGACTCTGGGTGAAGCCCAATTATACGTGAGCTTGCAAAAGTGCGTAATAGGGGTCCCCGAGATACCGGTACTGGGCTGCATTGTTGGTGCACACGGTGTACGAGCAGACCCAGAAAAGGTAAAGGCTATCAAGGAATGGCCAGTTCCACGACACGTGAAGAATCTGCGCCAATTCCTTGGGCTTGCTAATTACTTGCATAAGTACAGCAAGAATTATGCGGAGCATACCAAGCCATTGTCTGACCTTAAAAAATAGGATACAGAATGGACTTGGTCAAAGGAGCAAGAAGATGCGTTCACATCAGTGAAGAAATCTCTTGTAGAGGCACCGGTCTTGGCATTGCCAGACGTGGATAAGCTCTTTAGCGTCGTCTGCGATGCAAGCAATTTTGCAATCGGCAGCGCCCTCATGCAGAAGGATGACGACGGCGTTGACCGTGTCATTTCTTATCAGTATCGGCTTTTAAAAGCTTCCGAGCTGAATTACCCTGTGCATGACAAGGAGCTACTTTCAATTAAGTATGCCCTTGTGAAGTTTCAGGTGCACCCCTTGGACACCGAACCTTTTGTGGTTGATACGGATCACGCATCACTGCGGACCGCTATAAATTCACCGCACCTCTCGCCGAGAATGGCAAGATGGCTAACATTCTTCTCTGGATTTAATTTCAAAGTTGAATACAAGCCGGTAAGTCGAATGTCTTGGCTGACGCGTTATCGCGCAGACCTGACTTCGAGGCAAGACACCAGGAAATTGTGTCTCGTGCGAAAGCACAAGTTGAGTCGTCAACATTGGCAGCCATGAAGGCCTACCATGTGACGAGCTCAATGGCCTCCGATACTAAGGAGTGTTACAGTCAGGACGAACATTGTCGCCTGCTGTTGGATCATTTTGGTGGACGAAAGGTTACCCTGCCGTCGCACCTCAAAGCGAAGTTAAATCGCTTTAGTTACAGTGATGGCCTGTTATGGCATCAACTGTCACTTTGTGATCCCTTGAGAATCTATGTCCCTCATGACACAGATCTCAAGCTGATGATACTTTGCGAGTGCCATGATGCGCCATCTAGTGGGCATCTGGGCCGTGAAAAGACATTCTTACGAGTGTCAGAGGAATTTTGGTGACCCCACCTATATCGGTGGGTGGCCAACTATATTCGCTCTTGTGAAGAGTGTCAGCGCATAAAGCCTGCACCTTCAAACAGTGCGCCACTGAAGCCACTGCAGCTTCCTACTGAATGTTGGAAGTCGGTCAGTTTGGACTTAATGTTTGGCTTACCGCCTGACCATAAAGGCAGGACGGAGCTCGTCGTCTTTGTAGATAGACTGAGCAAGATGGTGCATTTGGCACCATGTAGCACCACGATCTCAGGAAAAGAGGCTGCCCTCTTGTTCCTGGATCACGTGTATCGGCTACACGGGATGCCCGAGTCCATAGGATCGGACCGGGATCCGCGTTTTACGTCGGGTTTTTGGAGACATGTGTTCGAGCTGCTGGGTAGCAAGCTCCACATGTCAACCGCTGATCATCCCCAGACCGATGGCCAAACAGAACGGGCCAATCGAGCGTGGCGGATGTGTTGCATACAGTAGCGACTCCTAAATAATGGAGCAAGCAATTGCCATTCGTGGAGTTCGCTATTAATAACAGTGCTCACGCCAGTACGGGTGAAACACCGTTTTACATTAACGGACTGCGTCATCCTCGAACGCCAGTCTCGTTTGTACGCAGCCCGAGTCTTAGTGGGGGAGGGCCCCTCACTTCGCTCGGTGCGAATGCCAAAGAGGGCCAAGGTTGCCCTAGTGACACTGCTAATTTAGCAGTGGTCACGACACCTGTAGGTGTCACAAAGGAGGCACGGCAAGAAATGCCAGTGCTCCTTGATGATGACACTATAGTGTTGTCAACAGCGTCGACCCATGAACGACCTCTTGGAGGCGTCATCGGCGAGCTGGATGCTAAAAGCGTGAGCGAAGCTCAGCGCTTTGTGGATGAGCGATTAGCCATCACACGTAAAGTCTGTGACGCGATGGCAAGCGCAAAGGACAAGCAAAAACAATATGCAGACCAACATGGTCGCAAAAACAATGAACACTGGACAAAGTGCTGTTCAGTACTGCTACACTACCTAAACATGCAATTTCTGTACTACCTGGTGGTACTAATAAGCTATTGCACCGGTTCATTGGGCCCTTTACAGTGGTTGAAGAAGTTGGAGACCTAAATTATAGGCTCACTCTCCCACCGTATATGAAGACGCACCCCGTATTTTACGTGGGTCGTCTGAAACGGTATGTTGATCCAGAAGAGATCACATATCCACATCGGTCTAACGAGACCGATGGTGACGTCGACTGTGAGTCGAGCGTCGCGACCGATCAGGCGACGAGGAAGCCGAGAGGCTCCCCGTGTATGAACGAGGCGATAGAGGACTCGGTGATCGAGGAGGACTCCGCGCTTGACGCGGGTCTCTCATCACCAGTCGCTCTAGGATATCCAAACGGGTCTTCAGGCGGTCATACCCCTGACGGTATCTCGCCCTCACATCACGCAGATCCGAGGTCAGTCGCGAGACTTGACTCTCGAGATCTACCACCTGCCTGTTCAGCGCAGCGGACACAGTCTGCGACTGAACAGCAGCAGGGTAGGAAGCCGCGAGTAGGTGGGCGTAATCGCCACTCCTATCGGGCGCCACCTGTGTTGGTGAACACGGATGGGAACACGCGCTCCCTTGTTGGAAGGCTGTTGGCCCACCGGTTTGTGAAGCGAAAGCTCCAAATCCTTGTCCAGTGGAAGGGATACCCAACGAGCTTTGACTCGTGGTAGCCTGTGGACGCTTTGCGCGTTGACGTGCCTGGGCTGGTGGCTGCTTATGTGAAGCAGCACCAGCTGTCTTCTTTCTGCTAGGTCCGGAAGGACTAGCAGAAGAAGCGTGGCGAGAATTGATTGGGGGTCGCTTACCGCCCATAATTTCATGCGCACGCTTCATGGCGAAGCTGATTCGCTGCGACCGCTGTATCGTTGCATCTTCATGCAAGGTAACACGGCGCCGAAGTTCAGCTTCATAGTCGTCGGCTGTTTCGTGAGAACGCAGCACGACTGGAATCGGGAAAGCACGACCAAGTGCTTTGCCCTGCTTTTTCCACAAAGGAAAGACGCTATAGAATATTATGAGCGTCTATAGTGGCACGCTGCAAAAAGCGATGCACTAGACCCATCTGAGTGCATCCACTCAGATGGAGGTGGCATTCGTTGCAAGCCATCACTCACGTAGCCGCCCTCGCGACGGCGGGCTAGTGAGGCCGAAGGTGTACTTGGTGGAGCTTTAAGCTCACACTCAGCTGAGTCTGACTCTCCATTATGGATTGTCAAGACATCAGCTTGAGGAGTTAAATCTGACTGAGTCGCGACTACTCCTTTCAAAGTAGCGTGCTCAGTCTTAGTCGCTGCGCTCGTAGGCGCAGACGACGAGGCATTACCTTCGCTTGTAGGAAGCATAGATGCTTCCTCAAGGACGGGTGCCTCAAATGATGGGGACATATGTCCCATCAATGCACTATGCTCATCGCCACTTTGGGGTGATGGCAGTGGTGTGGTCTCATTGTAGTCAACAATGAGAGATGGATCTTCATCCACATTATCGTGAGATGGAAGATTCACCCAAGTGCCTGACGCACTTTGCGACGGCTGCAATAGATCGCGGCGCGTGCGCTTAGTGCTGGACTGCATGGGTGCCTTTGCAGGCGACCCATCAGCCTTACCACGTTTCGGTGGCATGAGTACTGAGCAGACTAAAGCGGCGCGTTTATAACGGCTCGCCAATCTCTCTGTCTCTTAGGCGATGATTCACAGAATGTAAACATCGTTCTAAAACGGGGGATGGTGTAACAGGGTATCTAGTTACACGTAAACATTAAGTAATATACTTAATGTTTGGTCTAAAAGTATCCATGATTACTTTTGACCTGTCACTTGGATGCGATGTACAAACGTGATCCACCCTCGTGAATGTGATATCCATTTATGGATTCACATGAGAAGGGATGACGCTAGTTGAAGCTAGGCATCACGACGTCTCAGAAGGACGTCAGTTGCGATCTTAAATCTAGATTTAAGATCATGGGACAGGAGACGCTTCTAAAGAGTCGCGTATCCGATCTATCTATCTATCTATATATATATATAGCCAATCAGTAGTTAAATATATATTTAGTTATAATTAATTAAATATAGCTCAGTCTTGAATTTACTTAAACATACACACCACGCGCGAGAAGTTGAAAGACTTCTGCGTGACGTCGGTGTTATAGTGTTAAGAAGTTCGTTGCACTCTCGCTTAAGCGAGAGGCAACTGGTGGTACGAACTGCTTAAGCAGTCGACCAACCTCCCAACCACCCTCGCACGCGAAGGTAAGACGGTACAACCGCTTCCTCGCTTGTGCATAAGGTGTGTGCTCGTAGTACGAGGCAACTTCATAGAAGTGCCCGTCTACACACGAGGGTGGATCACGTTTGTGTGTCGCACCCAAGTGACAGGTCCAAAGTAATCATGGATACTTTTAGACCAAACATTAAGTATATTACTTAATGTTTACGTGTAACTAGATGCCCTGTTACAGTCTTGTCACAATAACCCTTGGTGAAGATGTGCGTGTCCATATGGTGGTCAGTTTAGTCAAGGCCCATATGTAATCCTTTTCTTTTTCTTCTATGAGAAAGCAAAAGCCGATTGTAAATTGAGAGTTGAATCTGGTCATGCCAACAACATGCAGTAATGGAAACCGATTTCTACTCGTTTTGTAGGCGCAATCTATGAGGACTACATGGTGGTAGTGTTGAGCAAGTTGGATGCTTGCTTTGCGGGCAAAGAAAAGAGCAGTGATCCTTCCCACACTGTCTGAATCGAAAAAGAACATAAAATTACTGTTCCTCATATCATCAAGGAGTGTTTGGAGCGGTGTCCTGCCTGCTAACATCTCCATTCGCACTTTTACCCGTTCATTGTAAATTTTCCGGAGACTAGCAAGTATTCCATCATTTGTTTCGCGAAGTGTTGAAAGAATTCCCAGTGGTTTTACGCCAACAAGAGTCATATTTTTTACATCCTTTGCCTCACCGAGCTTCAGCTTTCTGTGTGGTGAGTGACCAGATGGATGAGAGGAGGGTCCATGATTATGTTGTGGATTTTTAACTTTCAGAGTCCATTTCCCTGACTTTTTTTAAGATATTTCCACTGAGTAAGAAATGACATTCATTAAGCCAGGTTGTTCATTGACGTTTGCGTTCGTTTGCTTCTACCGATAACACGTGGAGGCCACCACAATCACATTTGAGGTAAACTGTCTTCCCAGCAACTGAACGCAATATAGTGACAGCAAAGCCATGGCTGCAAGAAAACTTCTGCATAGCATTTAACAATTCCTCACGGGTGGTGTATTCTGTTTCAGGAGGGGGTAGCATTATTACGTTGCAAGTGAAGGGTATAATTTGAAAATTTTTAATTTAGCGGTGGTTAAAAAAAGGTAGTGGATTGAACCAAAAAGGTAGTGAAAATAGCAACTCCCTAAATATTACAATCGTACCCGCAGTTAACACAAAACCAAAACATTCGCCAGAGAATGATGTTCCAGCCAAGCAACGGATGATCTATATAACTGATCAGCCATATCGAGTATAGCTCCACAATCGAAAGGTGTTCGTAAAGTACTTAGTGTTCTTGTCGGTGGTAGAAGTAATTGTAGTTGAGCTGAGTCACAAGTTCATTCACATGAGGTAATGCCCCATGCTTCTGCATGGCTGTGAGCATGACTACCAGGAAATGCGACTGCCGTTTAAACTCCTTTGAGCTTGTCGTCATTTCAGACCGAAGGATGCGAAAGACGGGATGTTCTAGCAACCGGACACTTGGCACCTTGCGAGTGCATTTCTCCGTTTCTTGTTCCATCTCAATTCCATTTCCACTCCAGCACTCGGGGAAATACGCCCGCATGTTCCGGTCTACCACGCTGACAAACTCACCAACGTGACCAACAAAACGCAAGATGTGGTTAAAGGTCGTCAGGATATATTGAATCACCGTCGCATGCTACAATATCAATGCACGTATATCATGTGAAATCACACCATCCCAACTAAAACCATCAGGCGATACGTAGTTACCTTATCCAGCAGGAAGAAGCGATTAAGTAAGTAGTCCAGATACTCCTCGTGCGTAGCATCCATCTTTTGTACACGCAGCATGCAAACAATGAACTTGTCATATTTCAGCAATCACGACGTCATGAGAAAAAGAATTCCATACCTCTTCTAAGCTTCGTGACGATTGCAAAATTCGACGATACCCGGACCATCCTTCACTTGATATCTACTTCAGCACATAACTTGAACACAAACGTCTCACGAGTTTGTCACGGAAGGATGTCGTACCTGACTCGTAAGATAGCTTAGCAAACTCTTCGTGTAGTGCAGCATATCTGCTATTTGAAGGAGTAGCGGTAGCACATCCCTTTCGATTCTAATGGAAACCATCGCAACATGAGTCATGTGACGATGAAGCAAGAAGCTGAACAAACACAACCATACGTACAATGCGTAGCAGCAACAGTGTCGAAGTGTTGACTTGAACTACAGTCAGAAGAGATACATTAGCAAGCACAAACGCTAGTCTCATAAACTGGTTCCGCACCTTGACCAGAGCTGATTCCACAGCCTTTACCTGGACCAGTAGCACACCGAGCCTTGAGTATTTCTGCATGATCGATGTGCTGAAAAGGACATGAAGTGGCGGTTGTGCAGAAAATGTGAAGTACATGCACTTCATAGTCGCAATATCGATCCTTGCGCCGCTGAGACGACTATCGAGCAGGTTAAAGTCAACACGAACACACAGCTGACCACCGATTTGTCGCTGCAAAGATGAAAGTAAATTATCTTCGAAAACGCCTTGGACTGCACTTTGGTGAAATGTGTTTAGTGCTTCACTGTCAGCCCACGCGACAGGGTTCTCTTGCATATGAGTCACTATTTTTTCACTGAAGACGTTAAAAACGTCTTGCTGCAATATGCATACCGTCAAATATTAATAACTCAACCCGCAAAAGGCCACAATCTCATTAGCTTACCTGTTCCATGAGCACAAACATTCGAAGAGCTGCCACGTGCTCCATATAGTTCATTTTGTCTCGAAAGATGTCAGCGATCTCTCCGTTAAGCTCACGACACTGTATCACCAAATTAATGAGCAAGTGTTAGAATGATACTGATACAAATATCGAAAACAATCAAAGCGATCATAGTACACCTTGATTTCGAGGTGTCTAGTGAGACAACGTTCCAAGATCCTGCTAAAAGGTACGCACTCCAGTAATAGTTGTTGTGAGGGTAGTGAGGATTCATCATTGCCTCCTTCTAAAGCCGTAGTCATCGAAAAAACTCCGTCGTTACGTCTGTATCCCATCGTCTCAAGCTCGGTTGTCAGTGTATTGTGCAATGCAGGCCGAGCTTGATCAGGTTTTGTCACAGATTCCTCTGCTGAATACTGTTGGTGCCGCACATAGCGATTCTTTATCTGTCGGCTCGCTAATGCTTTGTTCATCAATTCAATCTTCGATTCAAGAAACGTTGGGACGAGCGACCGATTTACTTGAAACGGAGCTAGAGATAAGAGGCCCTCACGAAAGCTTTGATTTCGTCCGCATGTTGGCGAAGTACCATCGCTCAGTGATGCATGCGTAACAAAAAACAACTCCTTGTCCAGAGGAATTGTTTCAAAATGACCCGCTTCAAAAACCATCCGATTGATCCGATCTAAGTACGGAATCAGCGCCCCAACAAATAGATGCAACAGCACATCAGACCGTGACAATCCATTCGCAACGCTTGTATTTGCATTGGCTGCTACGCCTTCGATGTATTCCACCTCTGTTATGTAATACAGTGAATCCAGTACGCACTTGGCTTGCTCAGCGCGCTTCACTTCGTGCCATTGCCGGCCCGATAATTCTTGAAAAGATTCCACCAACACCCTCTTCAACCAAGAAATCATTCTAAAAATTTCCTTGAGGCCACCATAAATCCCAAGCAAAGTCGGCTGCCGCATGTTAGCTCCAGACCACGGGCACGGGCTTTCTTCCTGTATTCTGGCTGTGGCATTTGTTTGCTGCTCTACGGCGCGTATAGATCCATCTAGGTTTCTAATAACTACCGACAGCGAATTGGCTAGGCCTTCCAAGGTCACGCATCGGTGGTGATCATTCAAGTCTCGCGCTTGACGTATAAACTCTGTCAAATCGCGTAGCAACTGCAACTCGGACGCTGCTCGTGCGAGATCACTTAGCACATGTTGGAGTGCCAAAGGGGAAAGATGTCCGACCGCCACATCTAATGATCGTCGAGACCGTTCTACCACTTTGGTTCGAAAATCAATACTGAATATCGAAGGTGTCGGTGTGATCGGGTGGAACTCAAACAAAAGCGAGTCAGCCCCATGTAGCGCATCAAACACCATCCTCACCACGGTTTCCTCGAGTATTAGTCCAATCGTATCGCGTTTTACCACTGCTTGACACAGCAGCCACGGCCGTTCCAATGTGAACGGCACCGGCGGTCTCATGTTCAACTTATACGTCGGGTCATCCGTCTCGTCCTGCTTATCCTGTAGCGTAATTTCCGGATAATAGCGACGTAAAAGTTCGTCCTGCATTGTCTCCTCTTCTAAGACTTTCTCTTGATGCATTCTTTCCGTCTCCAATCGACGTGCAGTCTGCTTTGCACTCTTCGTCCCACCACTTATCAGTACATTGCTCACACGAGAGTCCAGGGACGTAGCCACCACATCCTTTTCTTGTGTTCTTCTCTCCTCCATAACTTCTTCACCCCTTTCAACATTGCATTGATGGGTATCACCACATTGTTTCCTGTCCACTGTCTTTTCTTCTATGCTGCGTCTATCCCAATCACTTTCATCCTCGTCACTATCGTTCCAAGCCTCATACCACTCGTCAGTAGCGGAAATCTCATACAATTCACTAATAAGTTGATCCGTCAATCTCTTTTCTTGTTTCTGTCTCATCTGATCTTGTTTGATCACCTTCTTTGACGTCCTATACGAGGCCTGATCAATTGTCACGTCTGTCTCATTTACACTCGTTGGTGACGTCGCCAACTCGAATAAAAGCTTCAGGACTTGACTATCACATTGTACAGCCAATTGTAATAATTGATCGGCTCGATCGTCCAATGAATGGACACGAAACTTTACAGCAAGAGCTTGTAATTGAATGTGGACGTCCTGTGGCACACAGTCGACAAATGAACGTGAATACAACTGCTCTAGGACACGGTCAGTACGTAGTAATTGATTATCAGGAGAGAGTAGAGAAAAGACTTCTGTAGTAGCCTCATTATTGTCATTTATATGAGCACATAATTGCTTGAGAAGAGGTCGCCATTCTTGTGTCCATGATGGCACTAACGTCATTATTGTAAAGTCTGGAGGATAGACCCATGATGGTACCTCGGATTAGTGACATATTGAAGTGGAAAAATAACTACATATGCACGGCGACTACAAGCTCTGGTCGGAATTGTTCCTTCACCGACGACGGCAAATATATACTATGATTTCTATGATAAATTTCCAGTGAGCTTGAGCGATAACGACGACATTGTCGACTATTTGGAGTTGACAAGCGAGAAGGACTTTGAAAAGAACTTTTAACGGCATCTTTTGACTTTTTGATTGCAATCTACTTACACGTTGTAATGAGTCAAAACCGTGGCGTGAAACTGCTTTATGCAACATTCCAGATGCAGTTGAATGTAAACTAGCACTTAATATTCAGCATTTACGTTATCAAACCCAAAAATGTAATGCACCATTAGGAAGCAACTCCGACGTGTATTTATTTCATTTATCGGATACCTTCATCATGGAAAGTTACCTCTTTTGTATGTAATACATACCGTAGTGCGTTACTAATCTATCGATTAGTTTGCCACTTCCCATTTTCTTTCTTACCATTTCAGGGGATAACTGTTGCTGCATAAAATATTCGAAATATTTTGTGGTACTCCAATTCTTGCCATTAACTTCGACACTTGGAAAAGCCTTACGAAGAGCACGCAACAGAAGCCAGGCGTCAATTTTCTGGCCATACGGAAGGTAACTGAAACTCGGAGTGTATTTGAATTTCCTGAGGTCTTCCAACATCTGGCCGTAGTTTTTATTAAGAAGGCTGTCAAAGTTAAAGACAGGTCCTCGCTCTTCTTCAGCAGTAACAACCTTATCGTCAGCACGCCGCAAATATCTCTTCTCTTGTCCGTTATTCTGAGCTGACAGCGCCGAGCCGAACTCCAAGGTTTTAGTCGCCTTGAGGTTTTGTGAGGAGGAGGCGTTAACTTGAAGAGCGATTACCACGAAGGGAACCCACAACAGAAGACGCATGACGAATGGCGGCCGGAGATTGGAAATAGCTCAAGACTTACGTGCAGAGTTGAATAGAGGAATTGTTGAGCTGGAACAAAAGGTCAGCGTTAAAGTGCAGCGGAGAAGAGGTTGTTTTTGAAGCTGGTAAAAGCAAGAATGGTATCGTGTCTGGCGGTCAGGTACGTCGCAAATGCCCAGAGGGAGAGATTGGTGTGCGTACGTTGTGCCTCATTTCTATCAAACAAAATAACGTTGGTGCAAGGAATCGTTACAAGTGTAGGCGAAAATCACCATATGTGGATAGTTCAGGTATAAATCATATAGCGTTGGCTTGTTTTTAGTACTTGTTGACCTCTTCCTACAAAAGTTGCAGACGATCAGGTATGCGCGACTGCTTCTGTCTGCAACAGGACTATTTGTAAGAAGGAACATTTTGCAAGCTACCTATTATCAAGTTAAATATACTGGTTTCTAGCATAGTCTCGAGCTTATGATGCTGACTCTGTTCACGCCTTTTACTGTGAGATACAGCTCGCATTCACCATCCCAAGCACGAAGTTTCGTTGCGGATTTACATTAAGCAGCATCGTTAGCAGTAGGTGTACAAGTACGCGACCGAACAGTTGGTAGATGAGCAAGTATGCACCCAAGCAGGTGCTACCAGAGTTCAAAGAGATCACCCACGTTGATAACGGAGAAGGTGAGCAGAATCGAAGCCGGCTGAAATGTGAGCAAGGGACAAAACCGGGATGTGACCGAAGAACGTAATGGGGGGTTGGCAGCGACAGCTGGAGGCAGCAAAAAAAGAGAGCGACGGGTATGCTGCCAGACGTACCGGAAGAACGACGCACCGCAGAGACAGAGGGTCAGATTCCAGTGTGCCAACAAGTTTGTCCATTGTAAGGATGAGCGTCAGCAAGTGGTTGTGTGCTCCGTTGCAGAAAGTCGACCTGTCGTCATACAAGAATGAACAGAAATGTAGGTAGGCGGTAAGCTCGAATGGCCAGGAGGAGTACTTAGAAGCGTGATGTGACGTTTAAAGCGGATAAGATGTGGAGCATACCATCCATTCTGCGTGAAAGTAAGCAAACACACGTATCAGTATTCATTCACTCAACACTACAACTCGATGGCCATGCAAAAGGAATGAAATGACGTTCCCACTTTTCCAAGAGCTACAGATCAGCCTTTCTTGTTGTCTTTATTTCTCAATGTAAATTCGTCAAGGCCCAAGCACTCGCTTATCTTCAGGTCACCTCGTCGTTGATGGTCTTTAAACTTGCCTATGAGCTCACTGGCCATGCCTGTTCACGTTACCTCTTCGCTCCTAAGCCATCTAGTGTTCTGAGAAAATTTAGCGGGCGCACTGACTTGATACACATCACCCCTCTACATTACTTCATGCTTGAGCCACTACGTCCCGCCAAGCTGAATTGGTGAAGTCACGCGAGCAAAATTGCTGTAGCCGGAAACAGAATGACCACCCATTGTCGTGTCAGCAGCAGCAGGTCCTTGCATAGCTGACACATACCTGTTAGCCCCAACTTGTTCCTGCACGATTCGCATCTAGATACGCGCTTTGTTCCATTTCTTCTATGTCTTAGGCCGTGAGCTGATGCACCTGTTGTATGCCATGTACCTCTATGCTACAAGGAAGCAGGTCGACTGGCGCCGAAGACAGAAATGAGGATCCTTTTCTTTTTTTCCATTTGATAGTGACTTCTTAAAAGCAGCACTGAGGATGTAGTTGTCGATGATGAAGCACATGATCCTGTAGGGACTTAAGCAGAAGCATAAGGAACTGGTGACTGACGAAGCTTCTTCTCCATTATCCAGCTTCTGCATTACAACAAGTATGCAAACAAAGCTTCAAGATAGAATGGACAATGTAACAGTGTTAACTAATGTGTATCGCATGTCAAACCACGACACTTTATACGTGCTGATCGTACGGTCGATCATATAAATTGGGAGAAATATGTGGAGTACTCGCGAAAAGTGTCATGTGCTGTTGTGAAACTCACGAGTCATGACGAAAAGTCTTGCTTGAAGCCTTCTAGCTTTTGATCTAGTTTTCGATTGAATTGAACTATTGCTCCATGAGGTGTGTTAATATCAAGTCTTTGGTCTTTATATCATCGCTTATGGAGGACACATTCTGTTAGCGACCTTTGTTTATTCCTCCCGAGCTATCTTACCACAAGGAGAAGCATCTGGTGGTTTATACACGGCAGTGTTAGGCTATGACTGCATGTAGAGAAAGAGAAAAATCGGTAGTACCCAACAAAATCAGAGCCGCCTAGTGAGAGGTTGCACAGTTTTCCTTTCGTATTAGTGTTGTCTTGCGTCACCAACGATAGAGACGATGGATGGATGCCGATGTGAAGTACATTCATACATACGCAAAGCAACAGGTGAGTACACTGGCATCGATCTGGTGGATGATGCATCGAGTATTGTGGAGCCGTGGCGAGCTTAAACCTCCCAGGCTGAAGAAACGAGCTATCCAGGTGGGAGTGATTGAACTAATCTGCCTTGTGCAAAAGATGTTATGAACTGAGAAGGCTGTCAGGTCGCTTCAAGACCGCACAGCTTCACTAAAATGACAAAAGATGACAACGTATCTGGTCGAAAAAGAGGATCGAGTCGGTATGCACGCTTTCTACGTTTCTACTGGGATGAAAGTTCAGCGCTCATCAGGCTCCTCATTTGCGACACGAAAGCTAATCTCCCTTCCGTGGACCGAATATCATTTTTTGCATGCCTTGGATCGATTTAGCAACGATTGTCATTTATTTCCTTCATAACGTACGACGCACCTGTGAGTAAGCTTCATCAGTCCGTCAAAAGTTCTCCGCATGTCTAGATGATGAAAAGTAGTCTAACTTCTAGACGAGACGTGAGCAGTAACAGACATATCATGTCGACAACTTCGACGGCCACTCGGTAAGTGCGTATCTCTTCTCCATTATTATCGTCTTCACCTATATATCGAGTTTGAGAAGTACTAATTTCATATTTCACAGTAAAAAAATTGGTGGTCGTAACCTTGTCCCAATCTACCATATACAGTGCAAACGACAGGAGCAGGTCAAACAATATGAGTGAAGTGGTTTGGACAAAGGACCAAGTGCTAAAAGCCTTTGACAATTCAGGCAACCTCAAGTTTCTTGAGCATATTAATCTGTCCAACACTGAAAAATGCACGGAACAAGCCCCTGTCTACATCTTTTACATGCGTGGTCTGCAGTGTTCGCGTGATCCACGTTTGGCCTATCATTTCTGGGCCAATTATGCTGGTCGCCATCAATTTCATCTCTTTACAAGTCAAGCCAAAGACGAATGCATTAATGCTGCCATTTACTTGTATGTGCCTGATCTGGACGCCATCGAGAGGAGCCTTACATCCGTTGCAGACGAACTTAAAGACACCAAGTTTGCCGTGGAACGTGTCAATCGTGGCGGGGAAACCACGCACGAGTATCCACAAGAAAAGTGGCACGAACTATTCGACACGACCAAGTATGATCATCTCAAGGTAAACGACCCATATGGCAACGAGCTGCGTCTCCACGTGACACCACGCAATTACAACTCGATTAATATGTCGCTGGGTAAGACGCTGCCTGTAACGGACGAAATTGAAGGTGTACCGCAAGGCTTTCCGTTCCTACTGTACCCGTGCCGTCCAGGCATTGCGCACGGCATTTCGCGCTTCTTTGAGCACTACCTGGGTGCCAAGACGGTGGTTTCCAAGAAGAATGACAATGATGAACTTTACCGCACGTCTGTATTTTGTGGCCCATTGCAGACGATTGTGTTTGACGAGCAAGAGTCCCAGCGTGACAGCAAGGGTGAGTACGACGGTCACCACGTGTGCATCCACATCGATCGCTTCAAGGAGTTTTACGACAAGGCGTACAACGATTCTATGACCTGGAACAACTTGCTGTTTTTCGACCGTTGTGATACCTGGTTTGAGGCTAATCGTGACCAGCAATACCGCATCTTGCATCTAGTTGATCCCGTGGACAAGAAGTTCCTCATGTCCTTCGAGTTGGAGATCCGTTCGGCGCAACACTACCGCTACCTCATCCACCGCAGCGACGTGACCCCGGAGGAGGAAGCTGCGAACGAAGTGCTCCGCAAGAAGAATCTGTAGAGCTGTGCTGCCGTGTGCTAAGTTAAGTAAAGCGTAGAACTGACCAGTTCGATTGAAGTAAAAAAACAAGCTGCGCGTGTTCGCATTAATCGTGACGAGCCTCTTTTGCATTACGTTAACGATCGTCAGGGAGCTTGTTTTCATGGCTATATAGTCACCAATATATAAATAAACTTCCTAATAGCTGAGAGACAAATATCTCATGCTGACGCAAACGGATGCTTCTATGCAGAACTCGAGAGCGTAACATAGCAATACAGAGGATGCATATCGTATCGACTTACTGTATGCAGCAGTCTCTGTATCGCTATGTTATTCTACTGGTACGTAATGAGCCGATTAGCTGATGTCATAGTTTTGTGTTTACCTATAATGATATTGAAGAAGATTCTCGTCATATACATAATGCTAGCGGATTAACAACTTGTGCCATGATGAGCAATGGTCTTATAATTATGCTATGTATGAAATATCCTAGGAGGAGATGTTATACAGGTACATGTTATGCATTATTAAGGTCAAGAAGGTGTGAAAAGTAGCATTAGTGACAAAGAGTAAATGGCTACATTGTATAAAGTGATGATTGACGCGTCGACCATAATTATCTGTCTCATTCGAGCAACCTTCACGCAACGTCACTAGCAGCTCTACATCGGTAACTATGCTACAGCGTGTGTGGCGACGACTGCTGCTCGTCCAGCGCAAATTCTATTTCTCCACATCAAGTACTAATGGTACTAGAATCGAAGACAATGTGACGTCCGCGTCTTCGTTCACGTACAAACCCGTCCGTAAACTCATTGTAGGGCTGGGCAATACTGGTGATAAGTTTACAAACACAAGGTGCAGACTAGACTATTTGTTTTTCCATTTGTTAAGTAAAAAACAAGCGCAACTCAAGTGTCTTGTGTCTTTTTGTTACTTCATAGACACAATATTGGATTTATTGTAGCACAATATTTTCTAAAGATGTACGCATCACAAGTGACGGTGAGTCATCAACATGTTTTTATATTCCCCAATAAAAAATAATGATAGAAATTTGTACCATTAAATTTGTTTTATCTTATGCTTAGGGAAGACAATTACAACTGCAACATGAAGCAAACAATCATGGCAATGTGGCACGATTTCAAGTGACATATCAGCAGCAGCAACAGAATGTAGCTGACAAGAAGTACGTGTATCCAGTTGACGACTTGGTGAATCGCTCGTCAAAACGTGCAAAGGAGCGGACGTTAAAGGAAGGTGTTCCTCATGATCAAGTAAATGTTGCGTTGCTGCTACCGACCACTTATATGAACTGCTCGGGAACTGCTGTCCGTGCTTTTATGCAATCGCACCAGTGGCGACTGAAGAAGAATCCGCTAGCTTTGAATCGACAGGATGAGCTGCTCGTGATCACAGACGACGTTGCGTTGCCATTTGGTGAATGCCGCTTCAAGGCAAAAGGAGGGCCCGGTGGCCAGAATGGTATACGAGATATTATTAAATGTGTCGGCACTGAACGCTTCGCTCGTCTACGTATCGGCGTGGGCGCTCCACACTGGTTTGTAGGAGGTAACACCGGGGCTCCATCGGGTACTGCATTGAACAAGTTTGTGCTTGGACGCTTTAACGGAGACGAACAAGCGGTGATGCCTGACTTACTCCGCTATACGAATGAATTGCTACGATTGTATTTGCACCGGGGTGTTGCTCTGGCCACCACGTACGGTAATAGCATGGACTTGCAACGATACTTGAAGCAATACGACGCGTCACACACGACACGTCAGTAATAGAACGATAAGGAATTTGTGCAAAAACAAGGCAAATGGGTCCTGCGAGAGGTGATATTCATCAATTTGGGTTGGGTAATGGCGTTTACCCACGAATCAGACCTATTCAAATTTTCTTACCCACGAGTTGGACTCATACCCGCGGGTAATAAATTACCCATGTTTACCCGCGCAATAAACATGCAGACTACCGGCGACTTTTTTGGCTGTTATTGGTCCGAGCCAATCGCAGACCTCGGAACATAACGTGGGCGATATTGGCTGCTTGCCATGGCGATGAGTGGCTGAAGAAACCTGACGAGGACCGTATACGCTGCCCTGATCGCAATGGTGATTCGACTTCAAACTTTTGGCGGATTGATAAATGCCATTTATAACGGCGTTGCGGATGCTGATATGAATCTGCAAATGTACGTCAGCCAACGTGTCGTCCTTGCCGCCCGCAATGAAAACGTTGCGAAGAACAACACGGTGGTCCTCATTATGATTCCTGGCGAAATCCACGAGCTCCTCAGCGCTTACAAGGTGATGACGAGGGGGGCATGGGTACCGGAGTTTTTTTAACCCTTTATGGGTACCGGAGTTTTTTTAACCCTTTATGGGTACCGGAGTTTTTTTAACCCTTCATGGGTACCGGAGTTTTTTTAACCCTTTATGGGTACCTATGGGTAAGTGGGTTGGGTAAAGCCAATTACCCATACCTAGCCCATGAGTCTGGGTATGGGTAATTAATTACCCACTACGTCTGAGTCTGGGTCCTGCTGGTAGTCCACCAGCAGGATTGACAATCGTAATAGCGAGTATTTGACATTTGTCAAGAGAGTTCCGAGGTCGTATCAGGAATGCCGTCGTGTCCTGTACCAGTTCTGATCTCTCAAAAGGATCTGCCACGTGTCCTTGCTATCGTGGTGTTTGGTCTCGTCGCTGTCTCGTTACTGGCACTTCGATTAAACAATTTCTTTGCTGCGGACGACCAGAATGAAAGCTTCAGCTTCCCGTTCGTGCAGTTTGCAATACAATTATTAAATTCATTGCAAATGGATGTACAGGACGTCATATTTGCTTATTCTTGTTACATGTTACTGTTTTATAGCAAGGTGAAGGTGTTTATTGGACTCTACACAATGATGTTGGTGGTCTCTCGCTTCTACGAGCACGGTACGTCATTTTGTTTGTCACAATAGAGTCATAGTACTAAGTGCAGAGTGATTGCTTATGTGACAGGCACCTACGTCTTGTACGAGATGTTGTGGGGGTGCAACGTCTCCCTTGTACTTGTCGTCATGGCTCTCTCTTTGTCCAACACATTTCTGGTGGGCGTGACGGTAAGTTCACGTTGAAACACCTAAAGAGAGGAGGGGGGAGGTTGGAAGCCGTTAACATGTGATTCGTTCAGATGGTGATGGTGTCAGGAGACCATTTGCTGTGGTACATTGACACGCTCTCATTTCTACTAACTGGCAAGTTTATCACGGGTGCAATGAAATACTTTTCGTGCCCGGAAAATCGCTCGTTCTCCAAGACGGTCTTTGCAACGCACCACTTGTGGTTCTTGCCCGTTTGCTTCTACGTACGTCGCGTCGAGATAGAACATGTCATGATTTTGCACTTTAATACTGACGTGCTGGCTATACTGCATGCAGATCACGACTCCTCATGGTGGCATGCACAGCTCAAGCTACATGGGTTCATGTATTTTGTCTTTTTTCTTGGCTTCATACTGTCGTGCTTTCACGCCTTTTGAAGTTCGAGTACCTGGTAGTGAAAACGTTTTGCATTTGAATGTCAATGGTGGCTACGCATTTTGGAAGGACATCGACATTCCGCTGCTCCATTTGCTGGATCATCACCATCCAGCGTTGTACCTCCCCTTTCTTGTAATTGTAGGAAATCTCGTGGCAAATGGTTTCCCACACATTTTGATCCTAGGTATCAGCCTTGGACTTCAGCACAATCCGCTCCTGGAAGGCATCACCCACTGATCGAGTTTCAAGTAAGCAGCTTTGAATGTCTCATTCATTAGAGTTCCAATAAAGCAGTTGCCATGTTTGAAAATCTACTAGTCATGTACCCATGTTATCGATCGGTATCCTATGGTCGAGATGCACTGTCGAAGTCTGGCCAACACATTGCGTGAAGCTTCATCGTTCTTCCTCATCGCTGGTCCATGTGTATTGGAGTCTGACCAGATCGTCATGGCCATTGTTGATCGGTACGTCCACGTAATTTGCATTGCATTGCATGGTGATCCTTGATTTTTTTATTGTAGCTGCAACAGGACTGTAAGTCACTCAGGATGATGCTGGTGCCTTGTCTATCACGTCTGACGTGTTTTACACTTGTGTTGCTTGGTCGTGGATGCGAGGAATTTACCAAGCTTCGGAGAATCAATGACCTCGTTGTTCAAGACGTCACTCCCAGTTTTTTTTACGAGCAGTTTTGACTGCCATGGATATCTTGTTAGCTCGATTTTTGGTGTTTTGAAGCATTTAACGACCAAGCGGTGTGTAACGCTGATACCATACGAGTAAAGGAGACCGCGAGTGTATTTCCACTATAGCGAGAATGACCGTGGCAGTCGGTGTTGATGGATTTTTCGTCGAGACATATCTTGATCTGAAAAAGGCATTGTGCGACGCATCGACAATGCTGCCAATTGACGAGCTCGAACCTCTTGTTGATGAACTTGTTGCAATCTCCAGAGCATTTTAATCCTTATTCTAACGTGGGTATCGATTAACACCGTTTTGTCGGTGCTACGGGTCTATTCGACACCAAAACTATTTGAAAGCGTCATGCAGAATATTTACTGTTCAAGTGATCTGGGCGAGACTGCTTCATGTTTGAAATCACGAAGTGGCGAAGTGGCTTTAGTATCTTCAGTTTTGAGGAGGCCAGCAAATGCTAGTGGTATTGTATTGTGTAAAACGTAAAGTGTATGTTTCATTCCTACAACGTCGTCCGGTAGAATAGACCACTATCAAGGCCAAGTTACTGAATGTACTTGTTCAGGAAACGGCGGTGAAAGTCGTTACGGATTGTATCGTTGATGAATTGCTTCTTAACCACCGGCTCGTTGCGAGACTGGTTCTTAAACACCACGTCGTCATTCCATCGACGCTTCATCTTGGCGCTACTTGCAGCTTGCTGCTGGGTCAGCGGATTCCCTTGAAGTATCTCTTCGCGAGATTGTTGTTCGGCAGCCTTCTGTTCTTCTTTCTCTTTACGTTGCCGTTCCTCTTCACGCTCTTGCTTGATTTTCTCAAGCTCTCTCATGAGTTCAGCCTCTTCATCTTCATCATCGCTATGTAGCAACACAATCAACAAGTTCACGTCAAAGACAAATTGAACGATATCATCACTGCTATCATTCAACTCACCTGTCACTGTCAGCGTCACTTGACTCGTCTGAGTCCGCGCCATCGTCTGCATCATTGTACTTACATGCCACTGCCATCAACTGCGACTCTTTTTCGTCCGCCTCAGCGTCACCCAGCAACAAAATCTTCTTATTCTGCTCTAGACGTCGCAATTTGTCTGTGTCACCATACAACACCATTAAAAAAGTTAGATTTTTCAGCTCGAAATACCCATAATATACTCAACATCATACCACCCCGTCATACCTTGTGCCGTGTCTTTCTTTAGCCCTTTTTCCAGCTCATGCTTCTCCTCCTTCCGCTCCAATTCTTGGCGTAAATCCAGCAGCTCCACCTCATTAGCTGTACCCTGTCCAACTTGGCTACAAACCACAAAAAACCACCCAAGACTTGCATAAGTATTACCTCAGCATCATAGAAACTCTAGTATCAATTATTTACCGGAGTTTTAAATGCCTGTGAGCTGGCAAGTCACGTGCTGAAATCTGGTCACTTAATTTGCCTAATAACACCATAAAATGGACATTTAAAAACAACGAGGACCTCAAAACGACGGTCTTTCATGCGGCACTTTAGCAAAGAGATTCACACGTACCTCCAGCATGCCATCCTCCTTCATTTGATTGACCTACAGCGGCGTGCCAGGTCGGACGGTGTGCAGTCGTCATAGTCTTGTCTTAAGCGAGGAAGGAAAAAAAGAGTGCATTGATTGGCTAGAATAGTCATATTACTATTATGTATTTTAACCAATCGAAAGTCTTTAAATAAATAGAGTGGACCAACAACTTGATGTCATCAACTTCAACTTAGAGCTTATGTTTTAGCCAATGAAAATCCTCCATTCTCTCGCATACTATAAAATGCCGCAGGAATGGGCGACATTAGTCGTAGCATCGGAGCTCGTAGTGACGCTGTGTACGTCCTTTTGGCTGGCAACACGTCGATCGGGACGATTAGATCGTCATTCTCTATTCCATGATCCTCCTGCGCTTCTACATCCTTGTGCTTGCTGGTCATTACGTGCCTTATTAGTTTTCAGAGCAGGTACTGCACTTTTCTTCCTTTTGGTCCAAATGTTGGACATTTGGCGCTCTACAGGCCGTTGTTTGGCCTTTTATACGTCTTGGAACTTTATTCTACAAGGTGTATACTTTTCTCTTGCTTCATGGAGCACCAAATGTCAATTAAAACGTTGCGTGGACGAAAGAACGGCGACTTATATGGCATTAGTGGATGGAGATGATGACGGTACAGGAAACCCTTTTATAAGTCGAAGAAGAGTAATGAGAGACAGTGGACTACATTGGATTGACTTGGAGCTACTATTGGACGTGTGTCTTGCTGCCTCGTTACTCATTTGTGTCGTCGTGTGGACAATTTTGTATCCATACGCTGTCAAGACGGGACATCCTGAGAAAATCTTGAATGGAGTGAGCTATTGTCAACATGGAGTTAATGTACTGCTGCTACAGCTTGACTTTCTTGCTACGAGGCACTTGGTGTCAAAAGATGCTTTACCACTGATTATGGGCTGGCCTTCCGTGTATGCAGTCTTTGCATGGATTGTACATGGAACCGTGGCGAAAGGATTTTGGCCGTACCCGTTCCTTGAGGTGAATACCCCATGGGCTCCGTTATGGTATGGCGGATTGCTGGCTGCACATATCATGGCATTGATACTGGTCATGCTGCTATCGAAGGTAAAGCAGAAGAAGCAGCGAGCAGTGACATTAACAGACCAAGTCGAGATTTGATCAAGCAGCGTGGACATTGGTTAGAAACTGTTCTCGTAGATTGGTAGGATTGATGAAGGAGATTGTACATTTTGACTGCGTGAGTGACAAAAAGAAGCGTGCGAGTAACAACGTCAAGACGCGATCTTGACCTCAATCAGCTCACCATCTCCCAAACCGTAGCTCTATCGAAAGAGTATAAAGTATAAAATTAGCCGTAAGTAAAGTAATGCGCAAATGATGCATCAGTCATTCATTGGACACTGACCATAAACGTTTGCGATGCTGCCATTTTCTTCCCATCAAGCATAAGCGATATCTTTGATGCCTCACTTTTCTTCTCTTTCGCGATCTTGACCAGCAACCCTTCGACTTTAGAGCTCTAGAATGCAAACACGTTATGGACCATTCAACAAACGCAAGCAAACGCAAGCAAATGCCGCTTACCGGAATGACTTGATGTGTTTCTCGATCGTCTTCCCCAAATCGTAGCTGCAGCTCAATCGTCTGGGCCGGAGCAACGCTATTGCCACATTTGACAGAAATCTCGTCATGATCCATGAGGCCGTAAAAGTCAATACGTTCATTCAGCCTAAGCTCCTGATCTTGTACGCTCATAACAACATCATCCGGATTAGCGATGGCATGCCGCTTGCAGTAGCTCGTATGCAGTTTCTCGACTGTCGCAGTCTAACAGGAGCCACACGACTCGGTCACAATAAATCTGATACCGATGCAATTACAACCACATACTGCAGACGTACCGAATCAATCTTAAAGATCTCTGACCGCTTGCCAAAAACCACCAGCCTCAAGCGTAGATATGTTTTCTTTTTCGACTCGATCTGCTTGGAGAAGTCCACTTTGGCTTCGATTAAATCGCCGGAGTCCAAGTCCTCTCCATCAGGAGTAGCCTCAAGCGACAAAGCCTCGCCATCCAGCGACATCTTGATAGCCGTTCGCGGTAATCCATGCAGCTCACAATAGCTAGTATACAGCTGGTCAAAAGTCTCCTTCTGTAAATATAGCACGGTGTAGTACCAAATTAGAGTCACAACCTACAACCATAAAGCCATTTTAAACTATTGCTTGCCTTATGAATAGCAATCTCATCAACCGCACCACCATTAGAACGAATGTGTAGCACAATCTTTGCTCCTTTATCCACCACAACTGGCTGCGAAGGAGTAGGCTCAATTATAGCGCCATCATCGCTTTCATCAGCAGTATCCGAGTCTAACGAGATACATTCCAAATTGTTCGCTGTCGTCTGTCTTTTAGTAGATAATACCTTGCTTAAAATGGCTCGTGTCTGGTTTAACACGTTGTCCTGTTTTAGTTTCAGACGAATCTCACGCTCCAGCTGCAGCTTGCGCAGTCTTTCCGCCTCTCTCTCACTTGGTGTGTAAAAATCATCATCTTCATCACTCTTATCCGGTAGTATTTGACCTACAAGAGCAGCAAAATTGTAACAGTGTCAGCAGAATAAACAACTTCCCTTCTTCTGTTTTTAACGGACTCTTTTTCTTCTTCACTGCTTTGTCAAGCAACACACTTTGCCGTCGTCTCTTTGTAGGCGTCTCCAGGATCAAAAACTCATCAAAGTCGTTATCGTTTCCGTCTTCGTCGGATGAAGATGAGAGTGACACTAAAATATCAGGAAAAGGGCCAGCGTCAGACTTTTAAAAACACAATTTTGCAGCTTATAGACAGCAGTTGAGGATGAAACAAGTATGATTAGATAGATAAATGAAAGTAGTATAAGACGCACCCATCATCTGCCGCTTTTTATTGTGTTCTAACGCGCTGTACAGCTTCACCTCGTCCTCCTCTTCCGAGCTCATGTTTGTACGGTGTTGCGTTAAAGCCACGCCACGATTTTCTGTCCTCTGATTCGCTTAAAGTCTGCGCCATCTTTTCTACCAATCCTAGAGCCTAAAATTGACTGGGGTGGAGCGTCATTCATTCCAATGACGCTCGACTTGTTCAAGAGCAAGAGCCGTAGCTGTGACTCGGACGCGGACGCGGAGGCTACAGCCATCACAGTATCAGCATCTGCTGAAAGAAGCAATGAAAGTGGTAGTGACAGCGACGATGACGAGGTGGAGAACGCCATGTTTCGTCCCGCTCCTAAGCTAGAGACTCAAGTGGAATCAGAATCTGAGAAGGAGGATGACGACGGCGCGTCATCGGAACAACCGCAACAAGAACGTTCCGTGAAGAAGAAACGAAAACAAAAGGAAGAATTGAAGAAAAAGATACAGGAACAGCTGCCAAGTGAAGAGGATGATGAGCTAAAGGAAGAGATTGACCGGAAGACGGAGGCTACTGTCTATGTTGAAGGAATTCCATACCGAGCCAATGAGAGTGACTTGGTGACGCACTTTTCATCCTGTGGCAATGTGCGTGAAGTGCGTCTGCCGCGTTATCAGGACTCGGGGAAACCTCGTGGCTATGCGCACGTGGTGTTTGACGATGAAGCAGCACTTACGAAGGCTTTGCAGTTGGATGGAAAGTATTTGTTTGGCCGCTACTTGTCCATTCGGAGAGCAGAAGCGCCACGGGCTGTGGAAATGGCGTTGAAGGAGAAGACGCAAAATGCAACAAAGAAGGCAGTGAAAGGATGTCGGACAGTTTACATTAAGCAACTCCCGTACGAGGTAGAAGAGGCCACGATCCGTGAAGCTCTGGCTTGTTGCGGTACTATCACGAGTGTGCGATTGCCACTTTGGAACCATACACAAAAGCTGAAAGGCTTTGGATATGTTGAGTTTTCATGTGAAGACGAGGCGTTGGCTGCTGCTCGTCGCAGTGGTATGAAGATCGGGGACCGGATGGTACTCATCAGTCTAGACGCGGCAGGAAGTGCACCGAAGGCAAGTTTTCGCCAACGTGACGGACAGTACTGGAACAAGGGCGAAGAAGCGAAAAAGTCGCTGGCAAAAAAGATTAGCGAGAAGCAGCAGCGCCAGAATGCACACAAGAAGCGGAAACTTGCAAGCAAATAGAGCACAGACAGCAGACAAGAAATGTGTTTGAGAATGAAGGAGAATAGAGCTAGTATTCACGCATACTTGTTGACTATTGCTGGAGGGCGAGTCGGCTACTGTCCTGGTCGCTTCCTAGGCCGTGAAGGCAATCGTTTTGTGCGTGAGGTCGACAACATCCAAGCGCTTAAAGCCCCGCACCCCCACTGTGTGCTGCACTTGGTCAAACCAACGCACAAGGTTGACAAACTGATCATATTGAGCAGGCGTAAAGGTGCTGATAGACCCGTGTAGTGCGTAGAAGAGCGCAGCGTCAGCGAGCGTCACGCGGTTGACTGCCACGTACGTTTTCTGCTGCAAAACGTTCTCCAGCATTAGCCAATGAGAAGATGCAGCTGACAATGGACAGCGCTGGATGCTGCGTGCAACGTCCATCCACATGGCCACTTGGGCACGTTCAAAAGGTGTTTGGCCCAAGAGCTCAAGCTCCCGATCAGCGAATCGTGCGAGGTATTTGGCGATAGTCACAGGGTCGTAGAGCTCGGTGGTTTTACCCAGACGTACACGTAGACGACCCGAGGCAGCTGAGCCGAGATTTACGCCACAGAAACGAGCGACAAAGCGAATAAAGTCGGCATCTGGTGACTGGTTTAGCGACACCGACATGATTCTCTCTCTAAATGTAAAAAGAGCTTTATAGCTGGACTCTATTTTCTATTTTGATGTTTGGTGCCTTTAAAATAGATGTTTTGACGTTATAATAAGGTCTTCCAGAAAGCCTGGTTGTAGCAATCGTTTCGATACGTTGAATATGTTCATGTACTGAAAAGATTACTGCATATAGCCACCATTCTCTAGTCAAATCTATTGCTTACTCTATTCCAGACGATCAATAGCGGCCTTAATGTCATTGATAAAGTCTACAAGAGGTTTTGCACCATGAACTTGATTGTCACGTGTGCGAATGTTGACCTCCTGTGCAGCCTCTTCCTTGTCACCGACAACAAGAATGTAATTGTAGCCTGCAACTTGCGCCTCACGCACACGTTTGTTAAGAGTCTTGCTGCTGTCTTGCACATCCACGAACAAACCACGTGTAGTGGCCATTTGCAACTGATTTGCCACCTCATGAGCGTATCCACGATGTGCTTCAGCAATTGGAAGCACAGCCACCTGTCTAGGACTGAGCCATAGCGGCCACTTGCCACCAGTGTGCTCGATAAGAATTGCCATCATCCGCTCAATTGATCCTAGCACGGCACGGTGAATTATGATCGGAGTGTGAACTTCGCCATCAGCACCATCGTACGCGAGCTCAAAGTTAAGAGGCAGCTGAAAATCCAGCTGAATTGTGCCGCATTGGTGTTGACGCTTCAAGGCATCGGTAACTACGATGTCAATCTTTGGACCGTAGAATGCACCGTCACCTACATTGACACTCCATGGTTGACGAAAATCGTCCAACGCTACACGCAATTGATCTTCTGCGTCATCCCAGAGCTCGAGATCACCCATGTACTTTTCCGGACGAGTCGAGAGACGCAAATTAAACTTGAAATCAAAAATGCCATACACGTGCTTGACAAAATCAAGAGCATGAGAAATCTCCGATTGTACCTGAGCAGCTGTGCAGAAAATGTGTGCATCGTCTTGGTGAAAACGGCGAACGCGCGTTAGTCCCGTAAGCGCACCAGAAGCCTCGTTACGGTGAAGCGCAGAAAAGTCGGCAAGGCGGACAGGCAACTCTCGGTACGAATACTTCTTCGCTTCGCGGAATATTAAGCAGTGTCCCGGGCAGTTCATAGGCTTCAGTCCAAACTGATCAGACTCATCTTTACCATAAACGTGAGTTCTCCTATGGTCATGCTCTTCATAAACCTCCTTGTCACCTGTGTCAATGCCTTGAGAAACCAAAAACATATCATCGTGATAGTTTTTGAGATGGCCTGACGTTTCCCAAAGCTCTTTCTTGTAAATCAAGGGTGTGATTACCTCATCGTAACCACGACGGCGGTACTCTCCGCGAATAAAGTCGGCAAGCGTGTTAAACACTCGTGTGCCATGAGGCAGGAAGAATGACGATCCAGGGCTTAGCGGGTGAAACATAAAGAGCTGTTGGGCGCGGCCAATATGGCGATGATCGCGCTTTTTTGCTTCTTCTTGAAGATGACGCCACTCCTTGAGTTGCGTGTTGTTTGGAAACGATACAGCATACACGCGCTGCAATAAATCTTTTCCCTCCCAGTGTGACGCACCACATCGCGTGATCGCAAAAGACGACAGCATGCCTGTTGAATATGCCGAAGAAAAGAGAGCAAATGTTAGTGTAGATTATACTTCCACTGAAATGTTTGCCCACGTGTAGTTCACCAACACTCTTTGCGAGAGTGGGGAGTCGTTCATTGACAAGAGTTGATATAGGACTGGTGGGTAGAGCACCCAACAAAGTAAAAAGAGAGGACGCATGGCTTTTCAGCTGTTCCCTCTCTCTCTTCTGCTTGTTTAAAGCAGAATACAGTCCAGCACACGAACAGGATGCACATGATCACGTACCAGTGTGGGGGACGTGGGGACCACGACACAAGTCAATGAGTGGGCCGCAACGGTAAAGCGAAATCGTGTCTCCCTCTTGAATCTTGTGCAGCATTTCTCTTTTATAGTCCGAGTAGGCAAATAGCTCCTCGGCAAATTCACGTGTCACCTGCAGTCGTTCGAACGGTTGTCTAGTTTTGACAATCTTCTTCATGTTGCGTGCAAGTTCGTCAAAGTCCTTTTTGGACACAGTCAGTCCGTCCTGCAGGAACATCTCGTAGAAAAAACCTCCTTCACTCAACGCCGGGCCGTCAGTTAGTCGAATCTTGTCCTGAAACTTATTCTCCAAAGCCTAGCAATAACCATAACATGAAACAATAAATGATATCACACTATGTATTACCAACCAGTACAATCAACATCTATAGGACAGTGTACCCACCTGTCCCAAAACGTGCGCTGACGAATGCCAGAACACGTTTTTACCTTCATCACTCGAAAAACTACCCCCAAAACAAGAGAAAAACAGTTATAATAACAAAACCATCTCCAAATTAAATCGTTTAAACGCTTTTACTCGAGTAATTGCAATGAACCAGAGCATTGCAGTGGCGTGCGTAGATCGAGCAATTCGCCTTCATTCTTGGCCACTAATGCCTGAAACTTTGGCAATCCCATCTCGTGCATCTGTTTAAGTACGTCAATAGACGTGGAGGCGCCTTTCACACCACAAAAGGTAAAAACACCAGGTACTTCCCCTGGATACTGCACTGCCAGTTCGAGCGGCTCTGCGCGAGTTAGCGCCTGATCTAGTGCCTGTTCCATTGCCACCTGCTGCCTCTCCATCTCCTTCGTCCATAGGGCCATCCGATCATTGCGAATTGAGAGCGTGGCCAGCCCTGTATGCAGTTGAAGTTGCAGCTGCGGAGCCAGACGTCTCCACGTTTTACAACCAAGCATTTGCATGAAAAATGAATGATGCTGATTGGTGGAAAGTGAAAACCGCTGCTTATCATTTGTTATAACGAATAAACATCTATTAAAACCGTTTTTATTCTGCAGAGGAATCGATTGGTAGAGAAAAATGAGCTTTAAAGTTGGTCAAATGAAGCGAATGGGACGTTGTGTGCAGAGCTGGTCATCGAGTCGTGAAGAGGTCCGACTGCGTTTTCAATGTACTGGATGTGGCAAATGCTGTACTGGTAAAGGTGGACGTGTACGTGTCAATGATCGGGAACTGCAGGAATTGGCTACTGCCACAAACTTGTCCTTGATGGACTTCAAGCAGAGTTACACCCATACAGTCGTCGAAGTGGACGCTGGTGGACAGAAACAGGTTCAACACGCGTTGCAACAGACACGGGATGACCGTCAGTGTATATTCTTACAAGGGTCTAAGTGTACCGTCTATGCTGCACGACCGACCCAATGTCGGACGTTTCCGTGGTGGCCGCAACACCTCGTGTCCGACTATGACTGGCACCTGGCAGCGAAAGAATGTGAAGGAATTCGTATGGAACAAGAAGGGGATGGGCACGAGGACGTTTCCAGTGTTTCATTTGATGACGTGATTCCCGACATGGTAGTACACGATGTGAGAGAGACAAGCCATTTTCAGAACAGCGTTGGCTTCAACTGTACTGATTTGTTACGACGTCCCTGTCCTTTCTGACGTGTCTGTATAGATTCATCAGTCAGGCGAAAACTTTACGTACAACGAGTTGCAGCAAATGTTGCAGGACTTGAAAGAAGTCGAGCCAGAGCTTCTGATGCAGTACAAGACCGACTTCTTTCACAAGTTTTCAAGACGAATTGTCTTTTATGACGATGAGGTCACTGTGTTAGACAATTTGATCAATGGTGTTGCTACACGCAGTTTGGTGTTTACTGACCGGCTGCACTTGACTCAGAGTGAAGTGGTAATGAATCAAATGCCGGACGCTGATACGAACGTTGACCCAGAGTTTGATCGGACGACGTTGGCTTTTGATGTGCATCGAGCACTGTGTATGCCTTTTGCATGGTTTCCTGATTGTGATGGAAAGTCACTGCCATTGCACGTATCGGTGCTGGGAGCAGGAGCTTGTACACTTCCGCTTTTCCTACTGGAGCATTTGTCGCCCGAGGAACTTAAGCGACTTGATGCTGTTGAGCCAAGCAGTCAGGTGAATTCGATTGCACAGCACTTTTTTGGGGTTAAAGCAGTCTTACAGCGGGACGAACGACTCGTGATTCACGAAAAAAAGGGCGAAGATTTTCTCAAGGAGCAAGATGAGAATGCTGCGTTTGATTTGTTGGTGCTGGATGTTGAGGCTGGCACTGATTGTGCTGGTGTGCGTGCACCACCGCTCGCAATGTTGGAACCAAAGTTTTTGTATCAAACGAAGTGTGTACTTGCCCCTCATGGCATCCTAGCAATTAACGTGATCACCGAGTCAGAGGCAGCGCTGGAAAACGTAGAGACCAAGCTTGGACACGTGTTTACGCGTGGACTTCGCCTTTCACTGCCAGCTAACACGACTTTCTTCCTCTTTAACGACAAATGCGACGACAAACCCCCCTTTGCCGCGGACGAGTTCATTCGGCGGGTCCAAAACAATTCGTTTCAGACGGAGCATGCTAAGACGCCAGCGCTCCTAAACACATACCAGTTGACTGCGTGGGTCTTGAACTCGTCAAATGGCGGCTCGAAAAGTAAATGAATCTGAAGAAGCAAGGAAGCTGGCTGACCGTAGTTTGCATTCATAAACTACTTGGAGTGAGAGAAGTAAACGAACGGACTAGAAGTTAAGAATGCTGAATTCCTGACACGACGAGAATAGTGTGGTACAATCTTCGCTTTGTCAATGTACTGCTTTCAAATGGACATTGTTGAAGACAAGTTGAAGACAAGCTGCTGCTGACCTTGAGAGGTACGTGAAACGAGTCAGATGTAATCGGCACATGGCTCGAACTACCCCATCCGGATGATTTTTGGTCGTACTGCACTTCGCCATTCTCGTCCACACTTGACAAGTCATTGCGCTTCGACTCATTGCGCATCAAGCACAGTTTGCTATAATCACAAACAACAAAACCTCTCGTCATACGGTCTTCCTATCGAGTGGCGTGGTGTCATCTAGGCATGAAAGCTTAATGCTGTATAAATGACACTCACGCGATCGTTTAAGTGCAAATTTGACATTTCATCCTGCTCATATCGCATCATGCACTATCGTTGTTACGATATGCGTAAGCCATTTGCAAAAGTGGAAGCCTTGGTGGTTGATAGCTCCGGTGGCATGTGCTGAGCAACTGCATGCTTACAAATTTAGCCAGCGCTTCAGCTCTTGATATCTGCATTACAAGCTCAACATTGCGAGGTCTGTGGGCACGGTATTGTGTCTGAAGAACGCAGCCACAAGCGTTGCATTACGCAGAAGCCCGCGAGCGCTCAGCTTTTTTGAAGATATTCACACCCAGAGCATCGTAACTTTATTAAGGTAGAGATCTAAACATAAACGATTATCTTCGGTGGCACGGCGGCCAAATAAATGGTCGATATCTGCCTGCATGTACAACAACCCAGCAGTAATGATGACGGCGACATGGCTTTGAGAAAGAAAGGATGTCGTTTGTTCTGTCTGTCGAAGACGGTTTGGCTGGCACACCATGGATGATTTCTGCTTTACTCATCTTGAAGGCTAGGAAGCGTAAGAAAAAGGAAGTGGTGCTCTTGCTGGGAGACTTTATGGCGTTACCAAGTACTTCGATGTTTTACATAGACCAATTGTACTTCACTGAAGCAATCATGGTAGCTTTTTGTACTACGATGCAGGCAGATCCGATGACAATATTTGAGTGTCGCGAAAAAAATGACTCAAGACCTTTATCGGCTGACATCATGTCACGCAGCACTTTACCTCACCCTCAAGACACAATTCCTTAGCATCACGAAGCTCATTAAATGTCGAGCGCATTCAATTCTTGAAGTTGCTGGCTTTATCTTTCGAGGCTTGGACACGACCAGTTGAATGACTCTTCGCATAATCTCAAAGTGCTATGAAGCAGTATTTCATTCCTCATTGAGGTTTGTATGCTCGAAAAAAAATGTCGGCTAGGGGCAATTGTGTGATGTCTCCATGTGTGACTTTCGAAGATTGAGTTACGAAGCAAAAGCAGCAGATAGTCTTTGCTGTTGTTAGCACTACTGCTTTTCCAACGTTTCGTCAATTGATTTCAATAATACAACTCCATTCTACTAGTTAGCCTGGTAGCCATCGTAGCTTGATGCAGATCGCATTTTTCATGCAAAGTAGAAGCGTCTCGAAGCTACTACATGAACACTTGCTACCAGAATCTTCTGTTGGTGCAGGATAAAGTCTCGTTAGTCGCTTGGAAATACCAGTATTCATCATCAATCGTGTAGCCCATGAAGGTCATCGAATTGTGACGATCAAACCTTCATCTCTGCCAATGTGTCTGGTATGAAAAGACGGTTACAATGTTTCATGAAGACAAGCCGAGCCGATGAAAGCCACAAAGAGATGATGAGTCCAAAGCCCTGGCACATAACCGTCAAGTAAATTTTAAAGCTGTTGCTGGCGGTTTTCCTGTACTCTGGGCGGGTCTGACAGATAATCTCAAGACTAAGGTGAGGCTCGCTGTCGTTGTTCTCCCATTGCCTTTATGTGATTGCGTCCACAACCTCATGGCACGATTTTGGTCGAAAGGTTCGTTGGTAAAAATGACGTTTCTTGACAGCAGCTACGGATACGGTAGTGTCATTTGAAAGACACGAGGCAAATGGTGCCCAAGTTCTGGGAATCGACGGTGTGCTAGTCGCCAAAAGTTGGACTTCTCGGGAGGATTGGATCTCGTCTATCTATCGCATCGTCGTCTTTTGCTTAGTTTGCTGACTGCAATCGCCGACATTGACAACTGATATCCCGAGTGAACCTGAAGCAGAAACACGGACCTTCTGACCTTCTCACACCCTCAGCCTCACATGAATCTCAATTTTCCCTATAACACTTTCAAGCAGCTCTATGGATAGCAAAAACGGTGAAAAGCTGGAGAATGCTTCCAAGAAAAACGGTAAACTACAGCCTGTTGTCTTCATATTTCAGTGCGTAATTGTCCTTTGATGACCAATGTACTCCCGGCTAAACGAGACTATAAACATCCTAATGTCCAACGAGGATATGTGAGGAGGAGACAAGCACCACAAGGCACATCGTTGTGCCAATGCCGTTCCATCTTCTAGCAAGATAACTAAAAGCGAGCGCTGAAATCCACTTGCAGCGAAACGTATCAACAACGCAGCTAATCGCCATAGACCAGTCTAAAATTCGTAACTCTCACCATCAGCTGAAGATACACGTCTCGGGCGGAGTCTCTTGCTAGCTGCCAGTTCATCGTCTAATGCTGTCGTGGCAAACGAGTTGGACGCACGGAAGGACTGGTCGTCGAAATCGTACGTAGAGTGTGTATTGTTGAAGTCGTTTTCCGTCTTGGTAGCAACTAATGCCGAGTCGGCCACTTCCGTTCCAAGAGTTGGGCCAGTCAGGCCAGTGCCGTAGCTGCTTCCAATCTCATCGGCACCAAAGCTCGAGCCGCTGAGACCAGAGCTATAGCTAGATCCCTCCAACTCACTGTTTAGGCTACTGCCTTCGTCGTAATCGCTGTGGCTGTTTGGCTTAGTGAAGTCACCATTGCCGCTGTCGCTGAATTCAGAGCTAGCAACGATATCGGTGACGGTGCTGGACTCAAAGTTGGTAGCAAAGTCCGCGGTGCTGACAACGTCACTTGCATACTCATTCGCGATGTTAATAGTATTGTCAAACTTCATCTTGCCATCAAAAATGTCGACAGAGCCGGCAGTGCTAGCAAAATCGGAGCTGACGTTTGAAGTCGCGAAACTAGCGGTGCTGCTATCATTAACAACAAGATGTTTGTTGCCGTGACTAGCCTTTGAGTTAGCAGACCTGCTAGGGTTGGCATGGTCACCGATGGCCACCTTTGCCTTTGCAATGGCAGACATTGTTAACGTCTCGTCCAATGGCTCAAACTTCATTGGCTTTAAAGAACGAACAGAGGGTTCGTCTTGCGTGAAATCCACAGTTCCGATCGAGGACACCGAGCTGCTACGATTTTCGCCAACCTCTCTGCCGTTATCATCGGGCATGCCAGTGAGCAAGGCGTCCATGGTGTCGCTCCGAGTGCGAGGAGGTCGCTGCTCGTACATATCGTATTCCTCCGTTTCACCCATGCTCGACAAGTCTGATTCGCGTCCATAGCCATTGAGAAGCGGGTTGATTGGAGGCTGAGAAAAATGCGAGTGATCCGTTTTGTACTCAAAGGAAGAGCCCATGGATGTTTCGCTATCAAGAGATGGCCCACCAGGCCCGATGCCGAAGGTCTCGAGGTCTGGTGTACGTCCACATTCGAGGTTCGGATCTTCTTCGGGAATACGAAACTCACTTTCGTACATTGAGTCATCGGGGTATATCGACTGAGAGTCATTAAATGGGTCCCTAGCCGAATGTCCGGAAGCACCAAAGTTATTGCCAGACCGCTGCGTGGGCGTGTCGTAGTTGTTGTACATGACCCTAGAGTCACCATGACCATGACTCGAGTGAAGAGAACATGATGACGACACCGTCTTATTCTGGCGGCTAAGCCGATCGTTAAAGACGAGAGCACTGGCATTGAGTCCAGGACAACGGCAGCCGTTAGATCCATCTCTCGTCGGATAGTTCTCCTTAAAGCCAGAGCCATGTGAAGTCAATCGCGCCTCGGGCTCGGCGTTCCAATCCAGGTGGGACTTTGACTTGTTTGCCACGTACGAAGCTGGCAACCCAAAGCCACTGTTTCGGAAATGGTCGTTAACGAGACCAGGTCGACGCTTTCCGCGCCAAAACACGACTGACAGAATGAGGGCAGCGACAATTGCTACTCCACCAACAATTAGGCCCACCGTTAGGCCCGTCGACAACCCCGAACTGTCGTCATTGTCCGCACTAGTTGTGCTAGCTTCTACATTTGTCGTTATGAACGAGACAAAATGGTAGCTCCTTTTCAAATAATTCGTTGGCGGTAGAATAATGTGCGCGAATACATTCCGCTCGCCCACACTGTTGTATGTGATTCTCTGACGAAAGCTGGCAGTGCCTGCACTAGAAAAGTTGGATGATTCCTGGTCTACAATTTTACGATTCGCTCCTGTTCGGAAAATATCACACACGGTAGAGCGTAAGCACGTGTGGATGTTGGCGTGGCCAATCTGCATTGGAAGGCCCGTGGTCGGGTCAGGTACCACCGCCTGTAATTTGTTAAAGTTAAACACATTGTCGTTTAGATTTAGTGTAGCCGTAAAGGCGTATTCGACCTCAGTGCCGGCGATAATAACGCCGGTTGTGGCTTGCTCCAGGGAGATCGTGAGTGGACATTGAGAGCCCGTTCCCTGCTGCAGTACGTAAGCAAAATCAAGATTGGTCACTTGCATGCCCTGGTCCATCCAATAGCAATAAGTTGTAGTGCCATCGTACTTGTAATCTAATCATATTGTATAGTTAGACAATAACATGATGCGCATCACAATGACAGGAGGAAGGGGGGAAGAAGGATTGTTGCATACCGTAGAGTGAGGGAGCTGTATCAGCTGATACAAAGGCACTCATTGATAAGAGAAAACCCAACAATTGCCGTAGTCGTAAAGAACTGCTACGCCGGACCTTCATCTGGACGTAGAAAGCGGACGGAAAAGAGAGCGCCGAGAGTTGGCGGATAAAACAATGACCAATCGGTTCTGGCTTCTTACCCTGCTACGTTCGACGATTAGTGTAGTGTCTACACACAGGGGTAGGGTGTAATGGAGTCTGATGATTGGCTATTACGATTAGGATGGTGTCTACACACAGGGGTAGGGCGCTATTGAGTCTGATGATTGGCTACAATGAAAGGCTATCAATACTGTATACACCTTATTGATTATTGCTCCATCTCTTAATTTCGTGTCCCATTGGTCACTATATACTTGCTTTTATTATAAGAAAGAAAAAGGAGTGACGGACGTGGCTTTAAACAGAATTTAATGCTGGACTTTAGCAGCGTTTGAAGCATTCGTGTAGATTGACCGGTGTATGTGAACAGCGAGTATATAGTGAAAGTAGTAGGACATGGAGTACTGAAGCAATGATACAGGACGAGGGTTCAGTATAAATTTAAACTCAAGCAGGTCTCGTGAGTGTGTTGTGCCTGTTTTCTGAACGCCTGAGAACTGTGAGCAACGGTGACTCTTCACAGCAGCGAGAACTAATGTCTATTGAAATACTTATAATATGTTCTGTGTGGACATCCCCTGATGTTTTGCCATGACTACTACATCGTTCTTCTATGCACTAACTCATTCTGTTGGCTCAACCCGACGGGCTCCACAAAAGACAATGTAAAAGAGCACGTGAAACCGTTTGACCAAATCCGAGCACATGCAGGGGGCAAGTGATGTGTTCAAAGTAAGGCCAGGTACCAAACGTGCTTTCCTATCCTGACTTCTTCCTGACATGCAGTTCCGGTTCTGAGTCGAATTGGACACTATCAGGTTATAGAAGAGTTCGCTTCGTGGGACCGAAGTCAAGCGCCGCTGAACGGCCTGGCGACAAGGAGGCGGAATGAAGAAAGGGTGAAAATTTGTTGATGCTTAAGTGTAAGGTATTCGATGCTTTGTCGACGTGCCGTACACTTCGGGACTTCATGTTCTATTGCTCCCCGTCAAGTTCGCACGCTGCACTGCTTCCCATGGAGAGAAGACCTGCCCCCTATCTATAACCTTGGTTCCATGATGGGGGACTCCCGCCTATCGGTATGCCGGCTCTTTGGAGGCCTTCGTCACCATTGGTACTCGAAAGCCTTTATTTGTAGAACCACACTTTATATGAAAGGGGCCTACGTTATGGCCATTGCTACATTTACGTTTCCTGCATGTTCCCACATTGAGTATAAACGTTGAAAAATGAAGCAATCGTGTGTCATTTCGTTTCTTGTAAACAGTGGCAGCGTATGACTGTTTCCTCGAGTGCGGTCGCTAATTAACATCAAGAGACTTGAATGCACAATGTCAAGTAAGAGCTAGACATGTTTGCAAGTCTACAAACTACACATGTACATGAATGCTGATTAAGTATGCGCTACAAACTGTATCGTCGACCTTGAAGTAAATTGCAGATACGTGTCCATATGACAGAGCCTGATATCATGGACCGTGACGTTCTTGCTGATTTTCAACGTTGCTTGTTGCTTACGACAATGTAAATCTTGGTAAGACGATAAAAAGCGCAAGTGCTGCCGTCGCATCTGGTCCATATGTCTAGCGTCTGTTCTTTTCAGCGCTGTTTCTACACTCTTTCATGTCTTCTACGCATGTGCGTACCTGGCCGTTCTCATCACGCGCCCAGATGACGTCATTCATTCCTTGCCTTTTCTTCTGATTCGCCGGCTTTTATGGCTCGTCTCCCCTCTTTTTATGTAATCGTAGCTTAGTGTACCTTAAATTGACACTGTAGCCATGTCGAAGTACTTCGAAATAATACGTCTAATTTTTATGAGCTCAGTAGCATTGGCGCCGTCACAATTCCGCCGGTCATGCAGCCTGCTTGCCGGTCTGTTGCTTATGTTAGGAGTGGGTTCAACATACGCGTTGTCTGCATGGAACGCACAACTTAAGACAATGTTGCACTTTACACAGGCAGGAATCTCAATGGTCTCTTCGATGACAATGTTAGGAACGTACATGTCATATATTCCAGGCATGATATTCGATCGATTAGGGCCATATACAAGTGTATTGCTGAGTGGCACTGCTATGTTGGTCGTTCATCTCGTCATGTTTACGGTGCTACAGTTTGCTCCAAATAGTGTAAACCCATTGGGCATTGGCAGTGCGATGATGTTGTTTGGGTTGCTCAGCTCCTTCTACGTCTTCGCGTCCATCGTGCCAAATGAGTCCCTATTTGGAGATGCCAATCGTGGCAAAGTGATGGCAGCTCTCACGTCGGCGTACAGCTGCGGTGGTGCCTTCTTTGCCTTTGTCTTTCACGAAGGCTTCCACAGCCGTGACGTACCTGGCTACTTCCTCTTTGTAGGAAACTACCTGCTAGCCGCCTGCGTTTTTGGGTGGTGCGTATTCGCTCGTCCAGTACGTGGAGGCGAAAGCATGGACAAGCAAAGAAGATCAGGGAGTATTGAATTCAGTCTTGGCAAAATTAGCATGGAATCCGATGGACAAGTGAATGGTGCTGCTGATAGTGAGATGCCCGACGAGATTACAGGTGTGGCCTTGCTGACAGATGAGCGGTTCTGGATGCTCTTTATTCCAGTGATGATCGTCATTGGTGCGGGCCTGCTGGTTATGTCCAATGTGTCATTTATCGTGGAGTCACTGAGTGGACCAACAGAGCAGGTTCCTTTCATGGTAGCACTCTTCTCTATCGTTAACACGCTTGGTCGTCTCATAACGGGAGCTGTCTCGGATCACTTTGTGACGCGATATCCTCGCGCGTGCTTTGCTGTAATCTCAGCATTGTGTACGGCCATCACGCAGGTGGCCTTCTTGTCTGTCCCACCCAGTTGGCTTGTGTTGCCTGTTGGTTTGGCTGGGTTTTCGGAAGGAGTTATGTTCGGCTCATTTCCCGTAATTATCCGCGAAGAGTTTGGCTTGCAGAACTTTGGCAAGAACTTTGGTCTCATAAGTCTTGCTAACTGCATTGGGTACCCTCTCTTCTTTAGCCCGTTGGCGTCGTACGTGTATCAGCACTCAGCAACAACGCACACCACTGACAGCATCGAGAAATGCTTTGGTGCCCAGTGTTTCGGGCTCGTGTTTATCGTGGTCATTGTGCTCTCGTTTGTGGCGCTACTTTGCTCCTTACAGTTGGGGCGGCTACAGCGACGCCACCACATCGACAGATATCAGCCGATTCGGCCATAAATGCAATATCGATTTCTCTGCATTGAGCATGTAAATCCAAGCAAATGCCCCAACCTTTCGCATTGCAGATATGCCCATTTATCAAAAGAGAAAAGTACTTGCAGAAACATTGTAGTCCGAATCTCGAGAAATCGAATGCTTGGTCTTTGAGTCGCATATTTGAGAAAGCCAATGACTCGAATTAGTTGTTTGTCAATCGCAATGTGAGCGGTAAAGATAGCAACTACAACATGTTGCAATGGGAGCTGTGTGGATGACAACAACAACAACTTGGAAAAAGTGATGGTGTCGGAATTCGAAGAGGATAGACGCTACAATAAACCCACTTTATCATTTCTACCACGTCAGATGCACTAAACTTCTACCCCAAACAATCAACAAGACGCACCCGGCTAATTGTACAACGGACCACCAACTTGATCAAAACTTGACTAATTGCTGATCCTGTCGCTGTCATGGTCTAATTTGTTGGGCCACGTAACGAGCATTTGAATCACGTCTTCAGGTTCGAAGCTCTTAGAAAAGAAATACTGCAAGAAACACCTCGATCTATCTTCTTAGTATCACATTATCTGCGCATTTATTTCGATATAATCTACCCATTTTTGTTTGCTAACCCCTGGAAGACTTGAATAAATAGCAAACAAGTGAGTAAGATTCTAATTCCCCAGTATCTATTATAGTCGTATCTATTGTTATACATCCCACCCCATACGCTTGGGGTTCACAGCAAGAGAAATTAGCGGATCCGACTAGTACTACAACGCAAGATCATTTCGTTAAAACTACATCCGACTTCATCATGTACACGTGCGCCATCTCCCACATATGCTAGGAGTCTGCAAACAAAAGGCCATCTTCCTTGACGTTGGTCGATTCATAAATATTTGATGGTCAACATTATAAGTGCAGTTGAGGTATCGTCGTTGACTAAACGTGTAGCTTCGATTTCTTGGGTATCTCTGCCCAGGTGTCCGACCAAATATATAGGTCTCTTGCATTAAAAACTTATAGCTTTACGAATCAGCACTGTAGACCCGTCCTTACCGCACAATTGTCGCATAATAAAAAATATCGCATACATGAAGTAGAATCATAAAAAAGACACGAAACAGATGCACCTGTGTTAATATCTGTCAAAAAGTATGTATTCAGCACAATTTTGTCGAAACTTTATCGTTTTAGATGAAATTCCGTCAAAAACGCCCATATACTACTGTACTGTAAACCTCTCTGGAATAATACTCTTGAGGTTAAAATCGAATCGACGAAATTCTCAAGAGCCCGACAACAAATCGATCGATATTATGAGCTCGTCGATGCAGCACCGACTCACGGCGTCCGCCAGCGTAGCACAAGCATGTCGTCAAGCCGTAGCAGAGCTTGAGAATTGGTCGCTTTGGGCGTATCGTTCTACCACGGGGGAGGAGTGGGATGCTCAGCCTGCGTGTTTTATCACTGATTATCTCTTGGCGATTCAGTGCTTTGCTTTTGCCGTCTACATTGGTCTCTTTGCTGCGACAGACAAGGGAGATTTGGCCTGGTACTTTATGTACTTTATGGCTCTTGGTATCTCGGCGGCACTGGGCGGTCTACTGCACCACGTCGCCTATGAGGCGATGCGTGACATTGCACACAAACAAGAGAACCATTTGGTCAAGACTGCGCGTATTTTTGGCGTCAACCTTAGCCGCTTTACTGTGGACAAGATGATTGACGCGCTGTGGCGTATTGTGCTAGCGTGCTCTATCTTTACCAACTTTGCACTGCTGTCAGTAGCTGCTAGCCGTCATTTACCTGAGACGTGGGCCTACTTTATCATCGGACTGGCTGCCTTGTTTTACGTGGTGCTGGCTGTCTGGGCTAGTGTCAGCATGCACGCAGTGTTTCTCTTTGCTGGCTTCATACCTGTGATGGTTTTTGGCCCCATCGCGTGTTTTATGACGTGGAACTGGGAGTGGAGTCATTCGACTAATGAGCTGCTGGTATACGGTGTCAAGCTCGTGGGCGGCCTCATTCAGGGCTTTGTATGGGCTCCAAGCAAGGACAAGTTTAACCATAATGCGCTCTCGCACGTGTTTCTTAGTCTGGCAGCGACGCTCATGCTCATTCACTTCAAGTTCTAGCTGCGTTCGAGCAAAACGGCAACGAGGGAGGGCATTGTCTGCGTATAAGGTGTCAGCTAGTTATATAGACACACGTGCAGGTTCTGCCTTTTGTTGTGGATAGGGCGTATTATGATAGGGAGAGACAGAAAAAGAGAGTGGGGCAAAGAAACAATTTACATGAAGCTAAGTGGGTTTTCACGTGGTCATTCTAATGAATACATGGTTTTAATTGGCATCAAACGGCTGGTTAAGATGAGGATGCAAGCGTTGTACGTCGGGCAAGCGTGATAAGCACAAGTGAAAGGCTATGAGGCAACGTGATGATGATAGTACTCTGTGACTACTCGGTTTGCTTCACCATTGTGTACTTTTAAGAAACCAAGGCTGATGTATCAATGAACAGACAACTAAGAAGGCTGCACCCAAATAGCAGCAAATGGCGAAGGAAGGGAATACACAACAATTTCATACAGTCCAGTGAATACACAATATATCGCGAACTAATTGTAGCGAAAGCTGCTTGGAGGTACGAAAGAGACAGCCTATGCCTAGTTCTGTATCAGGCAGAACGCTGGGGTAAAAGCATCAACGGAGGATTATAGTCCCTGGACAACACTTGTCGACGAAGTCTCTGGGTCAGACAAAATTACTACAATTCGTTTACTGGTGAATCCCGAAGGAAGTTGAAATGGTATGACGCATGTCGTCATGAAGGATATACGACTGAAGTGTGAGCTTTCTTGATGCTAGTTTGTCGTTGATGGTGTATGATCCTGTACAAGCCTTTTATAACTCAATGTCAAGACGCATTCGGTTGGTTGATCGAGCACCATAGACGCGAGTATCAAGACGTGTCCGCCTTATAGCGTCCGGATCAATGTCTCGCACAAAGAGAGCACCTGAAGACAATGGCGATTGTCCTAAGCCAAGAGGAGGCGTATTGTCAGGTCCGTATACCTGTTTCCATACGCCACTGTTTCGACCATGATTCGAGCCAAATACATTTGAAGATGTCGTTGATAGGAATGTACTGCTTGCACTCCGATAGGAATCAACGTCCCAGCATGTTGACGGGAAAAAGTCGTCACTTTCCGAGCTAAAGCTGTACTCGGTAGATGCTGGTGATTCAAGCATGTCGATAGAATACTCATCAGTGTGTGAGCTCCTGTCACTTGCTGGGGCTTGATTCTCATTCACTTCACGTCTTTGAGCTGGTGCATTGGTCAGCATAGGAGCCGCTGATCTTGATTGATGGGTGCTAAGAGCAGCCCCATTGTACGAGCTTGTTGTTCCAGCACTGACTTCAGTCCATGACAGCTTCATTTCCTGTTGAAGAGTTTCTGGAATCTTGTACTTACTCGTATTATCATCAAGCACTGGAACAAGAGATTCTATCGAGTCAGTCTTGTCGAACTGGCAGCTGTGACTTGATTCTGAAACAGCGATCGTTGGGCATTTCATATTAAAATGTGAGTGTTCCGGTCGTTCAGTACGGTTGCAATCACTAAGACTTGCATTTTTTCTACTTGTCCGACGTACAACCCACAGAAAAATGAGACCTAAACTTATGATGAATCCAATGGTTATTACGATGAAGAAAGTATTGGAAAAGTTGCTGTGAGAGATGTTTGATGGATGCTCGGATAACTTCAACTTTTGTTCGTCAGGGGTGTTATTATGAGCAAGGAAGCGCTGTCTTGAAGTGACAGTATTGTTATTGTTACTACCATTGACGTGCGTCAGACCTGCAGTTACTAGTAGTAGTAACGTTTGATACGGTTGAATCATGCTTGACTTGACCAGTTTAATTGTAAACTACAGCTTAGTATTCATTGCATCTGTCCAATGCAAAGGATGTCGTTATTCTCATCCATATACTGTATATATTCAGGTGATGTCACCAGATTTCTAGGCCATTCCATACATAATGCGGCAAAGTTGAAGTTTCAATTCGTGTGCACCACATCGCGACCATCATTCTTTGTTTGACCGCTCGGATGGCATCAGCGTTGCCTTCGTCTATGACTACAGACGCTTTAGATGACGTTCTGATGGTGGCAATGCGTGTCGATAGTTCGTTATTGTCTACAGAAGAGGATATCCATGTCTGTGTGTCTTTATACGACGATCCGCGCGTACACGTGGACGTAGCAGATGATTTGACGTTAGTGGTGGGTTTTCAGCGTAAACTCTACACTGTCAGATCCCTAGAAGACATGGAAACAAGCAAGAGTGATGGTCACATTGCTTCTCTGCGTGTCATTGTCGACATGGAGGACGTCCATCTCGAGGAAAAGGAACAAGTAACAGACGTCAAGTGGCTCAATCGGGAGCTCTTTTGTGTGGGCTACACATCAGGTGTGGTCCGCATCTTCAACCGCATAGGAGACGTCCTTTTTGAGCAAAAGTTACATGGCTCAGCAGTGCAAAAAGTGGACGTAAATAGGAACATAGCGACGATCATCGCGGCAAGACGGACGAGTGTCTTATTGTCCAGTGAAACGGACATGGAGGGAGAGTTTTGGGTCTTGTATGCCGATTCTACTGTTGCTGTGATCCAGATGTCAGAGATAATAGCAAAATTGAAGGCTAATTCTACCGTTTTTGGCCCTGCACAAGTTAGTAAATTCAGGAAATACTTGCTACGAGATCAAAAAGATGTGGTGGCTGCATTCCCGTGTGGACCAGTGAGACCGACGATCTTTCAGTCACATTCGCGGCTTGGTGTGTACACTATTGTAAGTGCCGGATCGGCACCATTTCTTGCATTTTACCAGGCAGGCAACGACCAAAATTCTATTATTCACCTGGCACATATTGCCACAGCCATTGCATCGAAAGCTGCAGGAGCGGTATGGAATTTTGCAATCAGTTGGGGATGGAGACAAAGCATAGATGGAAAGGAACAAGCTAATTACACTCAGCTTGGTGCAGGTGCCACTGATGCTGCAGCTGATCATGTACCAGCTCCGGTTGGCGCTACTCGCTCGATTTACGAAGATGAGCGACGACGCTGCAAAGCTCTTGTTTTGAGTCCTACGGGCAGGTTGGCGGCTGTTTCGGACACACTTGGACGCATCCTACTTGTCGACACTGCTCGGATGATGGTAATTCGGATGTGGAAAGGTTATCGGAATGCACAGTGTGGTTGGATGCAAGGCACGGAAGGTCCTCGTCGGCCACTTGGGCTCTATCTGGTTATTTTTTCTGCGCAAAGAGGTATCGTAGAGGTATGGCGCGCACGATATGGTCCTCGAGTTTTCAGTTTTGCGGTGGGCAACAGCGCCAAACTTTTCACACAGTTTGATCCTGCCACTAGAAGGACTAAGTGCATCGTCTTGTCTAAAACGAGCGACAATGTGTCTGAGCTTATTGAGCTGAAGCCTGGGCTACCTAATGCATCAATTTTGTTGAAGTATTTTACGCAGAATAAGCTTCAAGAAGAGAACTTCCTCCTGTATCAATTGATAGGTGGTCTTCAAGCCTACGTGAAGAAAAGACGTGTAGACACGACTCAGGCGCTTGAGCAGGATGCACTTGGTCCATTGCTAGTAGAGATCGGTGGCCTTTCATCCTATACAACGATCCAGACACTTCTTGATGTCTTGCTAGGTGCGGATATGGCACTACTGAAGACAAGTTTTTTACTCAAGGCACTGGAGAAATTGCAGCTAGTAAGTTAGTATCAGTGGCTTTGTCATCAAGCTTTCGTTTAACTCGTGCATTTTTAGGCGCTCAAGAACGGATTTACATCTAGAACACCGACCGGGCCAGAACTGTCTCTTCAGTGGAAGTTGCTTTGGCAGCACCGCCTGGTATCTGCATTTAGCGGCTTTCAGGCTGTAAGTATACTATGGTGTAGTATTCGTCTAGAATAATAAGGTCTAATTGTTTTGCCTGTCTAGGAATTTGAGAGAGGAAAACGAGTTTTTACATCGATGGTGCAGGCCTCTGCCAGAGAAATGATATCGCAATCTGGCTCGGAAGATCAGCAGTCTTGTCCGCTTCCACGTATCCTCCCGTGGTTTGAGCTTTTTCGTCGGGCAGGTCTTGCGCTAGATGATGAATCGTGCACTCGAATGTGCAGAGCGACAGACAGCGCTAGCAAGCTCAGTGCGTGGGAGTTTATAGAATTCTTCTCGATGCCATTCAATGATCCTGACTTGCCTCGTCGACGAGACATTCTATCGCTATTTGAAGTTGCTGAAAGCAAAGAAGAGTTTCTGCGTAACACTTTTCGTGTGTTGAAGACTCCGATTTTTCGCAAGTTTTCGAATTCTGCTCAAAGGGACTGCCTTTTTACATTTATTCTCGCTCCAGTGCTATCCAGCGTCTTTGCTGTCCAGGTACATTGATTATCGAGCAAGTATTTGATGGCATTTTCATCTAGTAATCTGATATGTGTCTATGACTTATTTTGTGTTCAGGAGCTACAGCAGCTACATTCTACCCTCTTTTTGACCGAAGAGGTTACTACAAGACTATTTATTGAGTGGTACTTTTCACTACCTCTCGGCGCGGTACTCGCGCTTCCCCCACCGTCGATGTCTTCGTCCCTCCAGCGTTGGCTACAACCTTATTTCGTCATTACAGATATGGAGGCGGCAATACAACAAAAGAGCGAGGATAATGCTGAAACACCATACGTGTCGACAGAAAATTATGTTCGCCGCCTGCGTGACTGTCCCCCCTCGCTGGTGGAAATTTTCAACTCATGCCGGAAAACGCCAAAGCTTTTTCATGCTTTCGTGTTGAGTGAGCACTGTGGGTGGGGCGAAAAGCAATCGGCAAAGCATGCTGAAGAAGACACACTGGGAAATTATAGCAGTGTTGGTGGCGGTGCGCGGTGGCTCATTCTGCAGGACTGTATTGCCAAAACAGTGCATCTATCGTTGCGGCTTGGAAAAGTTGGCCGTTTCTCTGTTGACGCGGTTGAACTTGTGGATGATATCATGCGGAGCCTTGTTGTTATGCAGATTAATGATGGCCACGAGGTTGGCGAAGATGATGTTGCCGTACAGCTTCCTAAAGACCATGTCGAGGTCAGTGTCGGTGATGATGGTACGGACGGTTGGATTGCGACTATGGAGAATTGTCGTAATGCTGCACAGATGAAGGATTGGTCGGCTGTACTGCGCGCGTACCCTCAATTCTCAAACCAGAACGCTTTGTGCTGTTTTCGAGTAGGGACACTTTGCGCTGCTTGGAATGCCGAGCGATCAGATATGCATCAGCTTGAAGGTGCACTGCTGGAGCTGGAATGTGTGAAGTCACTGCAAGTTAAAGCAGCAATGGCTGCTTTTATTTGGGAGCGATACATTCGTGTGCACGTAGTGACACTACTTGCTTTTTGGGAGGATAGTGCTGCGGGTAGGAAGCCCCAGCGTGGTCTTCAGCCGCAAGTCACTCGGCGCTTCTTCGGCATTATTCGGGATCTGCTTACATCGTTATTAACAACAGTAAATGCGATCTCATCGGCTCGGGTTGTGCTAACAGCGTTTGATGAAAACGAATGCAACAGCGAAAGAAGTGATGCAGATGCCGAATCCAACGAGGATGATGACGACGACCTTGTGCAACGCATCACTATATACAAAATGGAAAGTTTGATTCAGTCTGTCAAATGGCGCTTCCAGGTGAAAGATCTCCATTTGGTCTTTCGGCGACAGTGGCCGCCTTCACACGAGACGTCCGCGCTCATGCAAACGTTGCAAGGCTTTAAGCTCGATATGGTCTCGGCGTCACTTATCGCGAGCCACATTAGTTTGATCATGCTACTCGATTCATTTGCCGCGACGGAAGTAACCCCGATCTCGATTGTGAAGCTGTTCTCACATCATGGGCGATACTTGTGCCGCCCAGACAGCTTCCTCATTAGCCAACCTATCGCCCAGGAAAGCGAAGAAGAGGCGACATGTATTAAGCAAGACCGAACGAGGTTTGTAAAGGAGCTTCTCCGACATGATGAGACGCTTGGATTCAGGCTTGCGGAGGCATTTGGATTACCGATTGAGGTGATTCGTGAAGAGCACGTGCTGTTCTTGTATCAGTCAGGGCGAGACGAGCGAGCAGATTTAGCAATTGGAAAGATGCAGAGGCCAGAGCGACTGGCACTCAAGCTGGGAGCCATTGCTAGAGCTCGGCTGTCGCTTATCTTGAGACGTATGAAGACCCAAGCGGAGTACGCAGTGGTGATGAGTATGCTGCCTGCAGATGTGTTTGCTTGGGTGACCAGCGATACTCAGCCACCGCTCGTGGCAGATCCACTCGTTGAAAAGCTCGACACCACACCATCTCTCACTTCTACTCATTATTTACTGCTCCAGTGTTTGGCCATGATCACACCTACCGGTGAAGAGTTTGAAAAGGTGTCGGCGATGTCTGTACTGGTGAAGGACGTCATTCGCCAGGTAAAGCGGCAATTGTAGAACTAAGGAAGTCGAGACACTTCAATGTTTTGTCTTATGGATGAATACAGTGATACGAAGATAGTATCTTCAGAATGCTCCTACTGCTACAAGCTATTTAGTGAATGCGGTACCGCTGGGTAAGCAACTCGCCCTCGTTTGTCTCCTTCCACTGAATCTCGACGTCGAGGAAGCGTGGGTTCTCAGCATTCCCACGCACCCACCACTTCCCATCAATAACGTCTCCCTTCTTGACAGTAAATGGTGTTTGGACATGGAAAAACACCTGGTGCCAGTGCGTCGGGGTGCCCTCGGCTCCCGTGGTAAAATATTCGGGGCGCGGGCAATCGCGCTCGAATCCAATGTCGAAGCTGGACACAAACCCGTGCATAGTCGCGTCCCTCGTGACGGACAGCGAGAAGGTCGAGTGGAAGTCTAGCTCGTCGTACGTGACGTGATCGATGTCGATCTTCTGCAGCAGCTCGCGACTCGTGATAATGTCGTTCGGCTGAACATCTTCTACAAACGCGTCGCGGATTGAAATCTTGGACTTTATGGGCTGCATATTCAAGCCGTACACATTGTCCCAGAAGGCAAAGCGCTGTGTCGAGTCTTCCATACCCTGGATGAACATCGAGCACTTATCAGGGAATACGTGGCCGCCCGGGGCAAGCCACTTGTCACGCGCGAACAGTACTGTGCCCAGCATGGATTCGTACAGTAGACAGTAGCCCATCCACTCCGAGACGATAATGTCCACCTTGTCGACAGGCAGGTCCATGTCTTCCACCTTGCCGCGTAGAATGGTGATGAAGTCGCTGAACCCGTTTGCTGCTACAATTTCGCGAGCCACGTCTCCCATTTCACTGCGGTCGATGCCAATCACCTTTGCAGCGCCAGCCTGAGCCGCAAAAATGCTCAAAATGCCTGTGCCACAGCCAACGTCCAGCACCACCTTTCCCTTAAACACCTCTGGGTTGTTAAGTATGGCATTCCGGTAGCCATTAGTACGGACCCTGTCCGTGATCATCTCACGATGGATACCCACCTGCGAATACGAGTCGAAGTAGTACGTGTCATTGTCCGCAGCGTCCTCAATCGGAGCTGGATTTTCACCATCAACCACAAAGTCACGGATAAGTTTCGAGTACTTGGTCATCTGCTGCTTGAGCTCCTCATTCTCCTGTCGCAACTTTTCGACTAGATCACTAGCGTCATCTGCAGTGACGGAAACCGCCTTCGTCTCCATCTTGTGCTCCTCATCAGTATTGTCCGCATCCTCATCGCTACTGCCACTGTCCGCACAGTCGAGACAGTAAAGCAGCGGGTCGTCCACCACCACAGGCTTGAGGAACTCGTCCTTTAGAAAGGCAGCATTTCCTTCTGTTTCTAGCGTCTGCTTTATCTGCTCAGTTGTAACTCCATCCAGTGTATTCCATCGCAGAAAGTTGACAAGTTGAATTATACCATACGTATCCAACTTGCGAATCGAAATTTCTTGGTGCAGTGAAAACTTGTGCGTCTCCTGGAGGTGCACATGCAGCGGCGTTTCGGTCGAGAACTTACTTGCACAAAACACACAGTCAAAGGTCATAGACGATCCGTCATCCACCCAATCGTCCCACGTCTCGTCGTTGTGGACGTCTACAATGTCCTCACGTTCCGCCATGTCCAGTGTCAATGAATTTAATTGACAACCAACCAACCACTACGAACAGCTGGGGTGGTGACAAATGGCTACATTGATAAAAGTAGAGATGAATTGAGAGAGTTATGATAATCTTAAAGCTGTGCTTGCAACTGATACTATAGTATCTCGACTACTGCTAAAAAACGCAGGAACAGAAGACAAGCAAGTAGGGAGAAGTACGCAATCATGCGCAGCAACCGTCTTTTCCTTGGTCCTGAGACTCGTCCATGCGGAATTTGCTACCGTTTGCCACGTCTAATCTATCGTGCTCGCCCTCTGCCAATCGCTTCTGAATGTCCACTGCAATGGATCGAAAAGCCTCATCGATATTTTGATTGCTCTTTGCACTCGTTTCGAAAAACTGGATACCAAACTCGTTTGCTAGATCCTGCCCTTGTTTCGTTGTTACTGCCTAATTGCCACCACAACAAACGAACCGTCATTACAGCTATCAACAACAACAACAAGCGTTCTTCTTGAACGTACTCGCTCCGACGGATCCACGTCACATTTGTTGCCGATTAAAATCTTGTTCACATTAGACGACGCATTTTGCCGAATTTGTGTCATCCAGTTGCGAATATCTGCATCATAGCCACCAACAACGAGCATACCATATCATTTCTCAGTCTTCTCAAGCAGTGCACATTCAATACAATGACAACGTACTCTGGAAGGAATGGTCGTCCGTCACGTCGTATACCAGTAAAATTCCCATAGCACCACGGTAATAAGCTACAAGAAGCAACAAAAGTCCAAGCAAATAGCAAACAGACGATTAACTACACGCTCTTCTACAAGTATAAATGCTGTGTAGGCTGCACACACCAGTCGTGATCGTCCGAAACCGTTCCTGTCCCGCAGTATCCCAAATCTGAAGCTTTATCCGCTTGCCATCCAAACTGATCGTCTTAACCTTAAAGTCGATACTGCAACACATCGTTAGTCCAATTGCTAGAGTGCAATAAAACTCAATTGTTATGCTGTGTAGGCTGCAGTACACACCCAATGGTAGTGATGAAGGACGTCGTGAACGAGTCATCGGAATAACGCAATAGCACGCAGCTCTTTCCCACACCTGAGATGACAAGAGCGAGTTAAGACACTTAAGAGAGTAAAAGAAAACGAGACGGACTAAGGCTTACCACTATCACCAATCAAAAGGAGCTTAATGAGTAGATCGTACTTGCTACTGTGTACCATAGCTCCTCGAAGAATCGAGATCGACTTTGCCACGTTTCGAAATACGGTTTAGGTATCAATTTTGTGGATTTTTACGTACTTATGTACTGGTAATTAGACCATAAAGATGCGTGCCTTCTGTTTTTAGAATAAAAAGACTATATATAACTCACTTCTCAAAAAATAAGGAAGGTGTTATCAAAGATGCCTTATTGGATGTAGTGAGACAAAAAGAAGCCAATCTTTGCGTAACACGACTGAAACAAATTGTGCACTGAGAGCAGCAGACAGCAATTTAGTCTACTTTGAGAACAAGTCTTACAAAAAATTTGAATGCTCTATTCTATAGATTTTGTGGATGTATTTTTTAAATTTCACTATTCAACTTTTACTTGATGCTGCTTAGAGCGAAGTATAAGATCTGTACCTGTTAACTTATCAGTTAGAAGCTTTCAAATCTGTGACCTTGCACGCTAAAACTCAAAATTTGCAGAGCTCATCGCGAAATTGTCTGTTTTGTCGTATTGTTTACTAATGTTTTCAATTTGGCAAGAAAAATATTGCTATGTATATGATATTGCTTTACTGTAATAGCTTCAAATATTGTTTATATATAAAACGCTATTTTCTATTTGTTTCAATTATTTAAATTATTCAGTGTATTCATTACGAGTGTAGACAGGCACTTCTACGAAGTTGCCTCGTGCTACTAGCACACACCTTCAGCACAAGCGAGGAAGCGGTTAGACCGTCTTACCTTCGCGTGCGAGGGTGGTTATGCGGTTGGTCGACTGCTTAAGCAGTCGTAACGCTTAAGCGAGAGAGCAACGAACTTCTAAAACAAGAAGTCACCAGCGTCACGCAGAAGCTTTTAGAGCTTCTCGTGCGCGGTGCTTTCGATTTAGCAAATTTAAGACTGAGCTATATATAATGACTTATAACTAAATATAAACTTAACTACTGATTGGCTATATATGTATATACATCGGATACGCGACTCTTCAGAAGCGTATCCTAACGCATGAACTTAAATCTAAATTTAAGATCGCGACTGACTTCCTTCTGAGACGTCGCGATGCCTAGCTTCAACTAGCGTCATCCCTTTCCATGCGAATCCATAAATGGATATCACATTCACGAGAGTGGATCACGTTTGTGTATCGCATCCAAGTGACAGGTCAAAAGTAATCATGAATAATTTTAGACCAAACATTAACGAGCGCAGCGACTAAAACTGAGCACGCTACTTCGAAAGGAGTAGTCGTGACTCAGTCAGATGTGACTCCTCAGGCTGATGGTTTGACAATCCATAATGGAGAGTCAGACTCAGGTGAGTGTAAGCTTAAAGCTCCACCGAGTACACCTTCGGCCTCACTAGCCCGCCGTCGCGAGGGCGGCTACGTGAGTGGTGACTTGCCACTAATGCCACCTCCATCTGAGTGGATGAACTTGGATGGGTCTAGTGCAGCGCTTTTGCAGCGTGCAACTATTGACGCTCATAAATTTTATAGCGTCATTCCTTTGTGGAAAAGCAGGGCAAAGCACTTGGTCGTGCTTTACCAATTCCAGTCTTGCTGCGTTCTAACGAAACAGCCGACGAATATGAAGCTGAACTTCGGCGCCGTGTTACCTTTCATGCAGATGCAACTAAACAACGGTAGAATGGGACCGGGTTTCTTATGCTCGGTCGACTTAGTCGAGAGCGATGCACCTGGTACTATGTTCCCCTTTGGTGGCTGACTGTTCTTGGTCCTTGGACCCCTGTGTTCTTCCCTGTAGGAAAACCGCTTCTTGTAGCGGGTCGTAGAGTCTTGACACTTACTTGACACCTCAGGCCAACTATCCTGAGGTTCAACTTGCATTGCTTGAGCCGTCTAACACTTGCTGGACGTCGGGGGGCCAAAGGGTATCCCGCCCGGAAGAGGTGAGGCGACGAAGAAGCTTAGAAGGGGCGCTTAAAGCTGCCACGTGTAATGCAAATTCGAGTGTGTTTATTTACCTTATACTTTGTATGCTTTTTCTTGCCTAACCCTAACCCTTTGATCTGGATAGTGCCACTCTTGGAGAAAGAACGGCTCCTTGGTACCTGTACTTTCTGTAATCTTCGATATTCTGTGTACCGATTCTGCACCCTCGGACATTAGAGCCCTGGGCCCCTGGGTCCCTGAGCCCCTGGGCCCCTGGACCTTTGTACCCCTGGGCCTCTGGGCTCCTGGGTCCCTGGGCTTCTGGGCTCCTGGGTCCCTGGGCCCCTGGGCCTCTGTACCTCTGTACCTCTGGGCCCCTGTACCCTTGGGCCACTGGGTCCCTGGGTCCCCGGAACCTGTTTCCGGGACCTGGGGCCTGTGCTGACTCCGCACGTATGGGTCCTCATATTCTTAATACGGCGGGGCCTGGTGTGTGGTTGTAAATCCGCGAGGCCGGGTCGTGGTCACTCCCTCGGGAAAGTGACCAGAAGCTCTCTTACTCTCCGTTCCATCTCCCTTAAACTCC